AAACTCTTTCAGCCAATTGCACAAACGTGCATAAAAATTATCATTAGTTTAAAGCTACATAATTTGGCATTTTTAGGGCTCAAAGGCGTCATTAAACTTCTGTGCAACTGCCGTTTGACATTTTAAACTTTAATATTTAAGCGCATTTGAGCTATAAGAAAGAAAGAAGTAAGCTGTAATAGGCACATTTGTTTTCACTTTTGGTTAAGTCACTTTTGTCGTTGACTGTGCACATCGTGTTGCCTGTTATGCTTTGAGGTTTCGAAATTTATATGATGTATTTTAGTCATACGAATGTACTTAATTTATATCAAAATCTATTATTAATAATGAATTTTCATTTTAACTCAAGTATTTTTAAGCTTAAATTAAATTTACATGTACCCACAAGCTCATCAGGTTATTTTATTTCAAACTGCCACAACTTATGTATTTTGAACTTTACTTTTAACACAATAAGGTTTAGTTTGTTTAATCATTTGGAGAAATTTAAAGTTTTGAATAACCTGATGTTCTGTTGGCCGTAGTTTGATTGAATTATATTATTGGTATTTTTATAGTGATCTGATAAATGATGCTAGTCTTATAGTTCACATATAACGTGGTAAGCTAATCCTGCCAAAGGTATTTATTATATTAAAGCTAACTATTTAATTAACATTTTATTATTATCTATGCAGTAAATATTGTATAACTCAGATGAAATATTTTTAACAGGGAATCATATATCGGACAACTAAATTTTAACTCAGCGTTTTAAATAATAATGTACTCGGTCTACGACTAACAATTTATTAATGTGCTTTGTTGACAGTATTGAAATGTTTTTCCTAAACAAAAAATTGGTACAAAATATGCACAACTGCAATAAAAACATTACAGTATTTTTTATTGCAAATTATATGTAATTAAATTATCTATTTAACTGTACCTAACTATTCTTAATACAAAATGCTTAAAAAATCCACTTGGTCCCTGGCACCCTCAGATGGAAATCGAACCCACCTAACTATACCATACCTAACTATTCTTAGGTTTGAAGTATTTACAAACAATTTAATTATACGGGACATTCGATTTACGATTACTTTAAAAAATATTTTTATAACATAATTTAAACAGTAAAATCGTTTATATTTTTTGGAATGTCTATGGAAAAACACTTTCATACTATTTAGTTTAGATTCAAGCAATAAAAAAAAATGTTCTAGCTATTGTTAAATTTGATCTCTGTATATTGCTTTTTTTTGTATGATTATAATTTGAATTTATTTTTCATTGAGTGATTGTTGGCAGCTAAGCTGATTTTTATGTCAAGACAAAATGTATTTTTATAAGATTAATTATTATTGTGTATCGATTCCTGCCTCTATTGATATGATTTTTATCTAAAGTTTGAAAATAATGTTTCATAGTGCCATAGCCATAAATAAGCACCGCAGTTCCGAATATTTCTGTACTAATTCAACACTTTCATGAATTTATCATAATATTAAATTTACTGAAAGAACAAGTGGTAGCTTTGCTCTAGTACAAAGTGATTCTTATGTCTTAATGTAAAAATATATTTTGAATATGCTAATAAAAATTGATTAAATAATATTATTTGTATTTTTTGCAAAACCAAAATAAATAATCAAGACTCAAGTCAATCGATATATTAGATTTATGAAGCGATATTTTAATATACCGACTTAACCAATATATCGCTATTTTAATAAAACTTGGATTACTATTGGATGCGGTTCCACCCGCTAGATATTTGCCCTTTAAATTACGTAATTATTAATGATTTATAAGAATATTTAAAAATCAGTGATTTATAGATCCGAAAAATTGTTTTTGATAAAAATTTAAAACTGTTTTTCATTAACACTTCTTTACTCGGTAGTATTCAAAAAACCTTATGGTAACACAATTAAGTTGAAAATTCATCGCAAGCATCCGTGGTAGTAATAAAGGATTCTTTGGGTAATATGTTTCATGGGATTCACAATTGTTTTGTGAAGTTATCAGCTTCAAAATGCTCCCCCATTTTTTGGAATTACCGTTACCTTAGTGTCAAGTTTGCAGACACACTTTAGAATTCTAGGTGAGTGAAATGAAAGTTCTTAGTATAAAATTCGCTATTATAAGTCACAATGTTTTGACTGCAATTCGAACTAATACTAATGATATTTCTAAGTTAATCCAATATCTCATATTTAGTGTCACTATTAGGTCGAGGAAAGTCTTTTCGCATATAGTATGCAGAAACTTGTAATAAAATCTTTTTGACTATACCATCTAGCTGGTTTCGGTGACATTAGTTTCATTTTTAAAGAAGATAACCATGAATTTAATTAGGAAAATGTGTAATATTCATTTGTTCTTCTTACTATTAAAATGAGTGAATCTAATGAAGAAATTCTATACATTTTAAATCAGCGTTCAGAGTGATAATTACCATTGATAATTATCTTGACAATTATAAAACACAACACAAACTCCTTTTTTACTTTAGAACTAGTTATTTAACGTCTATTAAATATGTTTGAAAGAGAATATTGCCTAGGATGGACCTAACAAAAACAATAAAAATTGAAAGGCCTCTTTTTGTTAAAATATATTTAATTTATTTATATTTTTATTTCACTTTTCGTTTAATGTGATTTCACAGTTATTTTTGTTTTTGTTCATTTTGATTGTAACTTTTTCATAATATAAAGGGAAAAAGATTAAAAGTTTAAAATATTATGAATGGCTTTAATGTATTTTAAAAACAGTTGCCAGTAACTACCGATAAAAAAATCTTAATAATTACGAACCCTATTTTAAAATCTTATTACAAAAAAAGTAACTATCCAAAGCAAGCTCTGAAAAAAAATTGGGACATTCATGGACCTAGTGCAGTTTCTGGGAGAGTAGCACAAATTTGGTTTAATCTGTTAAATTTCAGTCCAGCAAGATCCTCATTACCAAATTCGTATATTTATTTCATTCTGACAAAGACACGTGTAACGCTAGTATAGCTACTGCATGATTTTTCTTGGTATGATCGATATCGATATTTCCATACGTAAACATTGATTATTGTTACCATTATAGGAAAAAAATGTACTCAGTACGCAAATAATACACAACAATACTCAGAGGTTAATAAACAATAACAACAAAATCGATTTTTTAAAGTTGTTCTCACTACAGGCGGTCACTGAAATCTTGTCGTTTGGTGCGTTGTCTGTCAATTAGTTTATAGTGCTGTAAGTTGTGAATTAAATTAATATAAATGTAAAATATATATTTTTAACCACATGCCTTTAACACATTATGGTTCCCATCACTACGGAATACGTCTTTGTATTAGCAAATAGCGTCGCTGCAGTTACCTCGCCCGCCAGCTAGCCCACCATTAAGATTGGCATCTTTATTTAACTTTTTCACCCACCACTTTTGTCACTTTTACTAACAATTTATTGAGATACATAAACATTAGCCATTTATCGCAGCTATGTCCCATACCGATAAATAAGGAATTAAATGATCTGGAAGGTATTTTGAAATTCATTATAAACACCGAAATCTAGCTGTGGCGCTGCCAGACTGACGTTAGTCCAGCAGCGTCACAAGACTCGTTTGAACTCAGAAACTAGACAACTTTGCTATTTGTACCGGTCTGATAAATATGAGACGACACTGGATGAATCAAGAAATCATATCAAAATTGTAGAGGGCGGCGCTGCCATCTGGCACACACAATCCAAGGAACACAATTAAAACAGTTTAAATTCACATAAGTAAATTATTTATTACTTCATTAATACAGTTCAAGTATTTTTGCAATAAGGCGAAATACATTGTTAGCTTCGTTGCATTATGCTTCTGGTACCTTTTCAAGTGTTGGGGGACGGCTTGCTCATCCCGGCGGGTAATACCTGCAGGATAATATTGAATATTAAAAACAAATATATTACATTAATGATAGGTCGTTACGACGCTAAATGTCCCTTGGCAAATAGAATAGTTACGATTTCGTAAAAAAATTATGTATAACGTCGAAATAATACGACCTCAGTCGAACTTGTACAAGATGTGACATTTTCGACTATAAAACCGCCCGATTCTATCTTAAGACGAATAAATAAACTTGAAGCATTTTCAGCACGTTATCGTCATGTAAATGCGCTAATGCGTTAACGTATATATTCATTTATGTACGTGCTTAACAGTCAGGACGTTCGTCGGTTTATGTGTTGACCGGAAGTTCGTCGGCACACGCCGCAGAACGAGATGCATCTATGTGCCGTACTTACGATTGATATTGTTCGTTTCGTCGTCTTCTGCCGTGGTCGCCTAAAGTATTGTCCGTATCGTCGTCGCATCGACTACTCATCGCCGCCGTATGCCCGCAGTGCGTGACGTCATGCCGCTAAAAACTATCTGAAAACGACTCGCACGCACTTTCTGGTGTGAATGTCCACGCAAGACAACTAAGTTTTTCAGGCGGACCGTGAACGGGGCAGAAATGTAAGTGGATTATCGCTCGCGCACCGTAGTTAGTATCATCGCATCGTTTTCCGAGTAATAACATAATACAAGTACGGATTTACAAATTAATCAACAAATCTGGCAAAGTAAGCTGCTACGCTATCCAATATTCCATTTGAATAAGACGCATGTTACAATACTAATTTAATCAAAAACGATTCAGATAATTATTTTCGACAATGGTGATTTATGATTTAGATATGCATTATTAATTTTAGGTACTTGGAATTGAACATCGATTTATTATTAATAAATTTTGTAACTGTAGTTTTGTAGGATATTTAATAAATATTGTGCTGACTTAACCTAATATCACGAAAAATAAGGCAAAAAGCAAAGAAACATATCTTATTTGACAAAAATAAAAAGACCGCTAGAAGCAGTACGAAGCCAACAAGAATGATCATAGAAAACATGCAGAAAGTCAAGACTATTTCAGTGCATAGGGTTGTTATTAAATGAAAAATAATTCTACTTATAAAAGAATTTAATCTAAAAAGAAAAATATACAACTTAAAAATAAGATTTCTCAGTTTTTTAATAAAGAAAATTCAAAATAACAAATACAAACTATTCAAGATCAATTTCATCATCGTCCTCATCGCTCTATCTTTATCTCATTCACCGACGGGAGAAAATGAAAACGTACGAATAAAATTATCCTCATTTATTAAATTTTAAAGTGATTCACATAATTTCACTGAACGGATACTTATTTCTACAGCAACCTTACCATATAATCTCGACCTATATTACAGTATACGCGCGCGCGCAAACGTAACGCTCCGAGTGGCGGATCACACAGTCCTCGGGAAGACAACAAACACACTTAAGGGTAGAGTTTTTGTTCGTTTCACATGATTCGTATAGTACGTGTACGTGTATTAGACGATGTCGGAGTCTAGTAGCGGCGCGGGCCCATGCCGCCGCCGAGGTCTCTACCGCCGCGAGCCGCGCCGCCGCCGCCGCTACATACAAACAGACCTTCAGCACGTATACGCGTACGCACGTACCAGAGTACCAGAGCACAGAGCACAGTACCGACGCCGCCGCCGCTTAGCTCATAGTGAACGAGCGACGCACCCTTTTCGTTCACATTCGATACGACGTAAACGCACACTAAACGAGCCGTGTTCCGAATCGCTCTAATCCAAGTAAACGTCCGTTTTCACTATAACCTAAGAGGCGTCCCATCGAATTAACTATGCGAAAGGCGTGTTCGATACATTAACATTGACTATACAGAAAATGGTGTCACCTTTTCGTCGTGATTCCAGAGTCGCATTAGCTGCATGTCAAAAGTATTATATTGCAGTGAGTATTGACTCGACACGTTACCGTTAAAACAACATCAAATGAAGCATTTTTAGAATTCAAAAATGATTCACACTAGAGCAGCCTGTGAGCAAACAAGTTTGTCATATTTTTTCCTGTTCCTCTAATGACAAATTGTTTTTCCAATTATTATTCTTTAACAAGTTCTACTACAAAAATATTATAAACTCCTAAGCAAAAAAAAAAAACACCATTGAAAGCAGTTAAATGAGATAATGCATTTAGATAGATTGTTTTAAAACAGTGATTTAATTGCCGATGTTTGCTCACTGGCCACTGCGAGGTGTCAATTGAAAGTTGGCACTTACCGTCCCATAGGTGGGTACTGCTGTGCATACGGGTCTCTATCATAGCCAGCGGGACCAGCGGGCCCTCCACGCCTGCAACCACAATTATGATATGATAATCTATTAAGATTTACGTCAAGAGCGGAAACTAATTTTTCAATATTCAAAAGTAGTTATTTTAGTAACAAAATTGCATTCATGGTTTTAAACATTAAGATGAGAATGGCATCAAACACTAGATAGTGATGACAATTCTGTATTCAAAAACCCTAATTCAAGTTAACATTGTAGGCTCATGTTGTTAAATAAATACAATAAGTTATCTTCTGTCGTCCTCATTTTTACCATAATTAAAAACTGTGTATAAGAGGATTAAAACTACATTTAATCTAGTTAAAATAACTACTGCTATTATATTACTAAACAAGTATCAAGCAGGTATTAATTTATTGAAAGATTTGTCAGTCCTGTTAGGTCCTTGGTAGCTCACTTGTTTGAGCAGTTGCCCAGATTGGGAGAGGTCATGGGTTCAAATCCCATCTCAGGGTAACAGGGACCAAGTGGATTTTTTAAGCATTTTGTATTAGGAAATTATTAAGACTATAAAAAGAAAATTATGGTTTAAAAGGTTCCAATTCTCAAAAGGTAATTTTGATTACCTTTGACATTGGATTCTCCATATCTGTTAGCAAGAGACTACTTCCAAATTGTATTGATACCATCTTATCATCTCTAGTTTTTCCTATTGTTACAAAATCTTTGAGTTGGTGAGTATATATGCTATAATTTTCTCATCAACATTTATCAAAATAAAAGAGGTGAATATTAAGTGTTATATTTTCAAAATGCTAATAAGACTAAAAAAAATGCATTTCTTGATAAATTTATGACGATAGAATATAGAATAGATTATATTATAGAATAATAAAATAGAATAGATTTTCAGTGTCATATTTTTTCATAGAATCTATATCTTCAGATATGTTAAGTCAATGTTATAAGAATTTGGTACGTGTAAACAACTTGTACAGATCTTGAAACTTTAAATAAGAATTTGTGTTATTTACACACAATAATCTTTTAAGTCAACTCCAAGGTATCAATATCTACCCTTTTGGGTTTAGCTTCTACCATACATTAAACAATTATAATAACTCACATGGGTGATCTCCTGCTGAACATGTCTCCGTTGCCCATGGGCGCAGCGCGGGGAGGGGCGCTGCGGTCATAGCCGCCTGCCATGGGCATGTGTCCGCCGCGCATGGGCGCGCGCCTGTCCATCATGTCGCGCTCGTCGGGGTACATGGGCGCGCGCCTGTCGTCCGCGTACATGGGCGCCATCTCTTCGGCGGCGGGCGCGCCGTATCCGCGTCTATCGTCCCCGTACATCGGGGCCGGCGCCGCGTACGGATCCCTCAACGCGAACCCTCGCCGGTCTTCGCCGCTGTAGCCGTTGTAGCGGTCGTCGTAGCCGCCGCGATCTGCTCCCCGGTCGTATCCGCCGCCCATTCCGTTGCGCATCGGCGGGCCGTGGGAAGGCGGGCCGGAGCGCATCGGAGGGCGCGAGTAGGGTGCGTCGCGGCCGCCGCCGGGGCCTCGCATCGGTCCGCCGCCGCCGCCGCGCCTGTCGCCGCCGCCGCCTCGCATGCCGCCACGGCCTCCGCCTCCGCGGCCTCCCCGCTGGCCTCGCTCCTTGATGCGACCGCGCTCGACCGTAATGACGCCGCCGTTGAACGTGGTGTTATTCAAACCGCGGATGGCGGCCGACGCCTGATCTTCGGATTGCATGTGCACGAACCCGCAGCGGTTCATTATGTCGCATTCGGTGACGACTCCGAAGCGTTCAAACAGTTTGCGGAGATCCTCGGGCTTCGAACCCTGAGGCAGGCTGCCGACGAACACTTTGGTTTGCTGTGGAAAGACGCACGTTTTTAGTTAAGCATCTCAGAAGACCACGATGATAATGTGTAATTAGAAATTTTACTCACCGGCACCATTGTGATCTGATATTATGATATGAAAAGCGCACAACGACAAATTACTGTTGTCCTACAAGATAAACTACGACGCCACAAAACCTCAACAGCTCACGCAACAAAATGGCGGGCGGCGGGCTAACGAAAGTAGTGATGCGACTCCATAGTAGAATAATAGTAATCTGCGACTCGAACCCTGTTTTTACTCGAGCGATTCAGTTAATAAGGTACTTGACAACATCAAAAATTGTAGGTATCTTATAAGATATAATCGTAATAACACATTCCACTTTATTTCAAATGAAATAATGTTTAACTTTTGTATATTACACAAAATTAAAAAAACTGACATAATATGTTACGATTCTGATAACGTCACACACTAGTAAATAGGGTTCTAGCGATACTTTCAATACCAAGTAGGTATCGAAAGTCGATACTTTCAAAAGCGATACTCGATTCTACAGCACGGTAAGTACTCGCAAGTACTCATAAAAATTGTCGGTATCGAGTATTGCTTGATACGGCTTATTTACACTTGCCATTTGGCTTCTATGCCTAAATTAAATAAATCTTTGGAAGTATTTTATATTACCCTGGCCTCAATACAATGAATTTCTAAGTCACATTCACATCTCTAAAATGATGAGGTAAATAAAAACATTAGTTCCCGAAATCAAACTAGATGTCGCTATGATACGTTCTTGATTTCTCCATGACAACCCTTCTTTTCTTTCATGTTTAAAAGTAAATTATTTTTCAAAACTTAATAAAGAACTCATATTCTATTTGTACTTTTTCGTATTTGTATTGATATCTAAGTTTCGAACTTTTCATATTTCAGTATTTTAGTTAAAAGGAACGGAAATCACTGGCTTTGGTCCATGCGTTTTCTCCAAAAATCAATTACCCTATATACCTACCATATTAATCTATGAAAATCAATTTTGGTCGCCATCTAGTGGTGGCGCTTTTTTAGAGCTGTCGATTTAAAAAAAAAAAACTTCCTTGTTAATAATTTTGTTTAAGGCAAAGGAATCTGAGCCTGTTCAGTGTGATCTTCAGATGATATACATTAATCCGAATCCACATTACGAAATTAGTGTACGATGTAAGGAAATTGAGTTTTTTTGTACCCTACGATTATTCAAAATAATAATTAGAACAAAAAAAAATTAATAGTTTAACGATATTTAATGTCATCTTAATGTATCCAAATATAGCGAGGCATTATGTATAGATTTAATTAAATTGAATATTCGAAAGTTGAGGGAATTCTTCACATATTCGCTTAGATTATGATTGTTAATGGGACCACAGTTGTTGCTGTTACATTGGAAAATGCTGTACAGCTTTGCTTTGATTTTTTCCGGATCACTGTGGTGGACTGCTTTAGGTGGAATGCGCTTAGCTTTTTGAAGTAAACTATCTGCTGCTGTAGTCAAATTCGCAGATATAAGCTCGTTGGTATGTTTAACATCTGTCCGTGCCATGCGTCCTAATAAGTAACCTGAAATACAGATTATGTTATATTCAGTTATGTTAGTCATTAATAATGTTGAGCTATTATCACGACAAAACTACTACTAAAAATTTAGATATTATTACCCTTATCTGTAGTACATAATGTTCATATTACTTAGCACCAAAAAGTTCACGTAAATGCTATTATTTTGTTTTAAATGAAATATAACGTTATTGAGATATTGGGTTAAACTGGTTTAAAGTGCACGAAGGCGCGGGAAATCGCGGTTCCTGCGGATTCTATAAATGAAGAAGTATTTAAAAAAAGAAACTAAAAAAAATATATGTCAATAGATAGCAGCACAAATTCTAGGATACAAATTAGAAAAATAAAATTATCAATCGTAGTACCAATGTAATTCTTGATAATATTACAATTTCCAAGATGATTAGCTAAAGTCACCGTATTATGGAGTATCTGAGACGACGAAGGTTACACAACACCCATACCTGAGAAAGTATAGAAAAGTTCATTTTCTACATAGACCCGACCGGGGGCGAGAATTGTACCCGGGACCTCAAAAATAATGAAAACAGAAATGAAATGAATCCGGCTATTAAGGCTCTTTTTGAAGTTCCTATACAAATACGCATCGAGAATAGACGCACTCGCTTTATTACATATATTAAAGAAAAAGAAAAACAAATGTGTTTAAAAAACCGTTTTTTGTATACTTTGCTTCATTTAGTTAAGATGAAATATAAATAAGTCTTAAAATCGTTTCAAAAAAACCTATTTAGTAATATCTGCGATATTTTCCTATCAAGCCGAATAATTAAATTAATGTGTTTTTTTGCAAACAGTCAACCATATCTTTAATTTTCATTAAAAGTAGTAATTTCGTAAATCTCGCCTTAACGAAATCGAACGTATTAAATTTATTCATAGAAATTTCGAAGAATACATAATGATGGATATAAAACTGCAGTAAAATGCTCTTTATCAATGACTAGCTTTCCGCCTGCTGCCTTGCCCGCATGGTCTCGAGGGAACGGTTTAGTTTAGTGGGATAAAAATAGCCTTTTTGTTTATTAAATCAAAATCAATTCTGTATTTTTCAGTGAATATATAAAAATATTTGAAGTATATACCTTTCTATATTTAGGTATATCAAAAGGGAAATAAATAGTCATTTTATAATAAACTGGCATCGTTCGTGTCTGTGTTGGCACTAAAACGCTCGGAAGTCAAGGCCTGTCTGCGGCGTTACATGAGTTTCGTCACAAATAGCAAACGTCTTATGTTAGTAAATAAATAGATGAATCTTACCGGCTAGCAGACACCCGAACGCTATGAACAGTACCACCGCAGCAAACAGTCGCGCGCTGACGTGCGCAGACGCAGGGGGACCAGAGCATGACCGTCTTGGCGTGCTCATTGTTATAAATTATCAATTAAAAGTATTCCAATAAGCCTTTACTAATTGTAATATTAGGTAAATAAAAAAAAATCTATATTTTAGATCGAATTGACTGCTCTTTATTCAAAGAGTTTCTAGATCACTATTATTACTATCTTGTTCTCGTAACCGTCTGCGATGCAAGTCAGTTTGTTACTCTTCGGTGAGTAATGGTCATTCCGAACACCAGTCCCGACGCGGTGCCCGTGAATTCTATTTTAGTGTCACGATGTATTAGGTATTGTGTCCACTCTTTTGATAGAAATATCTATTGTTTATGTGTGGGACACATCAAAGGAGTGAATAGTTGCCAGAATATACTTATTACAAGCCGTCATCCTTCAACTATTTCCTGATTATTTCAATTTAAGATTCCCGCTTTTACTGTTGTCGTGTAGAAACGTAGGTAAAAAAAAATATATATTAAACGATTATTACAACTATTTAATGTTTTTTTATTTATTATTCAACGTAACGGAAATCGATCTTCGTAGCTTGTCGATTCCATATTGGTTTTAAAAAAATAAAAGACTTTATTGAAACAGTTAAAACATTTACTTCAAAACGAGTCATATAAAATATCAAAACTAAATTAAATTATTTGTTCATTCATAAAGGTACTATACAGATACACATACACAATACACAAAGAATTGAAATTATTGTATTTGTAATTTTAATTTAAAAGCAAATTATAAAGGTTAATGTTGAATGAAGTCTTTTCTTGTTTCTTATATTCCAAACTTACATTTATATTCATACTTATTATTACGTTGGTCCCATCATTTCAAATCAGAGCAAGAGTTCGTTTTCCTGCCAATAATATGTTACAAATACTATTACAATATTAATAAGTATTGGAAGTCATTCGGCACATCGTTACACTTAATTTGTCCCTTTAAAGTTTCATGTAATATTAATGTAATATTAGTTAACCTAAACTATGGCACTTGTTACAATCACTTTGCAGTAGGAGAGTGAATTCATACAGATAAGGGTTCAAAAATCTCCTATTGTTATGGGTGTCACATATTTTTTTCTTAAAACTTAATTTTAAGGCAAATTGAGCAAGTTATTCAGACGTATTACTGCACCGAGGCGAAGGTTTCATAATTATTTGAACTTTACATTTTCTTATTACACACGGTTGCACATCAGGTTACCATGAGATGTTAAATTTTCGCAATTGATTTTGAACTCTACTATCAATGTCTAAAGGTCGTAATCAAGTGGAAAAATTTTACAGTTTTGTGACGTGCGTAATGATAGTTCTTTTTATACGATGCAATTGAATAGGGTAGTTTCGGTAGTGAAGAACATGAATTGTACAAAAACTAAAATATAAATTAAAAATAAACAAAGGTGTTCTGATTTTGAGTCATAAAAAACTTTTTAGTGAATGTTAGTTACCCACTATTTAAACTGGGATTTCTTATTATCGTATTGTATTAAGGCATTTGAAACGTATCCGTCCCATGATATCACTACCCCCCCCCCTCCCCCCCGGCCGGTTCAGGCGTGGTGTGTAATAAAAATAAAAATTAATGTATTCGTTAGTATATATCACATCACTGTCCCATGTTGAACAGTAGTTTAAGATCTTCAATGGATAGTTTGGAGGCGTTCGTGTGCCGCGCACCAGTCAGCACGTTCTCGGCCAATTCCAGCTTGGCGTCTTGCAACTTACGTATACTCTGCTCTACAGTATCTACGCACATGAACCTGCACAAATTGTCTATATGTTAACACTTTAAGCAATTACTTTCTATTATACCACCATTTACAGACATTAATAGACAGGTGATGGCGTACGCAATCACATTAAGACATGCGATCTATAAAATTTTGGTCACGGTGTCTCTTACGCAAGATAAATTAAAGGTTATAATATAAAGAGACATATTACACATATAAAACACGTGTCAAGAACATTAAAACAGTAGTGAAATGACCGCGCGCAGTATGCTGCCAAATATTTCCAAACGGTCTGATGAAAATTTGGCAGATCATATTAAACATTTATTTTTTTCGTATAACATAAAATTTGCGATTTGGCATCGGTCTACGTTTTTTCGTTTTGTTTTTCTTGAATGGACATGTTTTATGGTATTGAATCAACGATGATGATATATGGGGAATTTACAAAAAAAAAATAAAACATGTAATCAAATACATCGGCGTTTATAGACTAACTAGCTCTTGTGCAATTTTTTTGTTCATTATGAAATTCCACGCATATGTTATTTCCAGAGGTCGGAATTAGGTAGTTATTTATGTACTTGCATCGAAATGTTGATATTAATGTGGACCTTCCCGGGATTTCTTTATTTCTTCTTTCTTTCTTTCATTGATGTAAGTTTGGCAACGTCATGCGTGCAGTAGTTTAAATTGTGTAAAAGTAAATAACTTTTTATTTAAAAATCACGGGATTTTCTGCTCTTAAAATTAATCTCGGGATTTGAGGCATATCCACTTTATCCTTCGTTGTATGAAATCAGTGTAAGTACATGAATAACTCTACCTAATTCCGACCACTGGTTATTTCACACTAATATTAATTGATTTATATTATGCGGTCACAAGTTAACAAAAGAAATATCTTAATAATCTTTATATAATTTACTGTTTTAAAAAATATAGATTAAAAACTTATGGAATGAAGTAACATTTTTTACATAAAAAGATTTGTGGGTAAAAGACATACGAAAAAGAACTTTTTGTTGCCTTGTCTGGGCAGCTTTACTAAGGAGAACTGTGGGGATCTCAAACAGGTATTATATTTTAAATAATTCCAAGAAATGTGGATAGATCTGAAATTGGACGATTATTGAAATCTTCCATTCCCACCATTCAGAAGTGTCTTGACGCTGTATTCCGATTCAGCTTCCGTAAGCATTTTATTAATTATTGCCTGGGGGAAATTGTTAATAATAAGCTGACTCACAGACAATCACTCCGTCTATTAGTAGTTCCATGAAAATACATTCGGTATTTTTTTATGTCGTGGATAAAAATAGACGCAGCCGACATTTTTACTATATTTATAATGGTGATATTTTTTTTAAAGTAAATATCATTGCCTACCTATATATGTGTACTGGTTTCGTTTGTCCAACGCGGTATATTCTGTCCTGTGCCTGTTGCTCCAGTTGCGGATTCCAGTGCGGGTCGAGCAGCAACAGGTGGTTGGCCCCGCACAAGTTCAGACCGACGCCGCCCGCACACAGCGACAATAGCATTACCTATTACGACACACACAAAGACATTACGACAAAATTGAACGTGCTATGTCTGGAGTTTTTTAGGAGATAAAATCCGTAATGATGTCATCCGACAGAGAACAAAAAAAAACATTAACATGGCACACAGGATTTGTAAATTGAAGAGGCAGTGGGTTGGCCATATCTGTCGACGAACCGATAACCGATGAGGTAAGCGAGTTCTGGTGTGGAGACCAGGCCCGTCTTTAATCATGGTGTAGGGGGTGCAACGCACCGAGAGTAAGGTATTTAATATTACATAGGTAACTGAATTATAATAAAAAACAATAACAATTTTACAAGACAAAAATAATTTTAGTAGTGTTCTTTAAAATGTGTATATTTAACGTTTTGATGTTTTATTTATGTTGTAAATTTATTACACTTTTTGTTCGTTTATACAAATGTACAGGAAGCTATTTCTGTTTTGCTTTTTAAATATAAATATGTGTAAAATAATTTTTCAAAGCCTTTTTCCTGCAATGTAAATTTGCTAAACTTTTTGTTCGTTTTGTACAAATGTACAGCAAGATATTTCTTTTTTGCTTTTTAAATACAAGTGTGTGTAAAATAATTTTTCAAAGCCTTTTCCCTGCAATGAGGGGGGGGGGAAGCACTGCAACCGGGTGCCTGTTAAAGCCTTTTCCCTGCAATGAGGGGGGGGGGGGGGAGCACTGCAACCGGGCGCCTATTGTGCTTAAACCGGGCCTGGTGGAGACCGCGAATCGGCAAGCGTAGTGTAGGAATACCTCCAGCAAGGTGGAGCGATGATGAACATTAATAACCCGAAACAGGAAAAATTGGAGCGTATCGGTGAAGGCGTATAATTGGTGTGGGCTGATGATGATGATGATGATGATGATGATGATACTGATGATGATGATGATGATACTGATGATACTCACGCGCACGGGCGAGTGCGGGTCGTTGAGCGCGTCGACGAGGCGCGCGCGCGCGGGCACGGGCACGCCGCCGCTGAGCGTGACGCTGCGCACGCCCGCCGCGCGCACCTGCTGCTCCACCAGGGACAGCACCGACGTCCACTGGGACACCACCACGGCTTTGTCACCTGGCAGAGGCAGAGTCGAATTGATTTCTTAAAAGTACTCTTGAATCGTTAAGGACGTCTTTTGGCTGATAAGAAGAACGAGCGAGAAACTCACCAGCTCTAATAGGAGTAATGACATTCACAAAAACCATGTCTTTGCCAGATCAATACATTATAAATAGAGAGAAAAAAAAAACTGTAATCTTATAATGATAACATAATAATGGAAATAAAATATTTTTGTGGGATATAATGAGGTTAGAGGAAATCACCTATCCAATTGCTGGACCAATTTAATTCCAAGCATTCTTACCTGTTATATATGGATACCTTGTAATAAGCTTTTTATTAAGTATTTTTTAATAGTAGATTTAAACTGCATGATATCTAATTGTCGTATTTTTCTTGGGACCTTATTGTAGAAGCGCACACAAAGACCCCTGAATGAGTTATTAACTTTTTGCAGTCTTGTGACAGGCACCGTTAATTTATATTTATTAAAATTGTATACATCACTTTTCATAGAATACAAAATAATATTTTTACGTACATTAAGTTCTCGTATATGTATTAAGAAGCAACAGTCATCATGTCTATTTCCTTCAATTTTTCCCTTAAAGAGTCCCTAATCCTAAAATTGTAAATTGATCTAATTGCTCTTTTCTGAAGCACACAAATCGTTTGTATGTCGGCAGCATTTCCCCATAAGATTCCGTACGACATTACACTATAACAGATATACGATATTGATATCGAGGCAGATATACCTTCGTGTACAAAAACTTCATTGCGCAGACAGTCCATTACGGCGGCTATCTTTGAGGAGGGTCTCGACAGTTGGAACACCGGGTTGTTGGGGGACAACACGGAGCGAATCGCTTCCGCCACACTCGTGCTCTCCTCCGGAGCCTCTTCTTTGTTATCTTCTTCTTCTTTATTGTCACTCTATCAAACAACACAAAATAATCAAGTAATCATTTTAAAATAAAAAATAAAAGAGTAAATCGTCATCAGTTGGATCCTCGTGCACGTCGCTGGTATCATCAGGGTCGAGCTAGATATAGACTGACCTTCCTCCTGGTGCGGGAGTCTTCTATGGTGAGTTTGTTCAGTTCAGCGAGTAAGTCTTGTCCGGCTGGGTCCTCGTGCACGTCGCTGGTATCTTCAGGGTCGAGCATGGCGGCGATGAGGCCGCAATGACAGCACACCTGCCGCAGCCGCAGCAGCAGTACCAAGATCTCGTGAGACTTCACCGGCTTGGCACCTGACACCAACCAAAATAGAATATTTCATCTTAATTAAAAATAATTTCTTAGTACTGATTTTCTCGCGTACTACTCATCAAATAAAACAACTTTATAAAAGCCAACATATATACTAAATGGGAAGTTTTATCTTTTAGTTCTATACCGTGTTTTGTAGCTTAGAATATAGAATACTATATACTAGAAGCTTACTCCTGATTAAAAAAGACAATCAACACCTTAGTCTTACAATAAATGAACATGGAACCTGTGAAGGGTCCAAAACGTCATGAAAGCAAATATAAACGCGCTGAAACACATTAAGGCTGGTTTTATAGTGACGCGTATGCCAGCGCGGTTGGTAACGTCGCGGTCCACGAGCTTTGAGTGCCTTAGATCGTTACACAGTAAAATAAACCGGACGGTGTTTGGGCCCCGCTTGTCAACCGCGCGCGGGAAAGGAGTCACTGTTTGCAAGTACGCGTTACACAGTCACGCAGATCGGACGCGCGCACAAACACGTTACGTACACGTACGTACAAGTCTCATTGCTACAATACGAGGTGGCAAACCGCGTGGTATTGAACTCGTTTTATAGATTCGAGCGGCTCATCCGCGTGCTTGCGAGCCGCGCTTACCACCCGTGCGGACGGTACGCGTCACTGTAAAACCAGCCTAAGGTTGTTCTATTTAGTGCTTGTAAATGTTTACTTAAGAGTAGCTCGGTGGTGCAGTGGATAAGCGCCGCGGCCCGCGATCGTTGGTGATAAGCAATTTTCGCAATGCTCATTCATGGGATAGATGATCAAAAAATCATTATCTTGTGCTAATAATGATTTTTTGATCATCTTAAATCTTAAGCCGTTGGTCCCGGTTGCATTTACAGTCGTTAATTAATACCCTCCAATTCGCTTACCTGATGCGTGGAGGGTCTAGGTCCATCCTACTTAACCATCCACAACTGAGCCCTTGCAGTACATATAAGAGCTGACAATGATAATGATGATGATGTGTTCAATTTAATAACTCTTAAAAAAAACATTTCGAGAAAATAAACATGTTATTATATGTTATACCTTAATGACTTAAATTTCAAACTTCTTTGGAACCGCAACGTATGTGCGAATCTTAATTATTGTATTATAGATTAAGTAGCCTACCTTGCAGGGCGATCATCTTCTTGTGCATTTTATCGTAGGCCGTATCTTTTGCGGGCGGTAAAAAACCTTGAGAATCCGCGTTTTTCTCAGCGCGTTGGTGGAGGAATTGAGCGAATAGTGTCTTCGAGAACACTAACACCTTGACATAGAAACAAAAAGTATTGGTATAAAAAGTTAGTATCAAAACAAAAAACACGAACTTTAAAATTTACTAACACGAAAGAATTTCCATTTAGTCCGTCAGTCAGATAATAGAAAAATAATAGATACGTATTTTCAGGCATTAAAGTTGAGGAGTGGGGGCACGCTACGTCAGTTTTGTAGAAAATGTACCATAGCGTGACGTCATGCGATATTTCAACTCAATGTATCGCCGTAATTTATTGAATACGCGAAAAATTTTAAAAATACATATTTAATATTCTTAATTCAATAATCCACCTGAAGGACAGAAAAATAAAAATGAGTCGTCATCCCTCCCAGCCAACACAGATTAGCTGAATAAATTTTGCGTAAAAGCAATTCTTTTGACTTTAAGCTGGATAAAGTATTTGTATAACTTCTGTGTAAGCGCTTATACAGATGATATTCAAGCAATTTGGGCACAAAATATCTTGCTTCAATTTGGATAACATTTGATTAATAGCTACATAGCAGCTGAATAAATGTACAACACACTGAATATCTTCTGCATAAATTCTGTTTTTTCTTTAGTCCAGAAATTATACATCTCTTATGCAGTTGTTAATTTGTGAGTTCAGATATTCAAATGATATTCACAATTCCGATCTTAGGGGAAGTTTTACAAAGAAATTATGCAAGTAAAAAAAATATAAATGTATTTTTCCTTGTGACGAGATTATTTTGTGATACTTACTTCAAAATATTGTAATGGTCGCTAATTCACGACTTCAAAAATTTGGTAAGCAAATTGTTTCATACATTTTAAGTAAGTTTAAGGTGAATTATATAAACGCATGGCACTTTACTGTGAATTATCAATATGATTATTATACATTTTTTGAGCGCCTTCAGATAAAGCTACATATTAAAAGGTAAACAAATGTGAAATAATATTAAAATTAAATTATTTTTACTTTTTATCAAATGTCAGTCCCAAAAAATAATTAGAAACAAATTTTGTATAACTGCTAATGTTTCCTGCTCACGAAACAAAGTGTTTCATAAGATAAATGTTGAAGATTTTTATAAGAAGAGGTTATGTCGAACGTTAGTTAATGGCGGATGGCCTATTTGAATAAAAGTGTCTATTTCAGTGATTATTTTGCTTATTTCTGCATAATAGTTCACATACGACTACATATCCAGAAATTATTTGGTTTAAAGTACAATAATTATACATTTCTCAGAGAAAGGTCTTAAATTACATAATGCAGTATACTCTAATTCAGCTTTTTAGGGTTCTTTTTTATCGAAAATAAATCCATGAATATTTGAGGTTGATGGGACCTATACTAATGTAGGTAATTTTTATACACTCGGACTTGTTGCGCTCATGTAGTCAATAAGTAAGATACAAACGTAAACATCGAGATTTATTATATAATGTTAGTATTTATAATAGTGTTGTTGTAGTGTTGTAGTATTTTTGAAGTGTTATAGAAAAAAAAAATTTTTTTTCAGAAACATGTTCAAAATCGTTTCGACTTGTAAAAAAGGCCGAGTTGAATTATCAACAGTGCCCGCTTCTAGGGAAAACAAAAGAGTATTATACTGGCCAAAAAAAGGCGAGCTACTTTGCAAGAACCCGAGGAAAGCTGAAGAAGAATTATCTTAAATGTTGAACAGAACTGATACGGATGATACGGAATTAGAACAACATAATTTTTTATTTATTGAAAATAATAATAATATTTTTTATTAAATTCTGAGTTTTCATCCAAATCAGTAGAACTTGAATCACTATCAAATTGTAATTGACATGCAAACTTGTCACGCATATAACTCTCGTTATCTGCATCTAAAGTTGGACCCGGTCTTTTTGTTTGAATCACTAATCCTGATGGTGTTGCACAATCATCGTGTACAGAACCCTCTTCAACTGTACTTGTACTTGACCCGGGCCTATTTGTATTAGTTGTCAAACTCTTTTCTATTACTGCACAGATACTATTTGTTATCTTTTCATACTCTTGTGAACACTTTCTTCTTATTCCTCCCGTTCTTTTTCTTTTTTCCATGAATCATTTACGCTTTTGTTATTATTTTTCTGAGGAGGCATATTGTTGATGCAGTATTTATCAGTTTGGTCACAAAACTGTGAAATATCTGGATATAAACATACGATATCTTCAACTAATCAGTTATTTGCTGCTTAATATACCCACATTTGTAACTGATATTGTTTTAAGCTTAACACAAAGACAATTGTACGCTTATAGCGCTATAAGTTAGGTAAAACAAGGAGTTTATTTTCAATTATGCAGAAGTCAGCTGTGTAAAGAAGAAAAAATCTAAAATATTCAGCATCTGAATAAATTAGTACCATTTCGTACACTATGCAGCTTAAAGAAAATATTTCGTCTAATATTCAGCGTTTTGCTGTTTAACTGCTTTGCTTAAATATGTTATACAAGACAATGCAAAAACTTCAGCTACTGTGCAGATAATAGCTGTTTCAATTACTTTTATTTGAATATTGCTTGTTTAACAGATTCTACTCTTGCTTACTATTCAGCTTGAAAAAATATCGCAAACTTTATACAGAATTTAGTAAGCTTACAACATTATTTTAATTTTAAAATTCTCTTATTCAAAATAAAGCCATAACGTCATCTGTAATGCAAAAGTAATAAAGCTTGACACTGCTTATTGTGGTATATTTTCGCTACTATCTGGCTTATGTGTTGGCTGGGCTATTAGTAGACAATCACCACAATGTATCTAAACCTGAATTGTCAAATTAAGTTAAAGGGAACAGATGACCTCTAGAGGGCGGCGTCGCGTGCAAAAACTTATAATATAGTATCGATGCTTACCGCATACGTTCGAGCTGATACATATGTACAGTAGAACCACTTTAAGTTACACAGTCATGATCGAAGCTCGCGGCATAGTGACATGTCCCGATATAGCCTTTAACTTATGGTTGACTTAACACCTTAATATTTATACTGCAACAATATCCTATTAATATTATAAATGTGAAAGATTCTTTGGTTGGATGTTTAGATGTTTGTCGGTCAATCACGCCGAAACTACTGATCGGATTTTAATGAAATTTGGTATACAGATAGGGTATTAGCTGACTTAGATAATAGGATATCCCACTTTTTATCCCACTTAACATTTCACTAGGGTCCACGCGGGCGAAGCCGCTGGCGAAAGCTAGTATATATATAAATGACATTTTTCAATGGCCAAAGAGAATGAAAGTGTCATGTATTCCATCTAAATAAACCGGACTGATATGCTAACCGTGTGCCCCAGTGGCAGTCGGTGACCGTTACTAAATCTTCTAAATTGATATTTGGAATCTTCTGGTATACGTTCATCTCTACGGGCGTGAGCGTGTACGTGTAGTGTGGGCGGGTACCTTCTGGTATACGTTCATCTCTGCGGGCGTGAGGTGGATGGGGTTCTGGTGCGCGGTCCTGGCGGGCAGCGAGGGCAGGTGGCCGCGCTGCTGCAGCTGGGCTTTGGTGCGCCGCAGCAGGATGCAGCGCATCAGCGTACTCAGCCGCTCCTGCCCGCCCTGGCTCTTGTTGTCGATCCACTTCTTCCACATCTACATCACGTCGTACAACAAACACTCGTCTCTGTTTACTTATTCGATATCATCGAAAATAGAGGAAAAAACTGCTGTTAACGTTTAGAAATACACAACTTTTAATCTTATCGGTTTATATTAGATATATAGTGATCAGGAACAAAACAACCTTTTCTGGTATTTTTTTATTTTTATTTAAGAACATGATAAATTAGACCAATAAGTGTTTAAAGTTGTCCATGAGTTGTCTAATGAAATTAATTAACAAGACATAAATATACTAATTACTAAGCAATGTCTGTATTTGAGTTGATCTTCTATGACAAAAAGTGATACGCATGTAACAAAAGTGTAGAAACGTACAGAGAGAAAAGCTCCGAAAAAATAAATAGACTGTATGAATGAACAGAAATAAATAAGCTGATCGAAAAGTAGAAAATAAGAACACATTGTACCAAGCCCAAATAATAGTTTCGCTAGTAAGTCACGAAATCGCACAAAAACAAAAATTTATTTAATTAAAATTAACACTTACAAGTACTATTAATAATATAATAATTATTTATTTACATAGAGCCAATATACATAAAATAATTTTTAGAATTGGTAATTGGTAAATGTTTCGTGGCATAAGTAAAGTGAGTTTCGAAATGACATAGGAATAGAATGTCTGAGACACATCATCATCACTTCAGCCGAGAGACGCCCACTGCTGAGACACATATATTCAATCAATTTTGTTTTGTATTTTTATAGAAAAAATGGAATCGATATAATTTCTACACTATATGACGTGAATGAGTGAATTCAAATTCAGGTCTGAAATTTTACAGAATCAGGGCTGGGTATGTGGATTCTTTTAAGCATTTCTCATTAAGAATATTTTTCAGTATAGCATTTGTGAATACAAAACTGATCGAATATCAGGGTTTATAATTATAAAGATAATTATCCGTAGTTACTGGCAACATATTTTTAAATACAGAAAAGCATTTATAATGGAAGACAAAATTAATTTAATCGTTTTTACTATAAAAATTATACAAAATAAACAAATATTTGCGTGAACATACACTGAACAATAAATTAAATTAAAATATTTGTTTAAATAAAAAGGAGGCCTTTAATTTTTTTTTTGTAGTACCTCCTAAACAATGTATATAAGAAAAACTAAATTTGATAGTTCTTTTAATAATAAATCAAGTACAAAAATAATTTGTGTGGTGTTTTCTAATAATCAAGATTATAATTGACCGCACCCAGACAAAAATATAATAATTATCTCACACCTGTAGTTCAGTGAAGGGCGTGATCCGCAAGAACTTGACCAGCGCGAACAGGTCCAGGTCCTTGTTCTGCACGGGCGTGCCGGTGAGACACCACCGCCGCCTGGCGCGCAGCGCGGCCACGCCCAGCGACGTGGCCGACTTGTGGTTGCGCACGATGTGCGCCTCGTCCAGTATCACGCGACGCCAGCGCACGCGCATCAACACACCGTTCTACGTACACACATTGTTTGTTTATTATTTACTAGCTTTCGCCAGCGGCTTCGTCCGCGTGGTCCCTAGGGAAAAATTTTGTGGGATAAAAAGTATCCTATTATCTAAGTCAGCTAATACCCTATCTGTACACCAAATTTCATCAAAATCCGTTTATTAGTTTCGACGTGATTGACCGACAAACATCCAAATAAAGAAATTTTCACATTTATAATATTAATAAGACTTATTTTACAAACTAGACATTTGCATGACTAAAAGAAACGAGAAACAGAACACACATGGAATGTCATTATTTAAATATAAAATAAGTTTCAAAAAAGTTAATGTTTGCGAGGATTTTTCGGATATATTGAGAAAAAGACATTAAGAATATTAAGAGATTATTAAATTATATTAATTTTATAAAAAAAAAGTATGTGTCGGTGTTCGATTTGAATAAAGTGTTGATCAAAGATGCGACTACACGATTCTAAGAATCACAAAATACATGTGACTTATAAAATAATATCACAATTTTCATTTAACAAGGCACGGTAATATAGAAAGATGGAAAGAAGAGGTTCACAAATTCCATTGAAAATTGGTATACACGTTAACCTGGTCGTGGTCTCGCTGCAGTATGTTGTAGGTGGTGATGACGAGGTCGTGCGCGGCGAGGCGGTGCGGCTGTTGCGCGCGCGCCGCGCCGTGGTGCAGGTGCACGAGCGCGGCGTGCGCGCGGCAGTGGCGCCGCACCTCGCCCGCCCACTGCTGCATCAGCGACGCCGGGCACACCACCAGCGTGCCGCCGCGGACCACTGCCCACACACACACACATATACACACACACGAGCGCGGCGTGCGCGCGGCAGTGGCGCCGCACCTCGCCCGCCCACTGCTGCATCAGCGACGCCGGGCACACCACCAGCGTGCCGCCGCGGACCACTGCCCACACACACACACATATACACACACACGAGCGCGGCGTGCGCGCGGCAGTGGCGCCGCACCTCGCCCGCCCACTGCTGCATCAGCGACGCCGGGCACACCACCAGCGTGCCGCCGCGGACCACTGCCCACACACACACACATATACACACACACGAGCGCGGCGTGCGCGCGGCAGTGGCGCCGCACCTCGCCCGCCCACTGCTGCATCAGCGACGCCGGGCACACCACCAGCGTGCCGCCGCGGACCACTGCCCACACACACACACATATACACACACACGAGCGCGGCGTGCGCGCGGCAGTGGCGCCGCACCTCGCCCGCCCACTGCTGCATCAGCGACGCCGGGCACACCACCAGCGTGCCGCCGCGGACCACTGCCCACACACACACACACACATATACACACGCACGCGCATTCGTACACCGGTTGTAATCGCACTAGGCAAGTAAAACTATTTTAAATCTGCCGTTTGATACATTATAAGCATATTCCCCATAGCAGAAGGGTGTTGATCTGTCTGCGACAGATTATAAAAACCTGAAAATAAAATTCTGTTTCTGCTAGTGTAATTTTTTTATTTATGTAAGACTGCTGAACTGTCTGCAGACCTACTCGGCTGTCTGCGACAATGTCGTAGTGTCGCTCGTTGTTCTGCCTTGGGGAGCATATTTCATAAGAATCTGTTCTATTTTCAGTGAAAAGAAAATAACTGTCAAAGTTTATATAGACAAAATAACGGAACCACCGATACACACACGTTCATTTGTACACCGGTTGTAATTGCACTAGGCAACTAATATCTGTTTGACACTTCTCTGAAAACTATTTTAAATCTGCCGTTTGATACATAATAAACACGCTGTCAGTATATTTCACGGGAATCTGTTCCATTTTCGGTGAAAATAACTGTCAAAGTTTATATAGACAAAATAGCGGAAAAACCGCTACTCTATGTAATGGCGCTGATCACGTGGTATTTGTAACGTCACACGCCTGTGAATATGTCAAGGCGACATAAACCTAATCATCAACAATCTATTTGCGAAGTAAACAAATAGTATTACAGAATAGAAATTGAAGTAAAATTTTATGTTTTATATTTTTGTATCTACTCTGATTTTGTTTATAAAGATGAGCTACAAATTGTATGTATAAATATAAATTTTTCGTATCTCTAATAATTCTCTATTGACATGACAACTTCCTGTTTACGTGTGACGTCACATGGCGGTAAACAGAACCTGTTATTTTTACCCTTTTTTATCTTAAACAACCAATACAAACCATATTTGCAAAGAAAAAAAATTTTGTTGCTATATACATATATATTCAAATGAGCTTTACAATTACAATTTATTCAAAATTTTAAATGAATTTAATTTGGCTATAATTTGCCTTAAAATTATTATCTCTTTTGCAAACATATAACATTAGGAAAGAAAACTATTTAAATCTTTTTTCAGTGTAAATACATACTATTTATGTGACTTGATTCTTTTTTCTATTAAGAAAAAGTAGAAAAAAACGGCAAATACCTTTGGAATTGCTCTTGCCCTTCTCTTCATCGTCATCCTCTTCGTCGTCATCGATGTTACCTTCCTTGTCTGCCATTAACAGGGCTATCATGGTGATAGTTTTGCCTAGACCCATGTCGTCAGCTATGAAAAAAAATATATATATATCATCATCATCAGCCCTTTTACATACTATTATTATTTTTTCGTGACCTTTCTATTTCCGTTGGCAAGTTAAGTTAGTGCTACTATCTAGGCTACATCTGTAGTCGTTAACACCCATCAATCCGCACTCGATCCGTGTGGTCAGCATGCGAGGGCGTCGCTGATGCGGCATCAGCTAGTCCACCATAGTTACCTAGTATCCCTCCACAGGGCCGCTGAGTCTCCCTCCACCGCAGCCAGGCGAGCGCGTGTCGCTGATGCGGCATCAGCTAGTCCACCATAGTTACCTAGTATCCCTCCAAAGGGCCGATGAGTCTCCATCCACCGCAACCAGACGAGCGCGTGTCGCTGATGCGGCTTCAGCTAGTCCACCAAAGTTACCTAGTATCCCTCCACAGGGCCGCTGAGTCTCCCTCCACCGCAGCCAGGCGAGCGCGTGTCGCTGATGCGGCATCAGCTCGGTGGTGAGGGCGGCGGGCGCGGTGGCCAACTCAGTCTCCGGCGGACGAGATGCTAATGATTGGTGGAGATCACGTAAACGGTCCAAGATGACGTTACGCTCCGCCATATGTGTCGCCATCGCTGAAAATCACGCCAGTACAATAACTCCTTACTAATATAGCTTGTCGTGAATCTTCGTTTGCGCAAAGCAGACCTACCAATTTTGACGATGACCATACATATGGTTAAAATGTATGATGTACCTTGTGTCAATAACCATAAAGTGTATAATATACAATGCATTAGGTGTCCATATCACTCACACTCACAGGATCACCTGATGACGGACTACTTGAATCTTTCTAATTGATAGTCATTTGGCGCACTTCAATAGCGTTGTGTGGACTAATATAGATGTGGGTGAAGTTGCATCACAGTCGAATTCTCGATCTATTATAACATTTTTTTGTGTGCGCATGTTCTAATTATATTATTTTTCTGACTGTTACTATTCATTCCATCAATATGATGGTAGCGATTTTTGAAAGTAGTTAAGTCAAAACTACTCCGAAAAACTACGCGAAGACTCGTTATGACCATTTTGTACTCAATCTATAAACTAAAACTATTGGTTATACAAGACCATCGTGACCAAAAAATCATTATCTCGAGCTACTCTGTGCTTCGGAAGGCACGTTAAATCATTGGTGCCGGCTGCTTTTGCAGTCGTTAATACCCTCCAATACGCGTTAGGCCAGCGTGGACCAGTCATGGCCCATCCTCCTAAACCATTCGTAAAGAAGGCCTGAACCCCTGCAGTGGGAACATATAAGTGCTGATGAATACGAAGATGATAATTTGTATGAACACAAAATTATAAAAAAACTGGAGATGTGATGTCTCAACTCTCAAGCAATGTTAAACAGAATGTAAAAATTACTAACATAACTTATTTTGTATTTCAAATGTTTTGTAAGCATTCATTATTGTGAACTTACCTTGTTTGCCGAACATTCGAGGCTGTACCGAGTTACTGGCTTTTTGTATGTCATCCCAAGACATCCCCTTATTAATCCCATCATTTGATATATCCTCTGCTGTTGACTTATCTAAAATTAAAACATATTTACGCACTATCAATAAAAGTTATATAAATATTTGTCCATCTTTAAATTATTATTAGGTATAATAAAGAACATCAGAGCTAAAGATGTGGATAAAATTTCAGGTGAAATGATGCTCAGAAAGGGGGTAAAATTTCGGTTACTAGATTTACCCCTGTATTCTTATATATCTTCATGCTAGATTCCTTCATAAGATAGGCAGAGGGAAGCGAGCTTCACAAGATTCTCAAGACACGGTACTTACACACTAGAATGATTGCTAAAAACTTTTGCTATTATGTACCGTTATATATTTTTTTTAAATATAAGGTACATGGTAGACATGCCACTTTTTGCAATTATTCTGTTATTAATGACAATGAAAGTTTAAAACAACATTAATTTTACACACTATTCTATCACGTGCCCCTTTCCTTCCTTTAGACCCTCCAAATCAAGCTCAATAGTCAGTTAATCTTCATCGCTCACCTGTTTCGACGACCATATTAGCAACTTTATCTCCCTGACGACGAACCTCAGATTCCAGGGCCGTCAGCCTCTCTATCAAACGTACACCGCCATCTGGCAGAGTACTCACGTCCATGTTGTCAAGGAGATTCTATACAGTAAAGAACATCATCATCAAACTAACAATCCATTAGTGGGGACAAATTTCCTCTATTAGTGGAATCACTCAAGGAGAACAGCACATTACCCTCCAGCGAGTCCAGTAGAGGAGACCAAGTGAAAGTTATTCCTAATTTTGTTGGATGTCACTAAATTAATGAGTCTCCACAAAATATGAGAGGTCATAGAGTTTGCATCTCGAATTTATAGTGTTCACTCGCAAAGAAACTGCCTCATCTCAGCGATCAAAGATGTTTGTTAGACATGAGTTTCTTGCATAAACTTATTAATGGGCATATAAAATCTAATGAGTTATTGTCACGTTTGTCTTTGACGGTGTCTGTGAGATATCCCAGACACCATATAAGCAAAACTTTTGCTAGACTGTTTACTAGAACCAATGTTGGTCTACAGTGTCCTTTGGTGTGAATTTGTGGCGAGTATAATGATCTTTGCAATAATATATTGGATTTGGATGTGTTTCACAATAGCTTGCATAATTTTAGAAAATTTTGGTTAAATCTTTCTGTCATTATCGATAAAATAAAGTAACGAAGTAGCACTTTCTCGATATTTTATACAATGAAAGTTATGTACGCCGTTAATTTGATGCATATCAAAATTGTTTACTTTTAGTTTATATTCTTAACCTTAATTGTTTTAATATGTATCATGTGGCTGTACTGTGCAAATAAATAAATAAATAAATAAAGAAGGCAATGGACCTAAAAGTTTATATCTATAATTTAGAAAGCAAGAGGAAGACGGTAGAAAAGGTGTATAGAATGTATAAGGATTAATATGAAATAAAGGAAATTAATGACGAGATGACGGCTGACAGAGAAGAACGGGAGAACAAAACACACATCCTCACTCACCCTTATGTTATGTAAATCTTCCTGTAGCCCATTCAGTTTCCTCAACTCGGTCTCCCTGACTTGCTTCTTTACGTAAACCACTTGGTTTGGATAACTAGGAGGTACAAGGTACTGTCTGATTGTGCCATCCTTACTAACTTCTGATATTTCTTCATTTTTTGCTTTAGAAGAGTTTTTCGGTGATTTCTTCGCGTTCGGCAATTTCTTATCATCTTTGACCTAAATGAAAAAATATATATATATGTGTGTGTGTGTGTGTGTGTGTATTTGTTTAATGATCAGAGTGCTTAAGGACAACGAAAGCTTCAACTTCGAAGTTGTAAAAATTATATTGTATTTAAACATCTTGACATGCCGTGCTGTTCAAGTTTTCCTTACTAATATTATATAAGACAGATAAAGTTTCTTTGTTTTTTGTTTGTTTGTAGGGTATACTCCAGAAATACTGATACATTCATGAAAATTATTACACTTGGGAAGCTACATCTTATGTCGCTTCTGGTGACATTTGCTAAAAAGTCTAAATCGATATATGCTAAAAAGTAAGTTGGAAAATGAGACTGTACAGCTCATACGCCATTCCCTTTTCATTGCGAACTACTGACCTAAAGATTTATGAACTTCCCATTGAATATATTTTAAAATAAAGAATATTCTGTAAAATATTATTATACACATGTTGTATTAAAATACAATTCTATACTTATACAATACTCACTATACTAAAATTTACGAATTTGATTAATAATAAAATTCCTTTTTCAAAAAATACTTCTGGCTTCAAACTTTATAAAAATCGAGATTTTCTTTAGGTGTCACTAAAAATATTAAATGTCAATATAAAAAAAAAATAGTTTAAATAATATAATGAAAATGTTGAAGATTTTATTTATCTGTACGATATATATTATTGTTATGATATAAAATTGGTTCACAATTCGCTGATAAATCGGTGAACGTATGTAATAAAAATATACATAGCCATTGAACTTGCATTGACCATAGAAAATCCTCCTTTTCGATTTTGAAATCATAGGTATGTTGTTAATATTATGCCTTCTTTTTGATAAGTTGCATATTTATTGATTGTTTGTTTGCAGCAAATAATCCACACAGTGTTGTAACTCTATTTATACTCACAGGTTTTGGACTCCGGGGCATATTGCGATATTCAAAATGTTATAACAATTAATTATATGATTAGGAATACAAGAACTAACATTAATAAATCAAAATTAAATTTTATATTCTATCGTCAACATAAGAATTCACAAAATTAACACGTAATAGTAGACAAACACTAATTAAGTATCTCTTTGTCCCTTTTATTTGAATCTACCTTCAAAAGCATTCAATAATAATTTGAAATAACAACCAACTAAACGCGATCAACGTAATGACACGCGTCTAATTCGCGGGTAGTTTTGAACGTTTCGTCGTATGTTTTTTTTTATTAATAAACACTTCTGTGTATGCTTTGCAATATTTCAAATAACTTTGAGACAACATTTGGAAGTACGAGTATGTAGAGACTATTCTCTAAGACTATAACTATGTGATGAAGAAATATAATATGAATAACAAGTTAAATATCCTAAATTATATTTCAGAATTAGATAAAAAATATATGTATAGCAAAACTAGATCTGAGCGGTAGAGGAAATCCGGCAAACTGGATAACTTAAGCTTGACACACTAAATACTAACTAAACTATAAAGATAAAGACAAAATGACTGCATATTTATTTTTAAATACTAATCATAATTAAAGCAGTTATTACAATAAGAATGTCTTTTTCTCGTGCCAGAACCGTACTGGAGTATTGTAACTGGGTCTTAGTAGATTTTAATGCAATGTCATCCATTAAAATATCATCATGTTTTCCATTTTGGTTTTTGGTGTTTGTGGTGTTAAATTTCTCCATATCTATTTTGTCCAATAAACATTTTACAAGTATAAAAACCTATTTAAAATTTAATCAAAAGACATTACTTATCTCAATAAATATCACAGTATCAACAAGCTGGCACAAACTAAAATTGAAGAAATACGTATTATGAAATATTGAACTACGGCCAGCCACACTGTATTTTCATTTGCGCTAGTTTGATTCTATTACGACTAAAGTAAAGACGCGATATTCTAGGAAAAAAGAATATCCTTCATGATATTCTCACTTCTGGGAGTGTTGTTTATTTCTGAGAAACTGTTAAATTTCTGAAACACTTTGTAATTTCGCTTCTAATACGCAAAAGTAGAATACTTATCTCTGGCTATTGAGGCAAATAAATTTCTCAAAGTATTTTTCTACATTAATTTAGCATTGTGAATAAAATTTACCAAATATATTAGAAATGAATCAAAATTGTTCCAGTACTTAAATAAAACTCAACTTTTCTTACCTGGTCCTCATCATCGCTGCTTAATGCTATAATTTCTGGTTTACTATCTATAATAGTAACATCATCGTCAGCGTCGTCATTGATACAAATAGATTCTTTATTTGAAACCTTATTGGTTATAATAGAATAAGATTCATTTAAATTTTTACTTAAATCTATTAAGGGTATATTTTCACTGTCATTGGCTTTAGAAAGTCTTTCTGTTTTAGAACAATTATTTTCATTGGTTATATCCTTTAAAGGGCTAGTGAAAGGTGAGCAAGTGAGCCTGGAGGTATCCTGATCTAATGCATCAGGTATAGGAACAGTTTTGTCATTAGAAATATCAATATCAGGCAAATCGTTGAGGCTACATGTTGAACCTGCATGAGAATTTGTTTTACTCTGAAAGAAAAGAAATCCTGATTTTATAAGAAACAAAATTGAAATAATATTTTCAGTTGTTATCTCTTTGCCACAATGCTTTAGTTAATTTACGTTTGTGTTCTATTAAAAAATACTCACACCGTCAGTCTGAATAAAATCAGAGTCATCACTATCATTGTCCTTTGGTATCACACCCATAATACTCATACGTGTTGCCCGCGACATCACCATTTGGTCCTCATCAGGTCCATCGTCATCACTATTATTAACTTCAATGTCTTCATCTTTCTTAGATCCCTCATCACTCTTAGCTTCCTTGTCACTTATGACATCATCATTGCTTCCACTTACATTATCACTATCATTGTCAACATTATCATCATGAAACTGAATTCCCTTCTTACCACTGTATAGTTTCAGAGGTGTATCTTTTAAACAGGTAAGTTTACGATTTTTGTCATGTTCAATAAGTATAGAATTGTCAGTATCAGAGTCTATGATCATTCGTTTTTTGGATCGCATCTGACCCAATAAAGATTTTGATTTCGGTTCTGTTGATGATTTAGGGGGACGCTTTCTTGGTACGATTTCTGGAGACCAGTCTCCTGTTGGATTTTATTTCAGTTTACAACATCAATGTATAAAAACGAAAATAAAATGAAATGTAGAGTTTAAGTTACCTTCATCGTCATCATCATCAGAAGAACTAGGAACCATTCTGTTGGGAGATGTTTCAGATTGTCTTCTGATACTTCCTCTTCTGCTAGAGTCTATAACAGATATTTTATTTATTTATTTATAATATATATACACACAAAGGTCAATGACAGGGTTTCCTATTTATTAAAAAACCATCCACCTTATTGTATTATTATTAAAACTATATATTTATAATTTTATTATTATAATTCTCTAATGGTGGGCTTGTTGTGTGTGTGTGTGTGCATGTGTGAAAGACATTATGGTACACAGGCTAACTGACTTAGATAATTTCTGATCACAGTTTTAGAACTGCAGTTTAGTTAGTCAACTATTGTTTTATGTGATCTATGTGAAAAAATTAAATATTGGTAAAATTAAATTATCATGATGCAGGTGCTTTAACTAAGATTTAGCATAAGCAAATAAATTAAATATATGCTGTGTGACACCGTACATGATTATTATATGTTATTTAATAGTTTTTTTACATAAACACAGAATAATTTTAACTCACCATCATCACTGCTTAAAATTAAATGTGTTTCAGTAACACCGCTTCTCTTAACCAAAGCCTTTGTTATGTTTTCTTGCTCAGATGCAATTTGTTCTTCATCAGTTTCTATAAAAAAATTAAAGCAGGGTGCACTGTTTGCTTCAAATTTTGAAATTTTGAAGTAGTTAAAATCATAGCTTTATATACATTGCTACAAGATTTTAATATTAGGACCTCATAGACATTATTGCAGAGTCAACAATTTAATATATTAAATAATACAATGACCCAACCAGTAGCTCTTAGGGTTAGTAACAGTTATTTATTTTTATTTATTTCTTCTAAATTTAGAGTACAAATACAACAAGTTTATGCAGGAGGCAGGAGTCGAAACTAGGTAGATCCCATTCTATGGAACTTCTGAGAATATTGAGGAAATATTGAGGCAATTGAAAAATATGTGGTCAGGTGACCCCTCATCTAGTTCACATAAAGAGAACTATCCCGAACTTTTATTTTCGCCAAATGGACAGAAGTACATTTATGACCAATTCTACTTACCGTCTTCACCAGAATTATCAGATTCTGCAACAAACAAAGTTTGATTTTTGACCGCTGATTTTTTCTTTTGTACGAAAGAATCTTCAACTAAACTGTCGTCGATAATTTCCGATCCTGAATCTCCATCAAGTTCCGTATTATCTCGATACTCAAAAAATGAATTTTCCATATTTACGATATAGTGAAATTTATTTTATTACCTGAAAAAAAGTCTTCCGATTATTATTTTTGAACTTGGAAATGTCGTTGACAAACGTTTCGTTTTGATACACGATTAAAATTTTAATGAACTTTATATTTACCAGTACAGTAATATAATGAAAATACCACCCATTATCTACTGTACGTTATACAACACATTTTTTTATTTAGTACAAATATTTATGTTAAAATATGTTATTAAAAAGAGTTTAATGAAATTAATAATAAAACGAAAATATTTTTTCTTAATAAATTTTTAAGGTCAAGGGATCCTAGCACGTACAGTTGGTATTTCGTAATAGGAATGGGCAAAAACTATCGATATATTAAATTAATATCGATATAAAAAAGCGATATATTTTTCCCGCGATATATCGGCTTTCGATATTTATTTTCAGATATCAAATTCGATTTTTTTTTTAAATTTCTGCTGTCTGCAAGTGCATCACATCATGTATTTCTTAAATTTAGAAAAAGAGTAGGTGGACAGTAGGCTGTATGAGTTTAGTCTATGACCTGTTTATGTTTATTTGTTTGTCTTTTTATTTGACAGTGACACTGCTTGTTGGTTTAGTTGGTATCACTGAGTGTGCTCCTGATGACAATATCAGAGAAATGCACGTTTGTTTCAACAATCTAATTTTGGTTCTGTTAATAATGTTGTTTTCTTAGCTTTATGTGCCTATTTTAAATAATAAATCTGATATCAAAACAGCCAGGTGTGTAGTTGCTTCAAAATTTCGAATATTTTGAAATTATCATTGATAATCGCTTAATACGCAGAAAATATTGATATATTTTTGACGATATTTATCGATACATTTGAAAAATATCGATTCGATATATTTCGATATTTTTTTCCCCATTTGCCCATCCCTATTTTGTATTCCAAGCTATGATTCCAAGTGCCTTCTTCTTCTTCTTTTTAATTAATGGCGTAACCCTTGTGGATTTTGCTTGAATCTAGTGTTTTGCTCAGTTAACTTCATTATAGTATTTTATAAACTCTGCTTTTTGTATGTTGATAGTGAAAACCCAAGTACTTACACAACTTAAGTGTTACTGATGTTAGAAAATTCTATGACAGGCAAATCAAAGACGTATGTATATTACCCTTAATATGGAATAGGACGTATTTAAAAATAAAAAGAAAGTACCCAAAAAGCACCTCTACTAGATGGCGACTCTAGCAAAAGTTGATTTTTGCAGGAAACGAATGGACCAAAGATACTCATTTTTATTCCTTTTAACTAACAAATGAAAAAACTGAAAGTTGCAAAGAACAATGGCCATCTGCCTAACATGCTTGGACTAGTAAAATCGAATAAAACGTAACTTGATGAAACATATGTTATTTTGTTTGCCTATGCAACTAGAACAAAGAAAGACATAAAATATATTTTTAAAAGCTGGGAGTATCGAGTAATTGTGTAATATGTTTTTGAGGTTATGTCGTATTATTTAAACTGTAGTTTTGAGTTAGAGGTATTACAGTTGAAATATGTAAAGCACACGTCAGATAATGCCTAATCGTAATCCTAGAAGTGCATACTTTCACATAATACTTCAAACTTGCTCCATATCTGATAAATTATTTTTATTGACTGTAAGAAATAAAATCATTTTTTGTGAACCAATGTACTTAAAAAAAAATAATAGAATTTTTAAGATTGCTCTCAGTAACTCTACTTTTCTATCTTACACTATAACTTATATAAAGTAGTAGTGAAAATACTAATTCCAAAATGATATAGCAAAACAACATGTTGATTTTTCTTTTCTTTATTACAACTCTAATGAATACGGAATCCTGCAGGAGCAGCTACATTCTGTTCGTGTCTGGCCCATCCAAGATACCAAACTATGATCATCATATGAGCACAGCATCCCAGTGTACATCGACCAATTAGTACACATAATATTGTTTCCTCCCAATGTCTCGACTTAATTCTACCCGTTATAATTAGGAGTTTATTTATATTTAAGTCTAATGCTAATAAATCCAGAAAATCCGGTATTTCTCTCCAGACCTCAATTCTATAGTGCCTATGGATCCTAGTATGCTCCTCATAATACAGAAGATAATACAAAATCACCGCTAAAGTTACAAAACGGTCTGCATAGAAACACGTCTACACACACATACTTGTCTAAAAAAGGGTGGTCGCAATCGATTGAATACTGTAATATCGATTCTTATGAATAATCATTTGTTTTTAATTTCATTATAAATAATAAATTATTTTCCTCTGAGTAACATTTAATTGTATTAGTAATCTAATCTAGGTTTTATAATTTTCACGGATTTATATGGTTCTTAAATAACATAAGATTTGTATCAAATTCGATTAGTCAGAAATAAAATAGATCTTGTTCTTTGAAAAGAGAGGGACTTCTCTAGGAATGACATTATTAATAAGATGCGTTCAAAAATAACATAATTTAAACTGCGTTCTAAAAAATAAAGACATATTTTAGAGAGGATTATCTTTCTTTTCCCAGCTTTTAAAAATAAATTGTTGGTATATAATAATTACATTCAACTTATACTACATTTTGGTGATAGTTCCATCTTGGTACAAGAACTTTTTTTTCGTAGTCCATTTTGACCATTGTTCTTTCGAAACTTAAATACGAAAAAGTTCTAATAGAATACGAATTCTTTATTGAGTTTTGAAAACTAATTTACTTTTATACATGAAAGAAAAACATGGTGATGGAGAAATCAAGAAAGTACCGTAGCGCCATCTATTCGGATTTCGGAAACTAATTTTCTTTTTTAAATACTTCTTACATAGAATGATTACGTGCATATTGTTAATCTGTGATTACGTGGGACCCTTTTGGGACTATTGCACAAACTATAGACAATATTAAGAAAGACATTGACATATCGTATTTGTTTGACATTGACAAACAGTTGTTTTTGTTGTCGAAACGAGTGCTTGCAAACTGAGATTGTTTTCCTAACTTTTGAATAAAAATCACATAATTTGAATCAATTTTATTTTATAATGACTGAAGTACAGCTGCAAGAATTTAAGTTAGAACCTGATTCTGAACTACGGTTCGAAGTAGAGTCTAAAAACGAAAAAGTAGTCTTAGAAGTACGGTTTAAGGCTTTTTTACTAATTTGTTGTCTAAATATATTTTCCTGAAGCTCATATTATTTCTTTCTTTCTTATATGCAGGTTAAAAGTGGGTATGCAGAATTATTTGGCACTGAACTTGTGAAAGGGAAGCCATACGAGTTCCATACTGGCTCAAAAGTTGCTGTGTTCACGTGGCACGGTTGTACTGTGGAGCTGAGGGGACGCACAGAAGTCAGTTATGTAGCTAAGGAAACACCTATGGTAATATTATATTTTGTATTCTGGTTCTATAGATTATAGGTTAGGACTCAGGTTATCAACAGATATAAAACTCTTTTAAAACAATACTATGTGTATTAAATATATTTAACTGACTTTCCAGGTTGTTTATTTAAATGTACATGCAGCATTGGAGCAACAGAGAGTAGCTGCAGAACAAGAGGGCACTCGCGGTCCAGTAACAATGGTTGTAGGCCCTGGGGATGTGGGGAAATCTACATTGACACGGTTACTACTTAATTATGCAGTTAGAATGGGTAGGAGGCCGATATTTGTGGATCTGGATGTTGGGCAAGGAAACATCAGTATTCCTGGAACTATAGGTAAATAATGCTGCTTTATTGACTTTAACTTAAGCAGATCTTTTGGGCAAAATGTTTTTCAATATCTCTGCCATTTGTTTTTTATGAGTAAATGTTTTCGTTATCAGTGTGGGTACCAGACCTATGGGCCCATATAAACAAAAGGTTAAAAACAAAGACAAAACCATATTAGTTATATGTTTGCAGTTTGAGTAATGTGTTTAATGCTTCAAAAAATTTAGGTGCCACACTTGTGGAGAGGCCAGCTTCAATAGAAGAGGGTTTCAGTCAGCAGGCACCACTGGTATATCACTTTGGACACAATTCTCCTGGGGAGAACTTGGAGTTGTACAACACCATTGTGACCAGGCTGGCAGAAGTAGTCACAGAGAGGTGTGAGAATAACAAGAAAGGTAATATGCATCTCATAATTGTACTTCTTACTTTCACCTGCGGTACTCATGACTGATAACAGTTACCATTTGTAGTTTTAGAACAAGTTAAACAGTGCCGTTTATATGAGCCTAATTAATATCCAACTGGAACTAAATAAAACTTCAAGAATTATAACTTAAACACTTAAACTGTTACTATATCCTCTTATCCTGAGCTCCATTGTTTCGGTTGTGGTTTCTACTCTAAAAGAACATGACTGTATTGAATATGTGTAACCTTTTTCCAGCATCAACATCAGGAGTGATAATCAATACGTGTGGGTGGATCAAGGGTGCCGGCTACAAAGTTTTAACACATGCAGCTCAAGCATTTGAGGTAAATATAATAATAACAATGTGCTTTATTCCCAATAAATTGGGTTATATGTATAATGATGATATTCAATGACAATATTAGGATAATTGTGAATCTATTATGTAGAATAATAAAAACAACATTGTAAAAAGGAATAATCCAGTTCTGTATCAAACCTTTCTCACTAAAGAAGACAAGATTAAAGATTCTGTAGATATTTATTTTTGTAGGTTACAACCATTCACACCCCACTATTTATATATTTTATGTTTGATTATATGTTTAATGTACTCACCCACAAAATAATATCTTTCAGGTGGATGTGATATTAGTTTTAGATAACGAAAGACTGTTTATAGAACTGAAAAGGGACATGCCGAAGTTTGTTAAAGTTGTGTACCTGCCTAAAAGTGGAGGGGTAAGTCTTTAAGAGTATTAGTGTAAAGGATTTCTTTTTTAAATGTTCAATTGTACATTACTATTCTGACTGTAGGTTGTGGAGCGATCGTCAGCGCAACGCTCAGAAGCACGAGACGCGCGCATCCGTGAATATTTCTATGGTAAACGGACGCCATACTACCCGCACTCGTTTGACGTCAAGTTTTCAGACTTGAAAATTTATAAGGTATGTTGTCGTAATTATGCAGACTTAGTTATGTAAATTAGGATTTCCTTGTTAATTATATAAGGTATGTTGTCGCAACTATGTAAACTTAGTAATGTAAATTAGGATTTACTTGTTAATTACGCATATTATAGCGTTGTTAATATCAAAGGGACTACATATGTATATAAACGAGTGTATATTTTATTTTATTTATTTAGCTCACAGAACAAGTTACTGTAATATAATTTAAATAAATATACAACTAAGAAAAAAACCATACTGTAACTCATAAAGTGAGCATATTATGGACCAGATATACAATTTAACATCAAAACGTAACCGCAGAACATTATATAAAAAGATAAAAAAAGAATACAGCTAAATAAGATATAAAGAAAACAGACAAACACATGCTTCTAAGAGCGCAGGATGCCTTGGACTTGTCCTTAAAAGTAATTATTTTACCGTTGAAGATATCCAGTGAACAATCATTATACAGGCGACACATACTTGTAATGGGATTATAAAATGAAGTCTTATTTCTATAGATTTATTGTAGGTAGAAAATTCTGTTTTTATGAGGATTACGCGATCTGTATTTTATATTAAAATTTAGTAAACAGACAAGAGACCGTGAGTCAATGAGTGCATGCACTATTGTAAATACTGGAAAGGCTGGACATTTTAAATTTTTGTAACTTTCGGTCAGTTGCACAAACGCCCATTAACGTTTAATGACGTTTTTAAGGTCTAATGGATGTCAAATTTGTATGGGTAATGTCGCTTTAAACTAATTAACTTTTTAATAGGTGTTTGTGCAACTGGCTGTTTGACTCGTAGGACTTGTATTCTGGTTGTCGTATAAGACAGTCGAGTGTGTGAGGGTCGGAGTGTATAAGAGGGCGAGTGCAGGTGGGGGCGCCGTCGCTGCCGGACTCGTGCATGCCGCTGGGGATGCGTGCGGAGGACGCGCTCACGCGGGTGGTGCCGGCGTGGCCGTCGCCCGCGTTGGCACATCGAGTTCTAGCGGTCTCGTTCGCGGCCGCCGCCGACGAAGACCTCCTTCACACTAACCTCGCGGGATTTGTATGCGTGTGAGTATGATACTTTTTTTATTAATATCGCGCTTCGTTTATCATTTTCACAATTATATACTGCATACTAGCTTTCGCCAGCGGTTTTCCCGCGTGGTCCCTAGGGAAATATTTAGTGGGATAAAAAGTATCCTAATATCTAAGTCAGCTAATACCGTATCTGTATATCAAATTTCATCAAAATCCGTTCAGTAGTTTCGGCGTCATTGACAGATAAATATCCAAACAGCCAAATAAAGAAACTTTCACATTCATAATATTAATATATGTATATATATTTTAATTCAAATTTTTATTTCAAACTGGATCGATTGAAATTATTTTCTATTATTGAATATAATTGATTTATTAACAACTTGAAAACAAATATTTAACTACAAACATGTCAATTTTAAATTATCTTTTACAGTACAGCGGTGGACATGGAGCGGCAGACACTCACTATACTCTCCCCGCAGCCGAGGCCCCTACCCAACACAATCCTGCTGCTATCCGAACTGCAATATATGGATAACCACTAGCATAGATCATATTGTACATACTTTTATTTATATCTCATAATAAATAAATCATATTTTATATTAACATCTTTCTTTTATCTATCACCAATTAAAACTGAATAAAACACTTGATCATTTTGAACAAACTTTGTTGTCCAGAAAAAAAGAACTATAACTCACGAGTAGATGGTAATCTAACAGAAGATCCAGTGAGCATCTCACGCAAAGAGAATTTAAACACCCGCAGGCCAATTCCGTAATAATCGCACCTCAATGGAACTTTAACGGCCTGCATATTACCATTGTACTATCTATCTATCTACTGTACTATATACTATCTACTAATTCCCGATATTATTAGTACAATGTCTTCCTCACACATTAATGCTGACAGATATACTTATAATAATATTGGACTTTAATGCAAGTAGTTCAGATTCTATTGAGATGCGATTATTAATTACATAAACATTGCGAGGGAGTTTCCGTCAAGTGTGCAAGGTCTGATTGTTGAACCAGATGGTCCAAAACGATGCTCTTAGCTGCGGCGCCCGTGTGCATTACACACCCTGCACTACAGGTAACTATGCGATGCAGTTTCCGTTAGATATACACCATAAATTTAAAATCATGTGGGATTTTAGTACTCAACTATACTCCATTCATTATAACATTAGAAAAAAGAGTATCACAGAAGCAGCAGTGCACAACATTTTATTTACAAGATAAATTTTAAAAATATATATAATTGTTTTGTTGAAACTTTGAACGTTAAGTAGTCTGAAAGAGTTGGGCAATTTTCCATTTTCTTTTGTGATGAGGCTAGAATTTTCTAAATTCATATTTTACTCCCAAGCCAATATGGAACTATAACTATCTATCTGTTGTTTTTGTAAATTCTCATTGTAAGTGTATAATTAGAATAGAATTTAGTTATATTTATGCCCAAGAAAGAAAGGTAAACAAAATGAAATTTTTATTATTACTTTTATAACATTTATTCAGATTTTATTAGATTATTGTTTAAGATATTGGAAAAACTTCCTGTAATGTCAGAGGTAATTGTTGTAAGCCATTCGGACCTGCACCAAAATCGTCTATATTTAGCGAAACTTAACTTCAAAAAGATAACAACTAAAACAAAACTATAAGAGAACAACAATAATACAATAACAACTCAATCACGGAATACTATAAATCTCAAGAAAGGCAATAAAATTCACAATTAATGAGAATCCCAGATTACGTATTTTGACTATTATGAATACATCATAATCTGACAAAATTAAAAAGCTGTACTACCGAAACGATTGAAGGGATTAGGCAAGGTGTTAAATTTGTTAGAGTAATAGTGACATGAGAATCGTGCCGAGAGTATCCAACCCTGCTTCTCTAGGTTCTTTAAGATGAACACTTTTTATCGTAAAAGTTATTCAATCTTTTAAGTTAGTCAAATACTCATAATTTTGTTTAACAGGTAGCTTAACCGACAACTGTTAAGTATAGCAGCTGGTATTTAAGTGGATATGTAGCAAGTAAGCCTTCATTCTTAAGAGTGTTAATATTTTGTCACAAAGTATACCATAAAAAGAACCTTATTTAACTTCAGTCTAATGCTATAATGAATGGACTATAAACATATCGAAATGTAACTTTATGTACTTCAGTTTATCCGCATAAATGTGTTATTTCTGAAAAAATAAAGGACCAATAAAATGCGTGAACTTGAATAATTTATTTATTAATTGAGGTAGCAAAAATAATAATACAATAGTTATGGAAGACTAACAATTAAAAGTAATTTCTTAACAATCTCAAAACGACTAACTTCATGATTAGATCACGTTGTCAAATTACATTTTTTCAATAAATTAAATCAGCAATATCAAGTTTTACTTCAAATTCACAATAATAAATATATCATATGTTCATTTTTATTACCATTCACTAGCACCTCACTACTTACAATTCAAATATTATTCTATAACATTTATTCAAATAGCAAAAATAAATGTTTACAATATCTTCCAAACATTATTTTGTGATCTGGCAATACAATCTTAATTTTAATGTTCGTAGATCGCGGCTAGTAAAAGTTATAAAAAAAAAAATATTAGATTCGTAATCACATTGATAAGCATTTCCGATATATGTCCTTTTCTATTGTACAAGAAACTCCGTTCTGAGGATGTGCAAAATGTATTCGAAATCTGTCGGCTAACTCTCTTAATAGAATACGTCGCTTCAGAACAACAGAAAAGGTACAGATCATTGATAGGTATATTATCTAAAGAGGCTCATATCTGTGGTTAACAATTATTATTAAATATTTTAGCAATGAGGTAGTATATTTAAAAAAAAAAAAGAACCATTAGTTCCCGAAAATATACTAGATGTTTGATTACTTTTTTAATGTGTAAAAGTAAATTAATTTTCAAAAACTCAATAAACAACTCATATTCCATTCGTACTTTTTCGTATTTGTATTGATATCTATCTAAGTTTCAAAATTTTCATATATTGGTTTTTTAATATGTTACTTAAAACAAACGGAAATGACCATCTTTGGTCCATTCGTTTCAAAAATCAACTTTTGCTACAGTCGCCATCTAGTGAGGTGGTCTTATAGTGCTTTCTTTTTTTCTTAAATGACTTCCTCACTACTTACGTATTCACAGACCTTGGTTCAAAATATCACCAAATGTACAAATTCTGCTTAGTTTGGAACTAAATACAAAAATCCTGTCAGTAGAAAAGTATTTTGACTTTCTCTTTCTATTTTAACGAATGAGTACTTTTATAATCACTAGGTCTACCTTTTTCCGATTTTCTATTTTTTTCTTATTTTATAACTAAAATGTTATTTAACGTAAAATATAAAATAATAAGTATTGACTAGCACAAAACGCTCCAGACATTAATAAAAACACCAGCTCCAAGTCATGTCTCGTTCAAGCCTGAGACCGTCCTTTCATCCATTAATCACGTGAGGCTCAATTAATTAATCACGGGGGGAAGGGATTCGGCAAAAATCACGAAATAAGTGGGGGGGGGATGTAGTAATATATCACGTGTATTTATTTTTTCCTCTAACGTGCGATTACTAAACCGAAAACCGACGTCTACAATTAATTCTGTAATTTTCAGAACTCTCAACAGATCAAACGACATTGGTATTTAATATTTTACAATGTTTCCCCTCAAGAAAACAATCAATGAACGTTGTATTATAGATCCCTAATGTTTTCTATAGAGATGGTCTTTGCATATCTGACGATTGAAGTACATATAAGCAACAACCCTACATGTTTAGGCTATTATCGTTCAGTCGAGACTCGAGTCGGCGTACTATTATTTTTTACTACAATATTATAAACTCGTGACCGTAGACATGTGGTCGAGAAGCTTCATTATACCTAATCTCACATAGTGCAAATTTGTAATAGGGCTCTTAATAATGATTTGTAATTTCTCTATAATACAAGGTATTCACTGCAAGGAGAAACGTATCTTAAGTAAACTTATTGAAAGTTGAGGACAGTATGAATTCACCACAAGCTGAACCCAAAGTAATACATTATATTATACTTCGTTTATTGTTATAAATAAACGAAGACGAACCTTTTTGTGCTTTGAATGACTGGGCTATTTATATTCACTATTGATATTAATTATTAAGAGATAAGTCAAAGTACTAATCTTCTATTAAAACTACTTGCTATTTTAAATTTAGTTAACAGTAATTTGGAAGAATTAACATGCGACTTATTTGAGTAGTAATACTATCTAACTACATTGTCTTCGTCTTAGTTGACATTAGATTTAATAAAAAATCACTCAACATTCAATACTATATTCAAGTGTATTGCGTTCGATTCAAGTCGATATATTGAGCTTACTCTCTAACTATACAGTACTAAAAGCAGTGCATTTTGATTAAATCTAATGTCTATTGAAACGAAAACAAGTTAGTTACGCTGTAGGCCACTAGAGGCCGCTATAGGATACGACATCGTAGCGAATATTATGATATTTTCTTCCATTTTACCACTTTGACCATGTCTTTTGGTGGTTAAATCTGGGATTAATTACTGAGTTGATAACACTGGTGTCACATCCATATTTATAATTCTTTATCATTCGTTATACGTTATTAAAGTACATGTCAAAGTAGTACAATGAAAAGAAATAGCGCTATAAGATCGCTAACATGTCGTATCCTGTGGCTAGAGTTGTAGCTAGAGGAGTTACGCCGTCGCTCTGCAGGTCGTGGAAGCTCATAGATTCATTAACATTTCTAAACTTTTAATATGAACAACGTTCAAAACGCAAAATATCACTACAGAAATATTAGTCCTGTCCATTATAAAATGAAACATTTATGTTAACTACATAGACCAATGCCCGTTTTCACAAAACTTAGCAATCGCACAAATCAGTCGACAAAAAACTTAGGAATCGCCTAAGTTAAATATGAATTTCACCATTTACAAGGAACCACCTAACAAAATTGAGCGATGTGTAAAGTTAAGATATTCGTTATGCGGCGCCTTGCGCTAGCCATTTGCATATATCAGACAGGTCGTAAATGTGTCAAGGGATGAAAGAAAAAAAAAATGTTTGGAATTAAACTAAGCTTAGGCGATTCCTAATATTAGGCGTTTCCTAGTTAAGCTATGCCTAGTTCTAGGTTAGTGAAAATGCGTGTTAGCTCCGTTATTATATCAGTTGTGTTGTCTACTCTCCGCGGCGGTGTTCGGTTGGTGCCTGGTGTGAGCTTGTGCATACTTAATGGCGATACGCATCGCGTCCTGTACCAACTGTTCGCAGTTTATCAGGCTCACCTGATCGCAATCACAATCGTTATAAACATTAGACACCATCACATACATTGATCAGATCCCAAGTTAAATAGATATAGCCTTTATGTTATTAATATCCGGTTTCTGAATTGAGAATCCTATTTATTTTAATATTTTAAATGGACAAAAATTATTATTCAATTAATGAATTCTCGCAAGATAAATCTCATACCTAATTATTGTATGAATCCTTTGATTATATTATGAACCTATTATATCTTATGACTATGATTTGAAATTTGCTATTTTTTATGTAATTTAATTTTTTGAAATTTATTTTTCATATAATATCAGACAATTTATTGTATTTTGACTTTAATATTTGCGTCTAAAATTGTAAAACTACCTTGTAACCATTTATTAGCAAATAAATATTATTATTATCTGAAGTTGAACACGTCTCAAGCCGTGCTTAAGCCATTTTAAATGTCATTTAAACAGGTTTTCATTATTGATTTATATTTTTTTAATGATCAGTTAATAGCAATTTGATTAAAACTAAGACTTTTTGCCATATGAAAGGTAAAAAACTTAAGTTATTGAAAATAATCAGTTGTGCTTTTCTCAATTCAGAAACCGGCTGATAGTGTTGGAATCTCTATGCTTTGAAACACATTTGGCATAACAGACTAACAAATTATGGAGCATATTTTACGATTAGTAGAGTATTTGTATGTCCGAATTTACAATAACGTAATATTAAGGCAGAATTTCTTTTAGCATAATGAAGATTAATCGGCTAACTTAGATCAGCTTTAACCAAACGGGGTGCCATGATCTCTGTCAGTGAACTTTCTGGAAAACTATGGTTCTATTCTTTAATTAATATTCATCATCATCATCAGCCCTTTTACGTCCTACTGCAGGGGCTGAGGCCTTCCTTATGGATGGTTAAGGAGGATGGGCCATGACCTTCCACGCTGGCCCAATGCGGATTGGAGGGTATTCACGACTACAAATGTTTTTTAATGAATGCTAAACAACTATCTGTCAAATGAATGTTCCATCCGTCAATTTTGATATTTTGAACGAGCAAAGAGATGCAACATTTCTTTTTGCTCGTTTCTGTTACGGAACCGTTCGCAGAACCTTACCAGGGTTATATTATATCGTACCTTGGTCTCCGTCATCTGCGCATGAGTTTGCGGATCGCAGTCACGTGCGGGCAGCACCGACGCCTGGAACACGGGAGTGACGCATCTTAACCATTTCTCCGCCGTGAACTGCTCAGTTACCATCTCCTATAGATATCACAGAATATTCGGAATGTGTATATACGTATACATAAGTAAGATTTTGTTGCTGCAATTGTGAAGTTTAATATAAATAGTTAAGAATTAAATTAAATAATATGATATATATAAAGGAAAGAAAAAAAAATGTGAACCATTACTAAATCCCTGGATCCAATGTGGAATGATGTAGATTAATTGATGATTGTTAGTTTATTATTATATATATATATATTAATTGGTTATTGATAATTTATATTTAATGATAATAAATATTTTTTTATGTTACTATCAATTTAATGCATGCAATGTTCTCTTGTAAGTGGTGGGGCAATAGGCATGTATTTTTTTGTGCATTTCTCTTTATATTGTCATGTAACATTGTACTCACTGTTAGAGATCCAAAATAAATAGATAAATAAATCTTCAGAACAAATATCACTACATAGTATAAAACAAAGTCGCTTCCTCTGTCCCTATATGTCTATGTATGCTTAAAACTTTAAAACTACGCAATGGATTTTGATGCGGTTTTTTTCATAGATAGGGTGATTCAAAAGGAAGGTTTGTATGCATAATACAAGACCACACGGGCGAAGCCGCTGGCGGAAAGCTAGTTTTACATAAAAAACATGTGATAAAAACAGGGCTCTAAAATTTTGGTTTGTTTAAATAAATTTTGGGGCACAATGACTAAAACAAACTGTTAGTCGGTTACCGAGATGATTCCGTATTTTGTTTTTTCGCAATAAGATACGTAAAAAAAATCACGACCGCCAAAATGAAACTAAAAATAAAATAAACAAGTTATATTACGGCTTGGCTAAACAAAATTCTCATTGCAGCCGGGGGACCGTTGTGTGGAAAATTTTTAATCTAAGATATAAGAAACTTTTAATAAAAAAAAAAAAACATTTTTTTCACATGTTTAATGGCGTCAAATATCCTCCATATTAAATATTTTTTAAATATACAACCAGTGTCACTTGGGATGATGTAACGTTTCTAATGACACCCTATATATTCATATCCGTTAAATCTTTCAAAAGTAATGGCAGAATAAAGAAACTCACATACATTAACCCTAAACAAAAACCACTCCCTTTTTGGGTAGTCGTTTAAAAATAAGCATTCTAAAAGCTTGACAGTGTTTTTTTACAAATAATTTCAAGAAAATGTTATGATAACACTATAAGTGTACGTAAGGACCGTACTTTGTGAAAGACATAGATAGACTGATGACAAGTGCAAAATTCACAATAATAATAATAAAAAAATATCAGTAACACATTACCCTAGGTACAGTAGCGACGGCGATCACTACTCCGCCAGCGCAGCCCAGCAGCAGCGCGGGGGCGGGGCCGGGGCCGGGGGCGGGGCCACGCAGCGCGGCCGCAAGCCCCGCCCCCTGCATGAGGTACGAGCAACGGACGAAGTGCACCACGAACCGGCGGCCCTCGCGCGCGGCCAGCGAGAACGCATCGCGGATCTCCGCCGCCGCTATGTCCCTACCCACAGAACATAACGGGCGGTCGAGGGGGTTTTATTACTTCTAATCTAATTAATAGTGTCGGGGGACTGTTACCATGTAGTTGTGGACGTAACAGTTCGCAACTGAGATCGACCGAGTTAGTTCGCGGCTCCTAAATGAACTAGTTCGCTCTTGTAGGTCGTTTAGATTCCTAGCACTGTGGCAGGAGCAGTTTTAAAACGAGCGAACGATCAGCCTTATATTGAATTATTTTAAGGCAGTTTGTTCACTCGTTTTGATACTGCACCTTTCTGTTGTGCAAAGATTATTTAACATTGTACATTTACATAAATTTGGACACAAAAATAACATAAAGAAACATATGAATTGTAGTTTTTCTTGAGTTCTCGATATTTCGGCGACGTTGCCAGCGCCATGATCACGGAGTAACTGAAATTATTGCTGGTGAATGTCATAGGCAGATATCTACCTTTTTTCTAGTCTTTTTTCGTTCCATACCACTGTTCATTGTGTCATTGCTAACTCGCATATGTTCTCGAAACACAACACTCACTGTATGTGATCGCGAAACCACTTTGGATTTATCTTCTGATAGAAAGTAGATAAATATATCTGCCTATGACATCCACCCGCAATAACTTCAGTTACTCCGTGATCATGGCGCTTGCCACGGCGTCGAAATATCGGGAACTCAATAGAAACAAGGTATATGGTTCTACAATATCTTTATCTCGATATCGATAAGAAAGTAAGATTTTTTTCGCAACACACACAATATAAGGATGAAATGGTGAAGTACCTATACTCCATTCACTATAACATTAGAAAAAAGAGGGTCATAGAAGTAGCAGTGCAAAACATTTTATTTTCAAGATAAATTAAAAAAAAATATATTAGTTTTGTTGAAACTTTGAACGTTAGGTAGTCTGAAAGAGCTGGGCAATTTTCCATTTTTTATGATACCTCGGAGTTGAGATGAGGCCAGCATTTTATAAATTCATCTTTTAGTCCCAAGCCAACATGGAACTAAAACTGAAACTATCTAAGTGTTTTGATAAATTCTAATTGTAAGTGTAATTAGTTAGACTATTGATGAAGACATTGGAAAAACTCCCTGAAATATTAAAGTTTGAGGGTAGGTATGGGGCCTTAGAGCGTAATTTTTGTAGGCCACTCGGGCCTGCACCGGCATCCTCTATATTTACCGAAACTTAACAACAAAAATAAAACAATAACATCACGGAAAACGGTAAAACAACAAGAAAGGCAGTAGTATTTACAAAAGATAACAATCCCAGATTACGATTTTAACATCTATGAATAAATAATAATCTGACAAAATTAAAAAGCTGTACTACCGAAACGTTTGAAGGGTTTAAGCAACGTTTTAAATTTGGTAGTTATAGTGACATGAGAATCGTGCCGAAACTATCCAACCCTGCTTCTTTAGGTTCTTTACGATGAACACTTTCTATTGTAATAGTTATTAAATCATTTAAGTTAGTCATATACTCATAAATTTGTTTAATAGATAGCTTAAATGACAACAGTTAAGTACCTATAGCAGCTGGTATTTAAGTGGATATGTAGCAAATTAGCCGTCAGTCTTAAAAGTAACATGATTATTGATATTTTCTCACAAAGTATACCATAAAAAGAACCTTATTTAACTTCTTCTTCACTCTGTCTAATGCTATAATGAATGGAGTATAAGTGATATAATAGGAGTCAGGGTGTGAATGGAAAATTTCACAAGAAGTATGAAAAATACAGAATGTATCCGATGATGAAAATGCGATTCTAAAATAAAAACTAAAACTGAATTTTAAAATATCGAAAAAGATTCATCAAAAATACAAAAGAGGTTAACAAAAAAAAACTTTATTTTAAATTCTTAATACACAAAGGAAAAATTACCAACACCATTCATACAATCAAATATGTATAGAACAAAGAAATACATCTTAAACGTTTACAGTATCATCGTGTACTCACTGTAACGCCGCGTCGTCCATCTTGGCAGTCCTATCCTTCAGTTTGTCCAACAACTCGACGCACTGAGCGTACTCTCCGTAGGGGGCGCCATTAGTGCCGCACAGGGCTGTCAACTCACGCTTCATGTCGGAGATCTCTTCCTTGCGACGGTCTGGGTGCACTAAATCTATAACTTGTTCTAGTTTCTTCGCTCGACAGAATAACTCAAGCGCCTATTACATAAAAAAATGTATTAAAGGCAGGTTGCACTGCGTCGCTCATTCTCATACAACTTTGGGTATGTTCCGATATACACTGCGACCAGTGAACAGTATGACGTCAATTTAGTATACTGGAAGCCCGTTCCTTTATAGCTAGTTATACTGGTGACTTTTTAAAACGGAACGCAGTCCAGTATACTGTTAATCCTATTTTTTGGCGCCATTTTCAAATTTGTTAATGCAAGGTGAATATAAATAAAGATTCCCTCTTTTCAAAAGAAAATATTATAAAATTGTGTATAAAAATTATTTATCAATTAAATCCATCTTATAATAAACGTAAGTATTTTTTTTTTGTTTATTTAGAAACTTATCATTTTCTGATTCTGTTTCGACTGATCACGTGATCAAAAGCACTGCGAGCACCTTATCTCGAAATCTCCAGTGCTCACAGTACAAATATGGCGGCAATTTATGACGTCATAAATTTCCCTAGGGTACTGTAGCAGTGTACTGGCAGTCCATAACGGAACGGATTTTTCAGCAGTAAGACCACTGCGCAGTGCTCGCAGTGTATATCGGAACATACCCTTTATATTGCTAACAATAGTAAAACCCGTTAAGAAGATTACATAAAGGAGTTGCAAATTGTATAATGCGACAAATTAGAAAGAAAACCAATTTCGTATTACAGAGTTTGTTAATAATATAAAAAATAAACTACAACATGACAACATCATAACATATTTGTAATTATGAAGAAATTGAATTTTGAACACCTCAAAGTTTAAAGGTTGTAATTTAGATTAGAAAAATCGGCCAATGTATGTCGGATTGGCGCAAGAAAGGTTCAGTACCATCATCCATTAAAAAAAAAGTAATATAATCAAGTTTGTTGTTTTCAATGGAGTTGTTCTAAATTTTCGAGCTACATACAATTACTCGTAAACTTGTAAAGTCAACTTGAGTAACGTTTGAATTTTTACCAACGACCGTTTAGGTGGTAGAGGAGGGGGGGACACTTGACTCTAATGAAAATTAGCTCTTTAAATCTTAATTACTTACAAACGATGTACTAAATCGGACAGACGAACATGGCGAAACTGTTTACTATGGAACCCTAAAAACTGTCAATGTAATTTAAATTTGAATATAATATAACCTGTTTAGCCTTGTGTCCAGTGAGCGCGTGTATGGTGGGTGTTTGTGAACGCGCGCCCCTCACTAGCGTGATGCAGAACTCCTCTATACAGGCGGTGGAGGGGACGTGCGTGCCGCAACACAACTCTCTGACATACAACGATACATAATACAATAACACACCAAAATATTACACATAATTTCGTTATTATAAGCGACAGATTTTTGATAAATGAATATAACTAGATTTTCCATCTCAATGAGAAAGTAGCTCGGCGATCGTTGTTGTTAAGCAACTTTCGCGAGGGTCGGTCACGGGATTGGTGACCAAAAAATTATTATCTCGAGCTACTTCGTGCTTCGGAAGGCACATAAAGCCGTTGGTCCCGGCTGCATTTGCAGTCGTTAATACTCTCCAATCCGCATTGGACCAGCGTGGAGGGTCATTCTCCTTAACCATCCATAAGGAAGGCCTGAGCACCTGCAATGGGGACGTAGAAGGGCTGATGATAATTTTCCATCATTTTCCCGGTGTCGAAAATTTTTCTGCCCGTTTTGTAAGGTTTAAAGAGGTGTCGCCATCTATATCTCAGGTCCCGAGTTGGTTACCCAACTGTCAAGTTTTCAATGTCGGTCTGGGGGTTGTTTCAACTAATATGGCGCTTAGTGAATCTTGCGTAGTTCAGATTTTCAAATTCCGCCGATGACTGAACGTACGATTAAAATCTATAGTGAGTCTTGTTCCGATAAACATAAAGTGCAAAATAACATTAGGTGTCCGTCTCACTCACACTCGGTGGGGGTCAGCGCGTGTATAGTGCTGGATTTACCATTGACCAAATAGTGTGATAATTGATATACTGATAATGATTCTAATTGGCAGACATTCCCCGAGCTTCGACCTTCTGCGCATTAGTGAGCCACATTTGTATCTTACTATACCTTCAATATGTTCAGATCAGATTCCATAATTTTAGCTACATAATTTTGGTTCTGAAGCAATATATGTGACGTTATCTAATATTTATTACTACAATTATATAGGTAACTGATAATTTTTTTCTAATTATTAAGTGTTATAATATACAAATAATTAGAATAATGTATCTCACTTCGAGTGTATGGTGTGTGGTAGCGATACATCCACCAATCTCAGTCCAGTGTCCGGATAAGTCTCCCCAGGGAGAGTTAACACATCTCCTTCCATACAGGCTTCTAAACCATCCACTATTCGTGTATTGACTGCAGCATTGCATTTAATTGATTCCCTGCAATTAATAAACATGCCGATTGCAATGAGAGAAGAACAAAAAATAACCACCAAAGCGTCCCCTTTCAATCCACTTCTTTTTCAACATCACATTTCTTATTTCTACTGTACCTGTTTATGTACTTTAATATGAACATACTTCAAAGTTCTATCATAAATTCACTGAGACATAACGCATTACAAATACATCAATAAATTTGTTAAATTTCTTTTCGTAGCAAGCCATATTTAAATTGAGCTCTTCAGTTACTTTTAAGTAATGACTGTTCACTACACTATTTAACTTACCTAACTAACTCTTGTGCGTTTAGGACGACCTCTTGCGTCAACTTCTCGCCATAAACCGACAAATTTAAATAGAGTCCATTATCAGTAACACTAGAACCGGTGGCACATACGACACTGTGCGGCAGTACTTTCCTAATCGCCGCGTTCAACAAGTGGATGGCCGTGTGATTTCTCATTACATTCACTCTTCTATTAGCGTCTATTTCTAAAGTGACATCACTGCGATAATTAATATAATTGTTCTCAGTTACCTTCACAACACTAAAACGACCTTTGTGAAAAACAAAATCTCGAATTTTGAACACACTGTCCACAGCAAAAGTTACTTTATCGCTTACACGTATCACCCCCCTGTCGGCGATTTGACCACCTTCCTCGCAGTAGAAATTTGTGTCTTCAGTCACTAGATAATAAGTTCTATCTTCGCACGGCTCTAAGAAATCTATCCATTCGCAGTCTTCATTTAATATAGCCACCAATTTCGTTTCAAGCGGTTCAAACCTTATTGCATCGTCTTTAGGTGCATAATTGTATTTGTACTGATCATTTGTTGATTTAATACCACTATCGATGATTTTCTCTATAGCTTTGTCAAATAGGAGAGCTCGGTTGGACGCCTGTTCTTTGAAAGCTGTTTTGTGTCTTGATTTATGCTCCGAGAGAAGTTTCCAGAATCCTTTTTTGTCTATTTCTAAGTTGTTTAAACGAGCTAATCTCTCTATAATCTCCTCTTGGAAACCATGCGTGTCGTATAATTTGAAAACTAGCTCTCCTGGTATGATATTCGAGTTGAGTTTGGACATAGTCTGAAAGAAAAATAACTCATATTAAAACTATCTATTAGAAAATAGAGGTGATTTTGGATTGTCTGTCACCAAATTGAATTCAGAAGTCAGAAAACATTTTAGTATTAAATTATTATGATATCCGATAATAAACAAAGAATCGAGAATAAAAATATCATCATAAAGCAAAGTGCTAAAATAAAAATTGTCTGCTCTGGCAGTACAATTCTTTCGCTTTCTAATGAAACTACAATCCCATACAGCTCGCAATCACCATAAATATAAACGCAAAACTAAGTACCTCTTTGAACTCCGTATATCCTAACGGGAATCCTGTTAGCTCTACGTCATTCATGTTTTCAACTTCTGGATATTTATTCACTAGACCTTTCCATTTCTTCACAAGTCCGTTCCTCATCTTCTCATATGCTTGAGCTTCATGTTCTATGATCAGCTTCGCTTGTCTCTCTTTACTAACTAACTCGGGGTATGTAGACCCCAGGGTCAGTTTGACTTGCTCATATAGTATACTTGGTAGTTGAGGATTATGGAAGATGTCTGAAGATATCTTGAAAGATTTTCGCATTATCTGCTTCAAATTGAGACTGTAAATAATTTCATATATTAGTAGTTAATTTATGTTTAATTATAAAGGTTAACAGAGATGTTTTCAGAGACATTATAATAGAAGATTATAATGTCTATTTGTATGGAGACACGAAATATTGTTGGATTAGATAAAAATAGGTATATATTTTTATTATTGTATTTGTATTAAAAAATATATACGATACAAATATTCACATACACATACAGGGTTATTAGTTAAACACCATGAACCTCCTAAGACCAGATAGCCAACATCATAAACAACAAAATTTAATTTACTATCGTAGATTTGAAAATAATTACGTTTAATACACACAGTCCGCCTTTGACATGTGAATATTCCAGACCTATTGAAATCGAGAATAAATATGCTTAGAAATGTCACGACAGTACAATAAATAATAATAATTCTTTATTTTCACAAAGAGACAAGGCTACATTTTTATGAGCACCCTGACATCTGAGGTAGGTATATAAGATCTGAGTTTCAGACACCAGTTTCCTCTTCCGTCTTATGAGAATATATCAATCCACGAGATATAAATTATGAACCTTTACAAGAAGTAAAAATTAAAACAAAAACAATGGAGTTAATAAATAAGTGTGTGTGTGTTTGTGTGAGAGAGAAAGAAAGAGTGTGTGTGTGTGTGTGTGTGTGTGTGTGTGTGTGTGTGTGTGTGTGTGTGTGTGTGTGAGAGAGAGAGAGAGAGAGAGAGAGAGAGAGAGAGAGAGAGAGAGAGAGAGAAAGAGTGCGTGTATGAGTGTTTGTGCGAAGCGTGCTTGTGTGTATGAACATTTGATATGTTATACTTTGAAAATCTTCAATATTGACTGTCTGAGGGAAACAAAGGCTAATAGCTTAACCAATATTGATTCTGTTAGTTGAGTAATGTTTCTGTATCATTATAATCACTGAAAGAGGACGAACCAAGACATGTTTTGCCATTTTGAGTAATTTCACAAAAATGGAATTCCATCCCGTGGCACAATCACTCTTAAGAGCATTGATGAGGTCCAGCACTTCAGTTTCATATGGAGGAATCAAAACCATAGAGTGAGACTGGTATGGAATTTCAAAATCATAGGAAGAGTTGTGATTTCGCGATCTGTTCACCGAATCTGCTAGTTGCTTACAAATATTGGAAAATTAATTGTTGATGACCATGATATCCTTTTCTGCACTATTTATATTTTTAATTCATACTGTGGGAGCGGTTTTAGCTTTGAGGTATTTAATTGTTTTAGCACTTGCAAGCTAAGATTTCTCGAAAGCCATTTTAACTTTTTTTAAAGTGAGAGACAATTGGATATCTATTTGAGTCAAGATTGATGGTATTTTACAAATCTCCCTGAATATTTGTGTAAGATTTATTGTATATTAATCAACATATTTGTGAGTAACTCCTTACAAAATTTTCATAGGTTTCATATTTTTGTTTCATAGGTATTATTTCATTTCTATATATATATTTAAGTAATTTTTCAACTTAGAAAATGGTTTCATCAAAAGTTTTATCAAAAAGATATATTTGTAACGCAATTACAATTGGAATAAAACGGATCATCTCAGAGTCGTCTTAGAGTGATTTAAAGAATCAAGTAACAGTGACATTACTTGGAAGCGGGGAAGACCCCGTCAGCGAGACAGAGCGCAATCATGCGCGCGTGGTCAGCGAGCCGTCTGTACGCCGCGTCCAACGCGCACTCCGCGGGGGCCGACCCGTACCGGCCCGCGTACTTGTCCACGCCCACGCTGTTCTGACCACAGAAACAATACTCTTGTCAGGGGCAATAGAATACATACTAGATCATTAATCTTTACTAACCACTCTTCTCTCTACAAATAATGGCAAGACCACCCTTCATAGCTTAAGTTGTACACTGTGGGGCAGTCATTTCCTTTTTTTTTATTCAATCATATTCAATTTTGTTACTTCGTAATATAGCTTCAAGTCAGGGTCGACGGTGGATAAGCTCCTCATCTTGTACCACCGTGGGTACGCCCATGGCTTAAGGAGAAATTTGTTTAACGACTCTGAATTGTCCTTTTCAACAAAACAGTTTGCCAGCATATTTGCGTCAGTGTTGGCATTTATGAGTAAAAAGTACTGACATATAATTGACCTTTAAGCCGGATTTGAAAGGGATGGTGAAATAAAACTCACATCGTGTAATGATATAATGTTCTACGAAAATAGCATTTAAAAAATAGCACATAATTTACAAATATTTACCTGTTCGATTGCTCGTATTATTGGCTGAAACAGATCCGTGTCATAATTGGACGGTACCCCCTGCAGTAACGCCGCCATACGCTCCAGTCCCAGGCCCGTGTCTACGTGATGGCGGCGTAAACTTCTCACTTTACCATCGGCTTCCCTATCGACGGTGCAAAAATAGATATTATAATAAATATTTCACGCTACCACAAACATTGCTCAGGAGATGAAAAAGTTGAAAACGGAATGTGTATCCGTCGCTCACGGAATTCCACAAAAAACAATAAGAATTGGATATTACCAACACTCTTAACAATTAAAACTATGCCACATACATAGTTGTGATAATGCTCACTGTTATAATCCTTTTGTGTTTATTGCGAAGCATAATGGACCTTTAAATCATATTGTAAGTCCCAACACAGAGTTTGAATGCCAGTATTCAAGGGTTTCAAGGTTTGGATCTCAGTCAGGTCAATATCAAAATGAAGTTTTCTATATCTCATGACAAGGTGTTGCAGTACCGTCATTTGTAAAGACATCAATCAACTAAAGATTTTACCAAAAAAATCCACAACTAGTCTAATTGTTTGAAATTTCCATAGACATAGGATTTTTTATTATGGGATATGAGCAGTGAATTATAATGTCAATTATTTATTTATTTAACTCACCTGTTAAATTGAATGAATACAAGATTCCAAATCTCAGTGAAAGTACCATCCGCATTGATATAATGTATCTCTGTGCAGGGCCCACATGGACCGGTAGCTCCCATCTCCCAGAAGTTATCTTTTGAATCCAATGCCTTGAGTTTACTAGACGGGACTCTAAAATATTTTATTTCATTTTTTATTATATCATTGAAATGATAACCAATTCTGTTCTCATGTTTTATTAACTTTTGCAATATTTGCTAATTTTGAACTTTTTCTAAGACATTTATAATTACCACCAGTGCAGGGGCACCAGCTACTATGGGCGTACCTCAGGGATCGATATTAGGACCATTGCTTTTTCTAATTTATATAAATGATCTTCCTCACTTTACGAAGAATTTGTGCGAGACAGTATTATTTGCAGATGACACCTCTTTACTGTTTAAAGTTGAGAGGGGTAATGATTGTTTTGACGATGTAAATAATGCTCTCGACAATGTTCTACAGTGGTTTGATAATAATAATTTAAAGCTCAATTCAAATAAAACGAAATGCATAAAGTTTGCATTACCTAATGTGAGGCATGTCAGTACACTTATAAATGTAAATAGTGAAAAAGTTGAGTTAGTAGAATCGACAAAGTTCCTTGGTATTACACTAGATTCCCGACTGCAATGGGATCCTCATATTGATAGCTTGTCAAGTAGACTGAGTTCTGCAGCTTTTGCTGTTAAGAAAATTAGACTCTTGACAAATGTTGAAACGGCAAGATTGGTATATTTTAGTTATTTTCATAGTGTAATGACGTATGGTATATTGTTATGGGGTTCTGCGGCTAGCATTCAGGATGTTTTTATTTTACAAAAGAGAGCTGTCTGTGCTATATATAATTTACGGTCTAGGGAATCTCTCAGAGAACTATTTAAAGAAATAAATATTCTGACTGTTGCCTCTCAATACATCTATGAGAATATTATGTACACAAGAAAACATTACGATTCCTTCACAAAAAAAAGTAGTGTTCATAATCTTAACACAAGAAATAAAGATAAACTTGCCGTTCCAAGCTTCAGACTTCAAAAAACCAGAGGATCATTTCTGGGTAAATGTATTGCTATGTTCAATAAAGTTCCACAAAATGTAATTGACCTACCCATAAATAAATTTCAAGTTCATGTAAAGAATATACTTATGAGTAAAGGCTATTATAAAGTTGATGATTACTTTAAGGATCGCAATGCATGGAATTAATAGCCTTCGCTTTGTTCTATAAAGACTAATTATATGTTCAACTTATGTCCTACAGACTTTGAAAGTTGTATTTACTATTGTGATAAATTGATAATACATATTATTTTGGTAATGACATGATTTATGTAAATGTCATTACTTATGATAAAAAGCTGATAAGTTTCTTTCGCTTGTTCTTCTTGTCAGCTAAAAGACGTCCTGAACAAGTGGTAGGGGAAAAAAGTCTTTTTTGGACGATTCAAAAGTGCTTGTAACAGCCTACTTGAATAAAGATATTTTCATTTCATTTAACTCAGGAAATAATATTAATTCTTACATTACACACTTAATATATCCAATATGAAGTTACATACTAACAAATTAGCATTGAATCATCCACAATTCAGAACAATACTTGTGTAATGTATAAATGTCATATAATTAAATCTTTGAAATACAAACAGATTATATTGTTATAGAATAACATAAATATGTTATGGTGATGGTAAAATTAAAAAGTGTAAACTGTAAAAACACTTAAGTAGACTGGGTGGAATGTAAACTTAAGTTGAATAAACAGGTTATGGTATGATTGGAATTACATGTTATATAAGTCCCTAAATAAAAAAGAGAACAGAAAAAATATTTACATTTATACATTCTGTCTTGTTATTGTGTTTGGCTACACAGTTCAATAAATTGAATTACTTAATTTTAATATACAGAATAACTTTCAAAGTGAAACATATATTGTTCAACATCATAACTATGTTAAAAATTTATTTTTATATGGAGAAGAATTGCAGTCCTGAATTAATTCACTGTAATCCTTACCCAATGGATTTCCATATGTCTCTGGTTTCCCTATCTTCTGTCAAGCCCAGAACCACATCGCCAGCAAAATAAGTCACCATCAAATTTTCTGGCTTCAATCTGTAGGGACCAAGGAGAAGGTCCCAAGCCATTTGACAGGCTTCTTTCTGAAAACGAACAACACTTTTATTCAAATAATAATCACCATCTATGTCAATATCACACTAATAAATTTATAGTGAAATAATATATCAAAAACAATAAACTAAAATGAGTAAGTAAACATTAATCATATTGAAATATAAAGACCTGAAGAAACCAGGAAGATGCAAATTAAAGCATTACTTCATTAGCAAAAACTAGTACTTTTTGTTTATAAGACATAATGTTATAAGGATTATATTCACTAAATTTAGGAGTCACCCAAATATTTAACAAAGGTGAAAATGTGTTTAACCAATGACAAGAAGCTACCTAACGACTTTAAGCAATGCATGAAGTTAGGAAATGCATGGTTAGGCACCTAGTGCTGGGAATTTGTGCAATGTGATATATAGATTTACTCTTTGGTCCTAACGGCACATCTGTTTAGGCATAAAATCAATTTAGTAAGTTGAAATAGAGGAGTTTATATGTTATAATTAAGATATTTAATGACTTTTTATAAACGAACAATGATGACTTGGGTGTTCTAGGTGCTTGGGTAAATACAAGAACACATATATTTTAACTTGTTTTATTATCTCAAAATACCTACACATATTTTTATATTTATTTCTTATATTTTCACACGCACTATCCATAAATGTAACTACTTTTAAAACAGTTTTATTAATGTTTCCTACCCTTTGTAGGTTCCGTGTTCACATGAGACTAAGGTGTCGATTGAGCAATTCACTTTTCTTGTCGGAGGTTATTTTGCCAGTTCTTCTCAGACAGGATTCCCAAAGTTAGAAGTGGTGGTAGATTATGATTAGCCAGTGGCAAATAAATAAGTCAAATGTATTTTTAAAATAATTTAATTTAATAAGTATAAACGTTGCCATAAAATATAACATTGTTGTATTGTGAATGTGTCCAATAATATTATTTGAATTTGAAAGTAGCTATACTTTTAATTAAAAAGGGAATTGTGTAAACGCAAATGTGCCATACATTAAAAAAAGAAGCCGATCTGAAGCATGCAAAATCATAGGCAAACTAAGCAAGTGCTTAATTTACATTACTTAACATTACAGGTTGATGAAACAACAAATCTGCATATTCTTATTATTAAGTGATTTCTAGTTAAGATATGCCTTGTTCTAGGCTACTGAAAAGGGGCATAAGTCTCATGCTATTGAAAATTAACTTACTTTATAATAATCTCCAAAAGACCAATTGCCCAGCATCTCAAAGAATGTGTGATGTGTGCCATCAATACCGACCATATCCAAGTCATTGTGCTTACCGCCAACTCTAACACACTTCTGGGAGTTGACAGCTCTAGGACATGGCGCTTCTAATTTCCCCAAGAAAACACCTTTGAACTGTTTGATAATTGAAGTATTTTTATAACAAAAGCTTAAAAGTTTTCAATAATATAATATTTAATAGAACAGATTATGAGTTCTAAAAATGTGAAGCAGAAAATTATAAATACAGATATTATAAACAACTTTTACAAGATTATAAAGATTCTTATATGTTATTATCAAGACATGAAATATAATATTCTTAATGAAAAATGCTTAAATAATTCACTTTGTGCTTGGCACTCAGAGATGGGACTCGATGACTTTTTGCAAACTGGGCAACTGCTCTAACCACTGAGCTACCCAGCACCTAACAGCACTGACAAAATTTTTTAACCACTACAATTTAAAGTATAGCATTGTGAATGCAAAATTGATCAAATATAAGTTAATGAATAATAAGATAAAAGTAGTAGTATTCAATTTACTATATTGAAGACAGTAAATAAACTACTTTTTCTTTAATAGAAATTAGAATTAATTTCATTGCATTTATAGTACCCTAGGGTTTGATCATTAGTTTTTAATAACATAATGAATAGCAACCTAAAGCGGAAAACAGAGAAACTATAATATATAAGTAGGATTTTTGGAACTAAGTTTCTTACCTGATTCATTCCTGCATTTACAAATGGAACAGTGGGATCACATAGTGGCACCACAGGACTAGATTTCACATATTTGTGTCCATGTTTACCGACAAAATATTCCACAAATGTAGTTCTAATAAAGTTTGAATCAGTGGACTTTAAACGTAATTTTTGGTTAATCGTTTTGGTTCTCATCGGTACCCGGAACATTTTTATGGTTAGTTGATTTTCAGTAAGTAATATAATTTTAGTAACCTTTTCTTTAAAATAATGCTGATTATTATTGATGGGCAATTAAAAAAAGCATTTTGTTTTTTGTCTTAAATGTATGTTTTTTGGACAAATTCTCAAACAAAATCAACAAAAAAACAACTAAATTGACATGACCACAGACCAATTAAGAAGGAGATACTACTCTACGCTTCCAGTATATTGTAGTCTTTGATACAACGTGATATGACATGTAAAAGTGGAAAAAACTGCTTAAAATTATTAAGTGTTATTACGTTGTACGATTTTTAATAAGCGTTTTTAAAAATAACTTATTGCTTAACCTTTTTTTTCAACTGACATTTAGAAATCGTTATAATAAGCGTGCAACATTGTGTTATCACTACATAGTATAAAACAAAGTAGCTTTCTTTGTCCCTATATCCCTATGTATGCTTAAATCTTTACAACTTCGCAATGCATTTTGATGGTTTTTTTTTCATAGATTTTTTTCATAGATAGGATTCAAAAAGAAGGTTTTTATGTTTAACTTATTTACATTGTTTATTTAGGAATTAACAAAAGTCATTACTTAAGTAGCAATTTATTTACGCATATAGTTCAACTTACGCAATTAATTAACATTCAACACAACGTGCACTTACTTCAACAACGAAAAGCGTACTGCTTTTTTAAGTATAAGTTCCGTTTAAAAAAGCGTGTAATAATACTTTTGTTCATATTTACAATAAAATTGTCTATGCAGGATGAGCTTTTACCTTGTATCCTAAAGGGTACATTTATTGTCCATTTGCAATGAAGAAGTATTTAAAAAAATATTCAAACTAGATGTCATTATGGCACTTTCTTTATATCTCCATGACAATCCTTTCGGTTTTCTTTCACGTATAAAAGTAAATTAGTTTTCAATACTCAATAAATAACTCGTATTCTATTTGTACTTTTCGTATTTGTATAGATATCTAAGTTTCGAACTTTGCAATTTACAGTTTTTAATATGTTAGTTAAAAAGAACGGAAATGACTATCTTTGGTCCATTCGTTTTCTGCAAAAATCAACTTTTGCTAGGGTCGCCATCTAGTGGAGGTGCTTTTTTTAAATACTTCCTCATATAGATTTAATAAGTAATTTCTAAACGATATATCGTAATATTATTAGGTTGTCATTATTGTCACTATGTCACTTTATTGTCATAAAAATGTAGTTGTCAAATTCCTGCTATATTTTCACGAAAAGGGAATCGGAATGAAATTGATCTAAAACTTCTACATAATAACGTGTATATTCCTGATTGGTGCTGTTATGAAAAACTTAGCTCACAAAAAATATACTTGTAAATTAATTGATCAGAAGTTGTACTCCGGTAACTAAAGCAAAGGACACGTAAGCCTTAAATTTCACAGTCTTTCGAAGTTTTTGGAAAATATGCGGCGTTACATTTTTTTTGTGTTGTGCTTGTGTATCGGACTATCAATTGCCGAGTTACTTGGTCCAGAAACTCAAAAAGAAAGTAAAAAAAGTGAGGATGAGGATGAATCGTCCGTTACCGTCGATACTGAGTCTAAGGTGGATCCTGAGTATTTCAAAGCTCTAACTGATGCCGTCAATAAGGACATCATAACCCTCCAGGAGTTTGCAGATGCTATGAGAGACATTAAAGGGCAAAAAGATGATGAAAACAAAGGTAAAAAAGTATTAAAAATTATATTTTAAAAAAGAAATACTAACATCTCCAGCTTCATCATTGTAAACGCCAGCATCATATTAACTAGACTGATAGAGCTCTCTAATATGATCAAAGGTAGATTGCTACCTTTGTGCAAGTAAATCTTATAAAGTTACATTAGTGTAGGGTAAGTTGGGCTCAGTGTTATACGGGGCACACTGTTACAATGCACATATCTCTGTCCCTGTCATTACTCTTTATAATGTTTGTATACAGTTTCGGTAAGCTTTTAGAATGTCATCTTGAATCAGTTTTCATTACTTCAGTTTATATTTCAAATTGATATTATTTAATTTAAAACAAATTTAAGTGACCAAACAGAAAATAATTACAATACATTGAAGTTTTTAATATTTTCCTGATATATGACATTCAGGTAAGTGATTAAGGTTTACATCTATTTACTGTTTTTTTGGCTACATATTATCATTAAGTAGTTTATTATAGACACAATGTTAATTACTCATTAGATTTTTTTTGTTGTAACAATGGGCCCCAACAAAATTTCTAGTTTGTTTTGTGCATGAAAATGGTAAGTAATTGCAAGATGGATCACAGTCTTTAAATTTAAAATAATATGGGAAAAGTGATTCTGTTGGTTGAAAGTGGGATAAGTCTTCGAAAGGTAGCAGATGAAAAGAATATAATTTTCATGATGTTGCAAAGCTAGGTATAGGAGGGTATAGCCCCAACCCCTCATCATGCAATTTTTAATTTTTCCTGACAATAAAAGAACTTGCCTTGTAACATAGTATTACCTAGATACAGGGTGCAGTGTTACACTCATCTTACTTGATTAATATGCAATTTAAATTAGCTTGTAATAATAGTCATGATTTAATAATTCTAAGGAGAGAGAGAGATTGTTAATGTGTATGTCCAGGTCAGTTAAAAGTTAATTAAATCAGTATTTTTATTGCCACATTTTTTTTTTTTTTTAAACACTGTGTCCCAACCTTACTCTATATAAAAATACCTATATTAACAGTATTACTGGAAATTATTTGTCTAATATTTATTATAAATAAGTTCAGTTAAATTTTATAAATTTTCAGAAAACAATTTAGATAGAGTGGAATTCACTTTGAAATTGCTGAAAAATAGGCTGCTGAGCATCACTGAACCTAACTGGATAAATCTAAACGACAAGGGAGATATGACTTCCAATGAGATTGAGGTGAATCCTTAGCATAATAAAATGATTATATGTATACCTATTTTATTTATACAGGCAATATAGCTAGGTATTGCTTAGCAATTCATAAAAAAATATTTTATAAAGAGTCTGCAATTTACTGCAACATTTAGGGTTTATGATCACTAATAAATGACATTTGACATTGCTGTTCCCATTAAATAATTATAATTATTTGCATTACTTGAGACATGTGACTTTGTTTTCAATGTACTATGACTGTATTGATTTTTTCAGCAAAAGACAGATGATAGCCCTCAAAACATTTTGGATAATTTACTTCCAGCACCAGAGGAGGAAGAGGAGGTACTAACACCAGAATTACAAGAAGGTAATGATTAAATGTGCTAGTTTATTGCAATGACTCCTCACTAGTGGTCTGCAGGGGCCAAAAAAGTGTTTTTGATTGCTCCCCCTCTATGTAAGAAACTTTAAGAACCTCTCCTTGTTCAGTAATTATAACATATGAATCTAATAGAAAAAAATATGAAAAAATCGCGTTTTCAATATTTTTTTTGTCATTGTTTGTTTTGTATCAAAGCTGATACAAAAAAAAAAACAATGACAAAAAAAATTAATCACTAAGCAGTGATAATAGTTTTGTGTTTTGTTCAAAGTAAAATCATACTTTAAAGGTGTTTGTGCTCCTTCCTGAGAACTGTAAGATTCTCTCCTTGCCTTTTGTAATAATAAGTAAGAACTACCCCTAAATCTTCTTACATAATAAATAAAAAAGCATTGCCTCAGTCAGAATGGGTTTTTTGCCATCCAAGTTAATTCTTCACCAAATAACCATGTGCAATATCTTAATGGTTTCCTTTTTAAAATAAAGCTATTATTATTTATGGTCTATCGTCCTTATACTTGCTGCGTTGGTTCTTATACGAGCCCTGATGTCTTGGCACGTACTGGTGTGTGATAATTGATGTGTAGTGTCTTGACCTTTTTATAATAACTAATACTCAAAAAACCGATGTTTTTAGCAAAAGAGATGTATGATGCAGCTATGGCAAAGCTGCGTCGCCGCTCACCAGACCTGCGTGGCGCTATTCTCACCATTCAGCAGGCGGCAAACAAGGGCTATATTCCTGCCAAAATTAAGCTTGCATGGTCACACATATTCGGCGAAGGGGTAGAATTGGACATTGAAAAAGCTAAAGTGATATTCGAGACACTTGCTGAAGACGGGATCGCGGATGCACATGCGGTAAGGCAATAACTACCCTCTTTATAGAATTTCTAAAATAGGTTAGGGAAAACTGTGAATTGGAAGATTGCTGGAAGTCGTTCATACGTCCATTTACAACTTATTGATATTGATGAAAACTATTAACTCATATTATTTTCTTTTACCCTTCTAAATGAGTGTTTGACTGAGGAATTCTTCTTGTCATTACTGTAGTATTTGCAAGCAAAACGAAAAAAAAAGTTTCTAAACTCCTTCAAGCATATTTAAAGTTGACCAGATGTTGCACCATTATTTCATGTTAATTATAATGTTTCTTATGTTTAGGGCATGGGCTTCTTACACGCGACTGGATTATCAGTTCCTGTGTCCCAGGCTAAGGCTTTAGTCCACTACACGATAGGAGCCGCGGGCGGTAGCGACTATGCCCAGATGGCGTTAGCGTACCGTTATTGGTCCGGAGTGTCGGTCATCTCGTCCTGTCCCAAAGCTATGGATCTTTACATGAAAGTGGCCGCGAAAGGTATAGGATTATTTAAAAGTGTTGCAGTTAGTCGCATTTAAACGTATTGTTAGTCGGTCGCATTAATTGTCCAGTATTGTCCAGAATTTCAGTATAAAAAGTCCTCTTTTTTTATTTGATATATGGGAAATTTACAGCACAGTTCATTCTTCAAAATTGTGGGTACAAACTATATGTCACTCTTGGTTTAATATAACAGTGGCGAGTCAAGTGAGTTGGAGCGGTGGGCCGGCGATACACCGGACGCGGCTCGTGGACGAGGCGGAGGGGGCGGGGGGAGCGCTGGACTCCGATCTCATAGAGTACTACCAGCTGCTGGCTGAGAAGGGCGACGTGCAGGCGCAGGTGGGTACTAGGTGCTGGACTCTGATCTCATAGAGTACTACAAGCTGCTGGCTAAGAAGGGCGATGTGCAGGCGTAGGTGGGTACTAGGTACTGGACTCTGATCTCATAGTGTACTACAAGCTGCTGGCTAAGAAGGGCGATGTGCAGGCGCAGGTGGGTACTAGGTGCTGGACTCTGATCTCATAGAGTACTACAAGCTGCTGGCTGAGAAGGGCAATGTGCAGGCGCAGGTGGGTATGGGAATATCCACTTGCGTCAGCACTTCTGTCCCGAGAGACTGTTAATTCAAGTCAATGACAAGCTAGGAAGAGATTGCTACGATAAGTAATCTTACCTGGTTATTAGAAAGTCAATTACGACAGTTCCTAGTTAAAAAGAAGGTGGAGGAAAGCCATCGGTTCTGAAAAGTTTAGTGCCTATAAAGTTTCGTTAATAGCACTCATTTGTCGACAGGTGGGACTCGGGCAGTTACACTTCCAGGGTGGTCGCGGGGTTACATTGGACATCAATAAAGCTCTGCACTACTTCACTCAGGCCGCTAACACTGGAAATTCTGTTGCTAATGCGTTCCTGGGCAAGGTGAGCACTTGGCGGTCTATAAATATCGATATTGATTTGAAATAAGTTATCTACTTGGCTTCAACTCTAACACTGAGTCCTAAAGAGGCCGCTATTTTAGAATTACTAATCTTATTATATTATCAACACGATAACTTTATCGTTTATGTCCACCAGATTTATCTTGAAGGTGGTGACGGCATCAAGCCGGACAACGAGACCGCCCTGAGGTACTTCAGTAAGGCGGCAGAACTCAACAACCCCGTCGGACAGAGTGGACTCGGCATCATGTATCTGCAAGTAAGATATGATTAATATTATAAAGTCTATAATCGAACATTTCACAGATTACAAAGAAGTCTGCAGATGCCTGGTTTTAAAAATTCAATCGAAAACGCTTGGGACCTGCAAGCCTGTTTTTGTTTTTCGCATTATCTTCTGCCTGATAAGACCGCGGGGGATTTATTATTTTTATTCTTTTTGTCATAAGGGTCGAGGAGTCCCTAAAGATACGAGGATGGCCTTTAAGTACTTCACTATGGCAGCCAATCAGGGTTGGGTGGAAGGACAATTGCATCTCGGTTTTATGTACTTTGGTGAGTCATTTAAAATGTATCTAAGAAAAATAGCATTAAAGTTTGTTACAGAATCAATATCATGAATCGTAAACAGTTCTGTTTTACAAAGGTCGTTTAACTAGTGTTTTATGCAAGGCTTTTGATTATGTTTATCAATAAACATTGATCGGAAAATTTTACTTCTCTGGGTTTAGAGACACCATATTGGAATTATTGTTCTTTTATATTTACTAATAAATTATACAAACGATTGACAATATTGGTAAGAGATCTCCTGCGTTACCAATTAAGATGGGTGTTCCACAAGGTTCAGTTCTTGGTCCGTTCTTATTCATATAAATATCGTGCCTTTTTTTTTTGTAAATATTATTTCATAAATTAGTCACTTTTTGTGCGCTACGAAATATGAGTGTTATTAACACCTGTATTGGTGGGTACAGGCGGCATAGGTGTCCGTAGGGACTTCAAGCAGGCGAACAAGTACTTCTCTCTGGCGTCACAGTCTGGACACGTGCTGGCTCTATACCACCTGGGACACATGCACGCGCAGGGACTCGGTGTACTGCGCTCTTGCACTACTGCTACTGAGGTATACCTCTTGCATATAATATTATGTCTGTATCGTCCGTCAGTGGACTGAGATGTTAATGTAATATAGTATATAGAGAACTTAATTTATTGTATTTTATAGTATACATTCTAATTAAATAATCACACATCTAGCCATTTAATTTTTAATCATAAGATATCTATCTTATCTTATTAATCATAAGATATATATCTATCTTAATGTTCTGATCCTCAGTGCACGATAGATCCTTTCGCTTATACGTAGCCGGTAATTTGTCGACAGTTATTCAAGAACGTATGCGAGCGCGGGTGGTGGAGCTCGCGGCTGATGCTGGGGCACGCGGCGTGGCGCGCGCGGGACTCGGACTCGGCGCTGCTCCAGTACCTCGCGCTGGCCGAGCGGGGACTCGAGCTGGCGCAGACCAATGCCGCGTATATACTCGACAACGGTATGTATAGCGACTCGGACTCGGCGCTGCTCCAGTACCTCGCGCTGGCCGAGCGGGGACTCGAGCTGGCGCAGACCAATGCCGCGTATATACTCGACAACGGTATGTATAGCGACTCGGACTCGGCGCTGCTCCAGTACCTCGCGCTGGCCGAGCGGGGACTCGAGCTGGCGCAGACCAATGCCGCGTATATACTCGACAACGGTATGTATAGCGACTCGGACTCGGCGCTGCTCCAGTACCTCGCGCTGGCCGAGCGGGGACTCGAGCTGGCGCAGACCAATGCCGCGTATATACTCGACAACGGTATGTATAGCGACTCGGACTCGGCGCTGCTCCAGTACCTCGCGCTGGCCGAGCGGGGACTCGAGCTGGCGCAGACCAATGCCGCGTATATACTCGACAACGGTATGTATAGCGACTCGGACTCGGCGCTGCTCCAGTACCTCGCGCTGGCCGAGCGGGGACTCGAGCTGGCGCAGACCAATGCCGCGTATATACTCGACAACGGTATGTATAGCGACTCGGACTCGGCGCTGCTCCAGTACCTCGCGCTGGCCGAGCGGGGACTCGAGCTGGCGCAGACCAATGCCGCGTATATACTCGACAACGGTATGTATAGCGACTCGGACTCGGCGCTGCTCCAGTACCTCGCGCTGGCCGAGCGGGGACTCGAGCTGGCGCAGACCAATGCCGCGTATATACTCGACAACGGTATGTATAGCGACTCGGACTCGGCGCTGCTCCAGTACCTCGCGCTGGCCGAGCGGGGACTCGAGCTGGCGCAGACCAATGCCGCGTATATACTCGACAACGGTATGTATAGCGACTCGGACTCGGCGCTGCTCCAGTACCTCGCGCTGGCCGAGCGGGGACTCGAGCTGGCGCAGACCAATGCCGCGTATATACTCGACAACGGTATGTATAGCGACTCGGACTCGGCGCTGCTCCAGTACCTCGCGCTGGCCGAGCGGGGACTCGAGCTGGCGCAGACCAATGCCGCGTATATACTCGACAACGGTATGTATAGCGACTCGGACTCGGCGCTGCTCCAGTACCTCGCGCTGGCCGAGCGGGGACTCGAGCTGGCGCAGACCAATGCCGCGTATATACTCGACAACGGTATGTATAGCGACTCGGACTCGGCGCTGCTCCAGTACCTCGCGCTGGCCGAGCGGGGACTCGAGCTGGCGCAGACCAATGCCGCGTATATACTCGACAACGGTATAAAACGTGAAATAGCGTCAGCGCGGTCGAGAGAAATGATACCAACTTCCAGGTTGTTGATCTCTATTTAACTAAACAATCGTCTTCTTATATAATGCTTAAATCTAAGAGGGGGGTATCAGGGTATGTGATAAGTAACTGCTAAGGAATTTTTCAAACGTGAAATATTTGCATACTGGTGCATTCCATCCAAATCACGTTCATAACGGTGATTCTTAATATTTACATACTACAACTAGACAACCGTAACGGTATAATTAAAGCAATGATTTATCAAAAATCATCATTTACAAGAACGTTTAATTGTTGTCCGTGTAGGCGAGGGTAGCGTGTTCGGCGAGGAGTGGCGGCACGCGCGCGCGCTGCAGCTGTGGTCCCGCGCCGCCAGCCAGGGCTGCGCCAGCGCGCGCGTCAAGCTCGGCGACTACCACTACTACGGACTCGGGACCAAGCAGGACCTCGAGGCCGCCGCCTATCACTACAGGCGAGTGCTGTGTATATCGACGACGCACCCGCGTTTTTATCAACTTAAACTTATTTAACCGAGTAGGAACCGGCCTCGTCACTTCATAGACCTAGACGAGAGGTTATTCCAGGGCTGCATGTCGGACAGGTAGTCGGTCGACTTGCTCGTCAAAATTTCGTTGTCCTCTCGGACGGGTCTAGGCTCCGATAACTGGCACTAAATTCCAGGACTATCTAAGTAGCGCTAAGTTTTTGCATAATACAATTAATATTATAATAAATGTTATCACGTTATGGTACACAACGCAGGATAGCGTCCGAGCAGCTGCACAACGCGCAGGCGACGTTCAACCTGGGCTACATGCACGCGCGCGGGCTGGGGCTGGCGCAGGACCTGCACCTCGCCAAGCGCTGCTACGACCTCGCGGCCGACACCTCCCCCGACGCGCGCCTCCCCGCCGCGCTCGCCCGCGCCGCCCTCACCGCCACGCACGCGCTGCACGACATACTGCAGGTGAGGCACCACACCTCCCCCGCCCCCTCCCCCTCCCCCGACGCGCGCCTCCCCGCCGCGCTCGCCCGCGCCGCGCTTACCGCCACGCACGCGCTGCACGACATACTGCAGGTGAGGCACCACACCTCCCCCGCCCCCTCCCCCTCCCCCGACGCGCGCCTCCCCGCCGCGCTCGCCCGCGCCGCGCTTACCGCCACGCACGCGCTGCACGACATACTGCAGGTGAGGCACCACACCTCCCCCGCCCCCTCCCCCTCCCCCGACGCGCGCCTCCCCGCCGCGCTCGCCCGCGCCGCGCTTACCGCCACGCACGCGCTGCACGACATACTGCAGGTGAGGCACCACACCTCCCCCGCCCCCTCCCCCTCCCCCGACGCGCGCCTCCCCGCCGCGCTCGCCCGCGCCGCGCTTACCGCCACGCACGCGCTGCACGACATACTGCAGGTGAGGCACCACACCTCCCCCGCCCCCTCCCCCTCCCCCGACGCGCGCCTCCCCGCCGCGCTCGCCCGCGCCGCGCTTACCGCCACGCACGCGCTGCACGACATACTGCAGGTGAGGCACCACACCTCCCCCGCCCCCTCCCCCTCCCCCGACGCGCGCCTCCCCGCCGCGCTCGCCCGCGCCGCGCTTACCGCCACGCACGCGCTGCACGACATACTGCAGGTGAGGCACCACACCTCCCCCGCCCCCTCCCCCTCCCCCGACGCGCGCCTCCCCGCCGCGCTCGCCCGCGCCGCGCTTACCGCCACGCACGCGCTGCACGACATACTGCAGGTGAGGCACCACACCTCCCCCGCCCCCTCCCCCTCCCCCGACGCGCGCCTCCCCGCCGCGCTCGCCCGCGCCGCGCTTACCGCCACGCACGCGCTGCACGACATACTGCAGGTGAGGCACCACACCTCCCCCGCCCCCTCCCCCTCCCCCGACGCGCGCCTCCCCGCCGCGCTCGCCCGCGCCGCGCTTACCGCCACGCACGCGCTGCACGACATACTGCAGGTGAGGCACCACACCTCCCCCGCCCCCGCCCCCTCCCCCGACGCGCGCCTCCCCGCCGCGCTCGCCCGCGCCGCCCTCACCGCCACGCACGCGCTGCACGACATACTGCAGGTGAGGCACCACACCTCCCCCGCCCCCTCCCCCTCCCCCGACGCGCGCCTCCCCGCCGCGCTCGCCCGCGCCGCGCTTACCGCCACGCACGCGCTGCACGACATACTGCAGGTGAGGCACCACACCTCCCCCGCCCCCGCCCCCTCCCCCGACGCGCGCCTCCCCGCCGCGCTCGCCCGCGCCGCGCTCACCGCCACGCACGCGTTGCACGACATACTGCAGGTGAGGCACCACAACTCCCCCGCCCCCGCCCCCGCCAAAAGACATGGACACGATTGTTGGGTAATGAGGTCGTTAATATAAACTATGAAAAGGAGACGAACAAGATGTGAACCTTGTGGTACATTGCATACAATTCACTGGCTCCTCCTGTTCAAATAACACTTGATCCCCAAAATTTCGAGTTTTTGACATAGTAAGGAGTGATTCACTCTATCAAAGGCTTTTAAAGTTTATATAAGTAGTGTCCACTTGTCCCCTTTCAGTAAAAGCACTGCATAAATAACTTTTGTATTCTATGAGATATTAATAAATAATTGATAGATGTTGATAAATAATTCAATACTTAAATTTTGATAACTTTAAAAATGATGATTGATGATTATGAACTGTAGATGATTAACGTAAAATCTTCAATTATTATCGAAAATAATATACACAAATAGCAATCTTCATTTGCGCATTTCTGGACAAAGAGTTGTTAAATAAGATTTTGGATTTCTATAATTTCATCAAGTAAAACGCTAGTTTAGCTACAGAATGGCGTTAGCTACTTGGATACTATGCAGTGTGTAGCTTGTCTAACATTAATTTATTTATATACCTACAATAATCGTGTCAGTAACCGATTCGCAGAAATTTCTTTTAACAAACATCTATCTTTTACAGTCTGCACAAGAGAGTCCGCTGGCGATGATATTCCTGAGCGGGGAGTCCACGTTGGTCTCGAATTGGGACCTGTATCTCATCACGCTGCTGTTGGGAGCCCTAGGGCTCGTCGTCTATTTGCGTAGGCCTGCGCTACCGCCCCGCTGATTCTTATTTATAGCAGTATAGCTGCCACACTAATTGCCACCGTCTTGAGACAATGTAATATTGATATTTTTTCCTAGACTAAGTAGTGAGTTTCTAAGTGGAATATCATTGGGCAGGTGTCTAATAACATAAAATTTACATTTATACCAAAGGAAAATGTTTATATATATAATCAATATAAAACTAAACTATTTGTAGTTGAAATTCAGATTCGTGACTAGGTATGCAAAAACCTAACTCTCTAGTCATAGGAACCGTTATCGTGGCGAATATAATGACTTTTGGTTGATAAATCTGGGATAAATGACTAAGTTGGCAACACTGCTGTCACATCCAAATTTATCATACGTTCTTCGTTATTAAAGTACATGTCAAAGTTGTAGTAATGAAATGAAATAGCACTATAACATCGTTAAGATTTCGTATCCTATGGTTAAGAGTTGTAGCTAAAGTTATGCGGTGGTTCGATTTCTGAATTAAGAAATTTAGTATAAAAATATTTGATATCTAATTTTAACTTTTATAATAATACCACGTAAACTGAACGCTATAAGTTTCAGTAGAGAGAAGAACCGATTATCGCTTAGTAAATATTATAGAAATAAAGATATATTCATTATTAAATGAGATTTTGTTAAATTAGTTGTAATTATTTAACGTACAGTTAAAAATAAGTACATTTTCACTAGAAATTACGTTTACATATTTAATTGTTACTAGGTTCATTTGCGATACAACGCTCTGAAATTGAAACCGAGACTGAAAATATAAAAAAGAGTTATCATAACAAAAAAAGATAAATTTGTCGTTTTTTTACTGTCTTAATATTTCAGTTACGCTTTTCAAGTGAATAGAATAAAAGCGCACTGAAAATATGATCAATTTACGTAGTATTGTTATATAAGTAGAAAAATATCACACTTTATTGTTTATGTGCTTTCTTCCATTCTTGCACTTTTGCTTGCTGTGCACAGTATATGTGGTGTAAGTGGACTAGAAACAAAACGGAACGGAACAAATTGCATGCTTAAATCAAAAACTGGCATAACTCAAATGTTGCCACATTATAAATGAAATCTTAAACCTCATATAGTAGCCACAGTGTATTTATTTTAGCCTCAACTTAAAGGCTAAAATAAACACACTGTGGCTACTATAAACCAAGCACCGGTACTATAAACCAAGCCAATAAGGAAGAAATTGAATAATAATAGTTATTTAAGATACGAGTGCGGTAAGTAAGGTTTTACGAATAAGGGCCAAATTCATTGGCACGAATTCGAAAAACCTTTCACGCTCAAGTTTCTTACAACATTTTTCAATGCTTTTTGCGAGGAAATAAAACAAATATATAGGTTTATAAAACTAAGTATGTATTAAAGGTAAAAATTATTTGTTAAAATTAAACGTGATATTTGAACATGTTTTCGTGTCATACATTTTTATTTGATAATATTCGTTCTAAGCTCCTTGAAATACTTTTGCCTCTAAAGTTTGACATTTTCATTAATTTTTTAAAATTTCTTTGGTGCTCGGTCAAAAAAGAATTAAAAAAATACTTTTAAGCACGTGTGCGGTAAAGGATTTCAGTACAGTTTTATTTAACACGTGTTTGAAGACTCACTTTCGGTGTTTACAATGGATTAAAAAAATAGCTCTTTATGAGCAACTGCATTGAAAATAATATTATGTAGTTGCCGCCTTTACTAAAATGAATGTATGGATAAATCGGAACTGGTTTAAAGCAGACCCATGACTGACATTATAGGGTACCTTTGTAGGTGGATGAACATTTGGTTCTAAGACAAATATTATTTTAAAGGAAAATAATTGAATGGATACCACAAAATAAGGTTGTTTATCTCAAGACGTCGCGGTGGCGCTGCGCGAGTGTTGTGTGCAATAATGGACGATGTTTTGAACTTGTAGTGATAATAGTAATAAATCTATTTAATTTAATGTTTCGTTTTATTTAATGTCAAAATTTTATGTAAGTAATATTTGGGATTTCTATAAAAATATGTAACTTTTTACAAATAAGATATTAAGTTCCCATATTTTCTGCAATATATTTTAAACGTATCAGTAACATTAATAACCTAGTATTGCTTTAAGGATTCCACGCAATATGCCGAGATATCCAAATATAAAGATATTTTATATTTCACCCTGTCGAACCAATCTGGGACGCGCTTCTCCCGTAGTCAGAATGTGTAACGAGTACAATGACATGGTCACTGATGTCGCGAGCGATCTCGATATATTCTACGATTCATATTACATATGCTCAGATTCCAAGATGAGTAGCTAAAGCCTCCGTATTATGGAGTATCTGAGACAACGAAGGTACCACAACACCCAGACCCGAGTCAATATAGAAAAGTTCATTTTCTACATTGATCCGACCAGGAATCTAACCCGGGACCTCGGAGATGGCGACACCTTGAAACCGGCGTGCGATCCAATCTAGAGTCTGACTGTACACACAGAATTACGTCAGCTCAAAGTTATGTCGTTGATTTTGAATTACAATGGGGTTTTAAATGAAGTGGAAAAGCTTAACAGTTTTATATAACCCGACGTGTTCCTGGACTGTGCTTAGAGATGACTATTTTACTTTATTACATCTCTGTACAGTATTCTGTCTTGCAGTGAAATTCAGGCGCAGGTTCATTGGTTGTAAGGCAAAATAGCAAGGTACATATATTAATTTATAAGTTTATTGCACTTTCAACACATTAACAGAAATTTTACATTGGTTAACAGAAGAGGGCGAAGAGAGAGAGAGAGACAATAAAATAAGCCACACATTGCTTTAGAGGGATACTTCTTGTGAGAGGGAATAAATACAATTAAAAAGTTCAAAGTTTATAGAATAAAATTTTATTTATACTATATCACAAACAGCCATCTGTTAACACTAATCAATAGTGGGAATAACTAATATTTACATACAAACAGTCAAATGAGACAATGCTCTATTGTCCGTTTATGTGTCCATAAGTGTAATTTGCACATCTTGTATAGGCGTTTATCAATAAATCATTATAGATTAGGTATTTCCTTGGCTCTCTAACAACTCTATTTTCCTTGCTATGTCGTCCGCAGAGAATGCGTAGTCCATAGAATACTCTGGCTTCGCTTCCTCACATGAAGGTTTATTTTTCTGAAAATCAATTATCAATCTCTAAAAATACGCTTTCCAATATATAATACTAGATGTGACATGCGCCTTTGCTCGCTTTATATACCTATAAGTTTTATTTAAAGCTAAAATTTTAGTGTCGAAAATGAAACTTTTATCCAAAATCAGAATTTATATTACGTTGAATTCTGTTAATACATCTATGAAAATCTCACCCAAAACTGCGCGTACTCCGGCGACACGGTCTGCAGGTGCGCGATCGTGTCCTCCATATCCTTGAGACGTTTGAATACGTCCTTAGACACGGACTGTATGTTCAGGTACTTCTCGACGGCGATCACCCGCTCCGCTATGGAGGGCGGCAGGCCGCGACCGCCGCCGTCCGCTCGCGTCGGGTCGGACTCCTCGCGCGGCGGGTCGAAACTGTGCACCGTTTGCGGACCCCACTCGTTGCACACTTTGCGTACTAAAAATAATCATTGTTATAAGTATTTGTCAAAATTTGCATTCACCACGCACTGGTAAATGCTCATCAGAAAACATAGTCGATGTAAATTTGGTATAAATATAATAATTATAACAATTTGTTCCAGAAAATACATGAACATGACGTTCTTGTGATAAGCGTGACGCTTGCGAATGGATTTTTGAGGATTCGCTTTAGTTTTGATATAGGCAAAACTTTTGGAATTCGCAACCCGCAAGATTATTTTTTAAAGTTATCGATATTTCACTTGAGTGATGGATAACTTAGAGACTTAATGGATTCTAATATAAAAGAACTCACTCCAAAATCTAAAAGGGTGGCGCTGCTGTCGAATACGAGTTACACAAATATTTATAAGAAATCAATGAATTATATATCTTTTAGATTTCGAATTCGCCACTCTTTATAAGAATAACATCTAGATTTTATACGATCGACTGAATAACTTACTTTTCAAATGACCTTTCGAATCACTCCGCCTAACGAACTGCGTTCTCACTCTCGCGCACGTATCAGTCTCTTCTGTCTCACTCTCACATTTATTGGGTATGAAATCATGAATATTGTTCAAATTCACTTGTCCTCTTTTCCTATCTATAAAATTTTGTATGCGCTTTTGTAACTCTTCACTAGACACGTTAATTTGTATCAGATTTTTGTCTATGGGCGCTTCAGAGGTATCCAATGATAATGGTGATGAATGTGCTGATGTTTCAACCGTGCCTGCAAGGATATAGGATAATGTAAGGTGATGAATGACAAACCAAAGGACCAAAATAATCTATAAATCAAAAACAACATGCACAAAAATATATTTATTTTTCTACTAATAGCTCAGTTGTCTATGACAACCACCTTTAGTTTAATAAAACTAATAACAACCCAAGAAACCTTAAAAGAAATATTTTCTTAAGAATTCATTTTGACTTAAAACATAGAACAATGTGCAAATACAACAGTTCGTAAATATTTTTCCTTAAAATTAGGTCACTCAAATATATATATACATAGCCAAATAATCATAAAAGGAAACATCATATTGCAATCTCATTAAAGGATCGGAAAATTCATCAGTCATTCTAAACTTCCTGTAAGATATTCTTAGTTATTGAATAATAACAATTTTCCTTAATAACTATACTAAAATAGTCCTATCTCTTATTGAGGATAGTTCTTTTTAAATGGCTAGTCTATACTATTTGATCACCTGAATAGTTTTACTATATCTATTAAGTAAATGGTGCTAATAATAATTGTTATATAAAACGCAAAACAAAACATGTGTATAATCATGTGTGTGTACTTTTAAAGTATTTTTAAAGCAAAAGCTCGCAAGTCCAACAATTTCATACTAAAATAGCATAATTTCATAAAATATATGTATTTTTTATACTAATAATGCCCTTGTGCCTCTGAGGCCTAAATTCCAATATTTTACACCTACTTTTTTTTTATACATAACAATAATAGAATAAAAAGTATGTACTTTGCTATACTGCATTCTTATTGACGATGGCAAGATTGTATATGATTAAATGAACGAATTATCAAAAAAAGCAAGATAAGACACTAGTGTCTGCTGGAATATTAGCAAATTATTTGTCTCACTCGTTAGAAGTTATTTTGAGTGAATTTAGCCTACACTAGTGCTTAACAATAGGAAATGAATGTAAACATGATCACTACTGCTGAACAAATAATAAAAATTACCAAGTCTAAGCCCAGGGTTTGTTTTAACCCTTTGTATAGTAATACAAAGGGTTGTAGTATCAATTATCTGAATAAATCAGTTAATTTATGGGTGTATTCATAATCAACTTAAAACAACTGTAACCCAAAATTAGGCACCGCAACGTAGTTTAAGTATACCGTATCTTGCCTTTTTGTATATTCTTAAACTGTATGTTTACTAGCGTTATAGATAGTAGACCACGTACATTCTGCATTCTCCTTCCACTGTGGCGCGGCGGTATCATACACTTCCTTCTTCCATATGGGCGCACTCGCTTTAAGCCGTTCTATACAGTGAGAGACAGCCTGCAGGGCGTCGAGGCGATGAGGACTACTCACTGCTATCACAACGGACGCCTCGCGACTAGGAACGATGCCAAGTCTGATAACAGTTGTATTTATTATTACTAATGTTGCTCTTAGAGGCAAAAAAAAAATGTGGTCCAAGTCTATTACAGAATGGTACTCAAGAGATGGAAAGGCCAACAGAGATGGGAAAATGATCTGCTGAATGGCTGGGAGACGATTCATAATCGGGAGGAGTGGAGTATCATAGAGGCCTATATCAGAGGACAGCCTGACTTTATTATTACTAAAGATGTAGCTAATGCACAAATAAAAAGTTTAGTTAGTTTATTACCTGTGATATATGGCTATATCGTGCACAGCTGGCCATTTATCGCGTATTTCATCACAGATGGCCTTCAATGCCTTCAATGCCATTGGCTCATACGCTTCATACTCTAATTGCACCACCTGAGTAAAGATACAGTTTGAATTCATTCATAATAAAGTCTAAATATTTAAATGGGATATTTTGTTATCTTCATCATTAATTATATAGTTTTATATGTGGACATTAATCTATAAAAACAGCTCCTACATGAAAAGATTTTCTTATCAACAAAACTACATAAATAATAGCTAGTTTTTACTGCAGTTGCTTTAAAGCTTTGTTTAAATCATTTAATTTATCAAATGACAATTTCTTTTTGATGGTTACTTTACTGATTGTAATACACAAGTTTAGCAAGAACATAGTTTCCTGGGTAAAAAAAAAGAAAATCTATTAAGTCCAATCACACAATAAAAAAACATTAGATACATATTTTTTTGCTTCAAGAAATAACTAAGCTAACAAGCATTAAAATTGAGGAGCTGGGACTTGCCATGTCACAGCTTTGTAGATAATGTACAAAAGCATGACAAATGTATTGTCTTAATTTATTGATAGCACAAAAATGCATATTTAATATTCTTCAATAATCTACCTGACAGATAGACAAAAAGAATTTAGACATCCTATCATTAAAACTTAGAATGAGACATCAAAAGGTACAAAAATAAAGTACAGCCAGACTTGTGGTGTTTGCTCTTAACACAAACACATTATAAACTGACTAACCATTCAGCCACCTATGACATGTAATTTGCCTACAAAAACAATGTACTAAATATGAAATGATATCCTAACCTTTTCTGGTCCACTGACGCAAAAAAATTAGACGTGTTAAAAAGACCCCTTATTGATAACATTATATGTACTCACCTTTTGACCTTGGAAGTTATCTCTGGTAGTGCCAACAAATATGGATGTAGCTCCGCAGCTGTCATCTAATACAAGATCACTTATTGTTTCAACGGATAGCTTATCATTAGTCAACTTAATATGATCCATTTTTAATTAACAAAATTAATGTATTTATTAACAATTATATCAGCCTCCACTCAGAGGAGGAATCACAGCTATATTGTCTCTCTCTCTTATCTCTAAATCATCAGATTGATCACAAACTTGTTCATTCTTAGCCAGTAATATGTTGTTCTTAATAGTTTGGAGGTTGTATTTATCAACAATGTAGTTTACGAGTTGCTGGTAACTTATTTTTTGAGGTAGTCTTACAGTTGCTTCCTTGATGCCAGCCAACTCCTTAGATTTAGCAAAAAATAAAATCTTCACTGTTACACCATGATCTATGTCCATATTTTCATTCTGCAATAATAAAAATGAAAGTGATTAATGGTAATAATACATGGAGTGAACAATTGAAACACTCAAGTTATAAAATTACAAACTGATTTTCTGAAATACAAACAATATATTCTTGAAAATAATCTTACTACTGATGTCTATAAAATACAAGACACAATAACAGCCTATATTATTGCTAACTTAAAAGTGTTATTTTGAAATCATCACACCAGCTGTGTCTACAAATAGTTGTGATTGTAGATTACATTACTACATTTCAACAACACAATAATAAATAAATTGTTACAACTTTCTAGACACCATGAAACAATAATCAAATCATTAAAAATAAAAGTATCATACACTTTCTAATTACTCACAGCTCAACTAAACTACACATGTAAGGACACTATCTCAACTATAACTATTGGAACAAGTGGTTTGATTATAAATGCTACTTTTATTTATTTATTTTTAATTATAAATATCATCTATACACATTTAAAACTGACAAGAAGAATCAGAGTTGGAGTTCAGTGGCAATATGATGATTATTGAAACAAAATACTTATTCACCAAAACCTTCATTCATTGCGAAAACTAATTGTTAGACTTATGAAACAAAAAAAAAACAAGGTCAAAGAACCTGTTGTGTATATGCTATCATAATCAACTCGTTCACTGAAGCATAATAATAAGTTTTCATATCGCTTACCCAATGATACCTTTAATTGAGGTAATTATCATCATGTAAACATGTATTTAATAAATAAAAATATGAATGATTACCTAAAATTCATAAACTGAGTTTAAAATACACAAGCATTATTTCTAAGTATTTTATACTAAGTATTAATTTTTATTTCAATATGTACTTCCAAATAAGTTTTGACACATAACCTATAAAAGGATACCAACGTTCAAAGTAAATTATGTATATCAAACAGACTTTACTCATTTAGAAAAACGTTATCTCCGTATGTCTCGTGCGCAAAGAGTAGTAATCACAGACTAAGAAGAAGGTACTACGGACTACGGTAATAATAAATCGTACGTTTTTTTTCAAAGGTTTTACCGGCCCCGGTATCCATGGCCTTCAGCCGAGTCGACAAACTAGAACTATATCACAGATCATAACCAGTGTTACCACCTTGGATTTTTTTAAGGCGCTAGATAGAAAGTAAAGATTTCATACCTTTTTTTAAAAATAAAACCACCAAATACTGCTAATTGCTTTAATTAAAAACTAACAATTTCGTATGAAATAGAACTAAAATAGTTGTATCCACAACATTCTTAATAACTTCAGTACACTTGGTACGATGCATTTTTAGGTCGTCCGTTGCTTTAAAATCTCTGATTTTCGATTTTCGATATACGATCGGTCGATTTTACTAAATCTATTAGATGATCAGTACAGAAAACTGAAGTGTGTTCTGTAATGTGTAGAGCGAGCATTCCTTCAGCTTGGCGAGATTTTGAGCTTGTAAACTTTTCACCAGTGAATCGAATCGTTTTATTGGCGGATATAATTTTCATTTATTTTTGTGTTTTTTTGTTTCAGCATGTCTCCTTAAGTCTACTAATTATGCTAATAATTCAGCTTTACAAAATGAACAAAACGATTCCTACAAAAGAGAGCTGATGATGATTTACTACAAAAGAGAGCTGTCCGCGCTATATATAATTGGCGGTCTAGAGAATCTCTCAGAGAAATATTTAAAGAAATAAATATTTTGACTGTTGCCTCTCAATACATCTATGAAAATATTATATAAGGAAGAAAACATTACGATTCCTTCACAAAAAAAAGTAGTGTTCATAATCTTAACATAAGAAATAAAAAAAAACTTGCCGTTCCAAGCTTCAGACTTCAGAAAACCAGAGGATCATTTCTGGGTAAATGCATTGCTATGTTCAAAAAAGTTCCACAAAATGTAGTTGACCTACCCATAAATCAATTTAAAATTCATGTAAAGAACATACTTATGAGTAAAGGCTATTATAAAGTTGATGATTATTTTAAGGATCGCAATGCATGGAATTAATAGCCTTCGCTTTGTTCTATGACGACTAATTATATGTACAACCTATGTCCTACAGACTTTGAAAGTTGTATTTATTATTGTGATAATACATATTATTTTGGTAATGACATGATTTATGTAAATGTCATTGCTTATGATAAAGAGCTGGTAAGTTTCTTTCGCTTGTTCTTCTTGTCAGCTAAAAGACGTCCCGAACAAGTGGTAGGGGCAAAATTTTTTTTGGACGATTCAAAAGTGCTTGTAATCATCATCATCATCATCATAATAGCCTACTTGAATAAAGATATTTTCATTTCATTTTCATTTCATGATATATGAAGTCTATGGTAATTAAACAGTACTGTGATTTTTATTTTAGTAGATTGTAGATTTAGTGATAGTATCCTGTTTAAAAGTCATATCCTAATTTCTTTGCCATATTAAAATATGAAGACGTCAACTGAACTGTCAGTGACTAGGGATGCAACATCGCTCTTAAAAACATCGATGTTTGAAAACATCGACGTTCAAACTAAAACATCGATGTTAAAAAAACATCACTCATAAGAACGATACATCGATGTTTTGTTTTTACCTTACGATTCATTGGTAACAAGAAATATGGTTAAATAAATCTAAATTAATAAAATATAAATAAATTAAAAAATAACAATAAGTTTGCTTTAATAAATAATAATAAAATAAATAATTTTTTACAAGTTATTCCCAGTTGAACAAGACAAAAACATTTTAGTATGCAAAAATATTTATTTCAAAAATCAATTTAGTAATGTTGTTATTATTTTTTTTATTGTTAATTTTTCGAGTTCAAAAATCTTGAAATTGAATTGAGGAACACAAGCTTGGAAAGCCTTGTTCCCAAAAGCCTGTTTCTGTCTTGAGTGACAGTTGCCCCAGCTTCTGAAAATAATCTTTCGCTTGGGACTGATGTTGCAACGATCGGGAGGTAGAGTTTGGCAAGCGAAACGTGACACCACCTATTTTTCCGTTTTCATATGGCAACAACATAGAACTGTCAGTTTGACACTACGTTAGACAATTCAAGAATATTGAATTTTGTTGTTTTTGCGAATTTGAACTTGTGTTTTTGGTTAAAAATTATGTCGAAGCCGATAAAAAGTTCATCGAGGAAACTTCTTTCCATCATGATTGACAAGTTTACTGAAGTGAAAACTGAATTAAATAAAAATTTCATGGAGAAATTACAACGATTAGATAAAGTTGTATCTTTTTTAGGTTAGTTTTGTATTATAATTTTGATACTTTCGTTTTAATTTTCTGTAATTAACTAAACAGATATTTTTTATAAAATATTGCTCTATTTCAGATAACTGTGATGGTGATATTCAACCAATAATGGAGGAGATAAATGCAATAAAAACTTTAGAAAAACAAGAAATGCTGAATTCGGAAACGCAGTACTTACAAAAAATTTCTTCAATGACAGGTCTCTTTTCTTGTTTTGATTTAAGATAGATTGATAGTATTCCTATAATATTTACATAGGTTTTTTATGATGTATTGGTTTTTATTGTTGACATCCAATGATGTCATAAGAATGTTTTGTTTAACAAGGAAATTCACAGAATTCATGAAACTAATCAAACCATGTAATTGTTATACATGCTAAATATGCACATAAACTTAACTAAATTAAACATAAATTGCATTCATAGTTGAATAGGTATTTAAATTATTTTGATGTATGTGTCTATCATTATTTGCTTTTAAATACATTTAACATATCTTTGTTTCAAAGTGTTTAATCTTTTATAGATGTAAGTATAAGGACACTAAGAAGGATAAAAAATGAAGCATTAATTAATAAAGGAAAATGGGACACTCCTGGGAAAAAACGACCTCATCAACCAACAGTGTCTGCTTTAGATAATTTTGATTTAAGTGCAATTCGGAATAAAGTAAATGAATTTTACTGTGTGAAAAAAATTGTTCCAACATTAAGAAGCCTTCACAATGAATTAAAAGATGCAATAGGATTCAGTGGTAGCCGTGAGACTTTACGAAAAATTATGCTTAAGAATGGATTTTCTTTTAAAAGCAATGAAAATGAACGTTCTATGCTTATAGAAAAATACCAGATTTCTGCATGGAGGCACAAGTATTTGAGAGAAATAAATATAAAACGAAACGAAGGAAAGCAAATTGTGTACCTTGATGAAACTTATGTACATCAGAATTATAAAGTTAAAAAGTCTTGGCAAGGACCTTCAACAACTGGTGTCACTACAAAGATATCCTCTGGAAAACGGCATATTGTTGTGCATGCTGGATCTGAGGAAGGTTTTGTGCCTGGTGCATTATTAGTGTTCAGTAGTAAATCCAAATCTGCTGATTATCATGATGATATGAACTCATCGAACTTTATGAAATGGGTCAGAGAAAAATTAATACCAAATTTAAGTAAGCCCAGTGTAATTGTTATGGATAATGCCAGCTACCATATAAAACAAATCAATAAACCGCCTATAATGTCTAATACCAAAGCAGATATCCGTAAATGGCTTGTAAATAATGGAATACATTTTGAGGAATATCAGACAAAGGCAGAGTTAATGTGTTTGGTTAATGATAAGAAAACATTGCCTGTATATGAAGCTGAAGAGATTTTAAAAGAACATAATCATGAACTTTTATTGCTGCCACCGTATCATTGTGACTTAAACCCAATAGAGATGGTTTGGAGTCAAGCAAAAAGAAAAATTGCAAGCAGAAACATTGGAATACCAGGAAAGGAAATGGAAAACTTAATAATAGAGTGTTTTAACTTAATTACCCCTAGTGACTGGAAAGAAATACACTGATCATGTTTTAAATGTCGAAAATGATTACAAATTAAAAGATGGCATTGTTGAAAACGAACTTGAAAAATTTATTATATCTGTTGGTGCAGACAGTAGTGAAGAGAGTGACTCTGATGATTCCTTGTCATTGTTATCAGGTGTAGAATATTTAGAAACAGATTTTGACTATGAATCAGACTAAAGTATTTTTAGTCTGATTCATAGTCAAAATCTTATCTTAAATTTTCTATTGTGATTAACATGATGATTTTGTGACACCTGTATTATGTAATTTATCCATGGCACTTAATTGTAACAAAAATAAATGTTTTTTTTATTGTAATCTGGTGTTTATATTGACTAATTTAATTTGATAGATAGTGGTTCTGGATCAGAGCAAAAGGTTGTGATGAAAATCCCTTAGGAGACATGTATGTGTTATGAACACATTATAAATATAAGGGCCAGAAATCAAAATTGGCTAACATCACATTTATTAAAAAAATGTGGCCAGAGTCGCCCATATTCATAACAAAAAAACAAAGAAGTCGTTGCAAAAAACACCCTTTTAATTAATGACAAATATGAATTTTTAATATTATAAGTGCTGTTAGCCAATAGGTATAACGAATGGGTTAAAAAAAAGATTCGATTTAGTCCGTCAGTCAGATAATAGAAAAATATTGGATACGTATTTTTTTTCGCTTTAATTTAACAACAAATGGCTTAAGAGGTACTATGCGACGACTTCAAATATGCTTTGCAACAATGTTACTTTAATACAGTTTATCGATACGAAATCAAGTGTCAAAATGGAGTCCAGTGGAGAATGCCGATATTGACATTTCGAAATTGCTCATCATTGATAGAGAATACGAAATAGTGATTTTGACACAATCAAAGTGTCTATTTTTTACGGTGATGACGATTCTTGGTTGTCAGTTGAGTTAGTGAATAGGCCTACTGATATGCTGTTAACTGTACAATTAAGAACAGTCACGCTTTAGTCAAATGTTCCAAAACAAATAATTTTAATTGATATCTAAATGTTAAGATTAAATATAATTAATAAAAGTATCAAAATTATTTTGCAGTACTACATTCAGTGTTTACTGCTTAAGAATTTTTGAAATTGCCGCCCTTTTCTTGTGACACGTTTCGCTTGCCAGACTCTATGTCATTGCGATCCTAGAGAGTTTTGGAAACAGAGATTTCATGTCCTCCCAAATTTCAATGGCATCCCTCTTTATCGGTGTTACAGGGGATGAAAGGTACATCTGGACCTCGGTTTCGCTGATGGAACTTGGCGTAACTGAAGAAGATAATTTATTCTTCATGTTTTTGTGTGTTAACTGCTTGTGATACTTCCAGATGTCAAATTCAGCATCATCTTTATCAGATTCCTCAGAGGAGTCACTCCCTGCTTTAGCCAAAGACTCATTCTCATATTCCCGCGCATATTTATTTAAGTAATTTACTACTTTGCTCTTGGCCACGGCATCTTTGAAATGCATGAACTTAAACCTGGGGTCGAGAGTAGTAGAGATGGCAAGGATTGACGAATGTTCTATCGTATCAAACCTCTTAGCTAGTTGTTTCTTCAATTCTGCTTTGAATTGCACTATTGGTTCATTTCTTGGCTTTATGTTTTCCACCACTTCACGAACACAACTAACTAGTGGAATTACTTTGCTTACCGTCACGTAACTATCTCCAGAGAATTCTTTTGTTATTTTTTCAAACGGGCATAGTAATTCTATCATTTCTCTGACACAATCCAGTTCACTGCTTGATATCATTGGTGGAGCTTCAGGTCGAGTCAAAAGTATTGCTCCTACAATGGACACCAAATCTATGAATCTTTGGAGCATATAGAAATGAGAATTCCACCTTGTGCGAACATCAAGTATCATTTTTTTTATTTGACCTTGCTTCAATCCCATATCAATTTGTCTCTTCCTTAACTCATCACTTGCATTAACGCTCCTTTTAATATATTTTACGATATCTCGAACTTTACCAATTAATTCGGTACATATTTTTGAATCGTCAATAGATTTCGCGACAACCAAGTTGATTGTATGAGCAAAGCAGGGAATAATTTTTTTATCTCCAAACATTTCCCGATTGACCTTCATAACAGTGCTGTCATTGTCTGTGATGACAGCTGAAACTTTCTCAATGGAAACGTTCCACTCGGCTAAAATATCAGTTAATTTTTGAGCTATGTACATCGACGTGTGGCTTTCGGTCAACTCAAAAACACCCAAGGTCCCGCTGAGAAGTTGAAATTTGTCCAAAAAATGTATAGTAACACCAATAAAAGATTTATTTTGCATGGTTTCGGTCCAAATATCGTACGTGATACAATAGCTGGCAGAATTTGTGATATATGTTTTAAAAAGATGACTCATGGCTTCGTATTTATCATCAACCCTCATTTTTATTGTCTCTCGACTTGGTACCTTATATAACGGACACACTTCTTTCATGAGTTGTATAAAACCTTTACCTTCTACAGTGGAAAACGGTCTATTATCCATTATAATAAAGTTGGTAATAGCCTCAGTAATCTTCTTAGATTTTGCTCCATCCTGTGTAGAAATACTTTTAATGTTGTTTATGAAATCATCAACATGAGGCTGAGCAGTTTTCTGTGGATGAATTACAACATTTGATGTACTGGCCATTGAATTTTGTGACGAAAGTGAGGATACATATTTAACAGCACTGGAACTAGTCGAAGCATTGACATTGACATCACTGTTTGACGTTGTGATGTTTGAAAGTTCAATATTATCTTGATTGGTACTGGCACTACTGGCAGGGGCACGGGCAGGTGATGCAACATCATTTACGGACATAAAATCAGTTATGGAATTGGGTTTTTTCTTTTTGCAGGGAACATCAAAATCTTCCAGTTGCTGCAAATGCACATTTTCTAAATGCCCACGCAAATTAGTTGTATTGCCTGAAGTTTTTAGGCTCTTGTTGCATATTTTGCAAATAGCTTCTTTGTCGCCAGTTCTTTTAAAATAGTTCCAAATCTTACTTTTTAATTTATTAGGTGGCATTGTAACCTACAAAAAAATCAAAATCTTAATTTAAAACGTATGAATTTACACCATGCAAAACCTACACACAGAACAGACATACAGACGAGCAGACGCATGGACAGAGAGCGGGACAGATCGACACACGGACGAATAGATGCTGATATTTTAAGAAAATAAGAAAAATGTTTAAAATTGTGTAAAAAAAGTAGTATTAGTTAATATAAAAAAGAAAAATAAATGAAGTGTTTTACAAAATTTGTACGGCACTTGATTACGTTAAATAATATATAAACCTAAATTATTATTTTTTTCCTTACAAATTGGCTTTATTTTTAAAGCGAGCAACCCACAACTCAAAACTCCCGCCGTTATTTCGCGCGTGTTTGCACGCTAAACACAAGTACCAATACCAACCAACCCCACCCAGCGCTGCGGGGGCGGCGGGGAACGCGCGCCGCCGACGCACAAGTCGCAACAAGCGACATTTCGCAACCTTTTAATTGATTTGATCATCAAATAAATAAAGAATAAAATTATAACAGTTTGCACTTACCCAAAAGGAAATCCAAAGTAAATACGTATGAAAACAAAAACAGAAGTATGCGCACAAAACGACGTGTTATCAGCGTTACGTTCGCGAGCCGACTGAAAAGACAACGATCAACGATGTCGATGTTTATGCCGAACATGAACGATGTATCGGCGATACATCGCTGATAAAAATATCGATGTTAACATCGTTGTTTATGAGCGATACCTCGATGTTTCTAAAACATCGATGTATCGTTTGCATCCCTATCAGTGACAGCTTGTGTGACAGTTTAAATTCTAAAAAAAGTTACCGGATTTCAAACGGTTTTTATAGTGTTTCAAGCCCACGGAGCTGCAACGATTCTACTACTCCTTTTTGGCAGCATTCCCTTGGACGCGGATTACATAAAGCGAACGACGAACAGCGTGCACCACAAAAAGGTTAAAAATAGATTTTCTTAGTGAGTTGCGTGTTCAGATACAGACATTTTTGTTTATAAAGAATGACATACATAAGGCGTCTTGAATTGCGAATGAGTTACGCATTAGAAATCTAAGTGAAACTCATAGAAATCTACGGACTGTAAACAGTGGACTGATTGTTTTTTTGTATTGTTACTCCAGATTGTGATGCTGTGAAGATAAACCCGTGCTGTGGTGGTTATTATTACTTACTCTCAAGTTGCAGTAAATTTGTCCTGGATGTCCTTTTCTTCAAGTAATAAAATGGCTCATAACATTGAGCCTATGGATATAGATATTAATAGTGATTTTGACAATAAGGAAAATAGTATTCATCACAGTAATGTGTATCCACGAACTCCATGCACTGAAAAGGGATATGAAGAATTAGATGTGTCAGAACTAAACATGAAATTGAGGTATTCAGTGACACCAACTTCTTCACCAATGTCAAAAAGTTATACTGCAAATAGCATTGATAATAAAAGTTTTGATTTAAATGGAGATGTTTTGAATGCTAATTTAACTCGCTCTTTTAATTCTACATTATCAAAGAGTGATGCGGTTACCAAATCTAGTAAGTTATTACCATTACAACCTATTTCTGCAGACCAATTTATAGACAATATTCGAAGTACATCATTTGTAAAAACTTTAGAGTCTACACAGACTATTGAGGCAGGTGATATTACTGTTACAGTCACAAATGACAATTACTGTAATTTGGAAACGCCTAGCTTGTCATCATCAACAGTTGATACCCCAGAAGTTACCACACCTACTAAGGAATTACCTAGAAGTGATGGTGGGTCACCTATAATGAGGGGTCTCAAAAGTGTCCTTAATATGTTCCGATCATCACAGAGCCCAATACCGCCTGCTGAAAGTGGAGATGACATATCAAAGCAAGTATTAAGTCCCAGTGATGTTATTTCTCTAGATTCTGTTGCTCAACCAACACAGTCAGTTTTAGCGTCAACACCAATAACTAAAGAAAATGCTTCTAAAAGAAACAGTCCACTCAAAGAGAGCATAATATTTAATGATGACTTAGAGAAAGAACTCTTGTGGAAAGATGAAACTACTATACTTTTTAGTCAAGAAAAGATTCCAATTCACAAACTGTTTTATCAACAACCCTTAAATACTGTAATGGATCCTAGCAAACCAAATACTGAAGAAAAGTCCATTATTGAAAATAATTTAAATGATTCTGTTGAATATATGGATATATCCTGTAATGATTTTATTACTAAAGACCATTTATCAAAAGTTCATTCTGAGGAACAGCTAGTAGGTGAATCTGATGGAGAATTTGTGGATTGTGAGACTACATTCACTAATGATAAAAGTGGAATGGTAGATACCAATGAAATAATAAATAATGCAATGTTAGAAAGTAATCCTATTTCACAGAGTGATTTGAATTCCACTGTTCAGTCCTTACACCAAAATGAATTCTCTGCAATTAGCAACAAAGAAAATAGTCTTTCAGCAAGTTCCAATAAGACAGAGAGTAATAATATGTCTTATTCCAAAAATGAAGAAGTGTCAAATTCTATAGCAATGGAAAAGTCAAACATAGAAAAACATGAAAGTGCAGTAAATGATGAGGAGTCGAAATTGATGAACCAAGGGCTTATCAGTACTATAAATGCTTCACTGCAAAAGGAACATAACTTTAACGTGACAGAAAAACAAGCTGTAGTAATATCTGAATTTGAAAATAAAGATATTAAATTGCTAGCAATCAATGAACAATTTCACAATACAATGTGTAATAGTCCTCAGTTTAATGTGACATCATTGCAAGGAGATTCTTTTCAAAACTCAGATTCAGATAAATTCGGCCTACAAGATTCTTTGAATGAAATCATTGATAAAAATTCACCTGAATTTAATCAAATTTCTATAGAAGTGTTAAATGAAAAAAATGTTTCACCATCTGATGAACATACAAAGATGGTTGGAATTGAAAAAGATAGCATTGTTCCTGCTAATATTCCTTTACCTGATGAAGATTGCTTTGAATTTGAAACACAATCAAATAAAGATGTTTTGCCAAATACAAAATTAAATATAAATCCATCTGATATTCATAAAGTAGTTTTTGATGGTCAATTAGAAAGTTTGGCATGTGCTGACACTATGCCAATAAAATCTTTGACTTCACATGAATCACAAGGCGAAAACAAAACGATTAATGTCAACATTGATGGAAATCTAGTGACTAATACTTATATTCAAGAAAGTAATGTAAAAGATGCCACAATCTCAATATCTATACATGAAAATAACGATTTTGGAGCTACTGACATAGGTGATGTCACTCAACAATTAATTAAAAATATTGATGACATTGTAAGAAATGCTGAATGTATAGTTCAACATCAGCAAACTGAAATGACTGTAATGTCGAATAATGTGGAACTACAATTGGCCGATGATTTTCAGTCAGAAAATGTACCACTTCCATGTGAATCGTCATCAGACAATCAAAACGATGCTGTCATTTATGCCCTGCAAACTGAACTGACAGGTCTCGGTATGGAAGTTTTAAATAAATCTGTCTGTCTAGAAGCATGTAATAAAAAGAATTCTGATGTCAATAAAGAAGATCAATCATTAAATATTGACAAACAACTTTGTGAACAAAGTTCTCATGATGTTGAAAAAATGGTGTATCCAGAAAATGAACAAAATAATATTGTCCCAATCATTAATAATAATTTGCTATCTTTGTCAAATAAAAATGAACCTGATGACAGTTGTTCTAAACCGAAACATTCTGTTGAAGAAACAATAATTACACACCATGATAATATGGAAAATATCTTTGAAGCAACTCGAGATATTAATAAGGAAGCAAAATCGGAATTATTACCAGATGTTATATCTGACACAATGTGCATGCCAGATATACGTTTAGTTGATGGAGATAAAGATACTGTAACACCAAATGATATAGAAAGTGCTCAAGCAAACTTCACTGAAATAAAAGCATATGAAGAAATATTGAGGAACAAAGATGAAATAGAAGTTAATATTGAAGAGGTTATATTATCTGAAGACAACAGCCCTTTTGTATCAATAGCTAGTCCAGTTAACTGCACTGAGAAACAGCCTCTAAGTTTTAAAGATGAGACTGCAGTTACTATTACAACAGAATTTCCTTCATCTCCACCAATTTCACCAAAAATTTCTTCAAAGGGTTATAATTTTAATTTTGATGAAATAGATGATCCGTTTGCTACTAAAACAAAGATCAGATTATCACCCCCACCAGATTCTCCTAAAGAAAATGTTCTCAAAAAAGTTGAAAAGACAGTCATCAAAAGAGATATGAATACAAAGAGACGTAAATCACTACAAGAACGAAATAATTTAAATCAAAAAGATATAAATAATAAAAAATTGCCGGATAACATGCCTAAATTAGATAATGAAATTGTGAAGTCTCTAGATTCCATCTCACAAGCAATCTATTTAAAGACTCAAAGTAAGGCTTTAAACAAACAAATTACAGATAACCCTGAAAAAGGTAATCTGATACAGGATATTGAACCAGACTTACATTCAAATCAAGTAGCAGATAAAATTGTAGCCACAAAGTCTGTTGAAAACAATGCATTAAATGAAAAACACGCTTCTGACAATAGTTCGGAAGTTGTAATTAACGAAGAGAATACTTTATCAGTGGAATCGGTAAATAGCTCAAATGACGTTAGAAATACTTCATCGTCTGAACAATCGACTTATTATTCCGCTAACATGTCAAATGAAGCTGCCAGAAATGTATTCAATATTCCTGAAATTGACGACGTGAATTTCAATCCATTTTTAGCTAAACCTAAAATGCGTGAATCCCCGGAAACTTGCAACAATGACAGTTTCAATTCAAAGTGTAATGATTCATTCAATGATTATTATCAAGGCAATAAATCACCAGAAGCATTAGATGATAAAGATTGTGCTAATATCAGTAACACTACATGTTCTTCAAAATCTACAGAAGAAAAAGATATAACAGTTAGAGAAGTTCACACAGAAGATGAAGATACGATTGAAGGCCCTTTTTTGGAAACTGAAGGTTTAAATAATGTTGATAAAATGTCAGACTTTGAGGCTGATGACGTAGATATGATGCAATTTTCAGAATTACCGTCGCAGGGTACTGAAGAACAATTGGAGGGTGGAGAGATGTTTATTGATGCAGAAGCGTTTGAATTCCTATTAAACCAAAACAAAAGTAATGATGTTTCGGACAGTGGTAAAGAAAGCTTATTTCTCAAATTTGATCCATTATTTGCAAAACGGGTGTCAACTGGTGGTGTTATAGCTGCTTTGAGCAAAATTCAGAAAAAACAAAGCACTCCTAAAAATGTATCAGTAGCCCAACAATTAGATATTACTTTTGAGAAATCAGATCTTGGTCCGTCCACTTCAGGTGCACCTCAAAAACCAAATCTTCTTGAGTCGGCTGAAGATTATACAGATGATCCTAATGCAGCTGTATCGAAACCGATGATGGTAGTAACTCCTGCAGTTAATCCAATTGTCGCACATAGAAATAAACTTGCTGCTACTCCTACAAGCTCGAATAGGCGCTCTATCACATTCACTTCTCCTGCCATTGCTGTTATTGATAGACTCCTTTCGCTGAGCGGTAACAACTCATTGCTTGGTCATGACAGTACCATAACTCAAGCAAACAGAGAACAAGATGAAGCCGACCACGCCTTAAGACAACTCCGAGAATTACTGGCAGAAAAAGAAATAAATGTTTATAATTTGAGATCTGAAAGTAAAGAATTAAAAAACAGGTTATCCAGTTTGGAATCTCAAATGCGAACACTAGAGACTGAGAGTGAAGAGAGGCTGAGAAAGATAAACGACTTAAACGAAAAACTTTCTGAAAAAACTAAACTCAATAAAAGTATGGCATTAGTTGTTGAAGAATATGAAAGAACGATTGCCAGCTTGATAGCAGAGAGCGAACAAGATAAAAGACATCACAATGAAGAGAGATTAAAACTAATCAAAGAAAGAGATGAGCATACTAAACACTTGGCTAGTATGGAGGTTTCATTCAATGATTTACATAGTAAATACGAAAAGAGTAAGCAAATTATTATGACTTGTAAAGCTAATGAAGACACATATAAAAAGTCTATTAAAGATTTTGAAGAAAGTCTGTCTAAAATGCAATCAAACTATGAACTATTGAAACAGCATGCTACCACAAAGTTGAATCATGCAAACCAAGAATTGGAAAAAATGAATCGCACCCACGAAGCAGAAGTGTTAAAATTAAATGCAATGATAAAAAGGAAAGAATTGCATATAACATCTCTTGAAGAAACTCTAGCTCAGAAAACCAAAGCAAACGAGGAGCTGACGGCGATATGCGATGAGCTCATAAATAAAGTAGGCTGAACTAATTTTAGGCATGTCCAAACATTTGCTTTGTATTACAGTATCTGTGATCTAGACCGTTATTTCAGACTTGTTGCTTGTGTTCTTATCGTATGATAGGTGCATTAAGTGCGAACTCGTCTTTTAGTCACTTATCATCATGTGCCAAATAATTATGTGCCTATTTAATTAATTCCTGTTTGACTATTTAAAGACTGCTTAATGTGATAAAAAAGAAAAATACTCTCAAAACAATCATTGTTAGATATTTCAGTCGGTATACATTTTTTAAATGGTTTAGGCATATCTATACGTTTGCCGTTATGCTGGTCATAGCGTAAATGTGTATGATCACAAACCAAATTCATAAGAGTTATAAGGAGCTAATAGGTAATTAATATATTTTCACAGGAAGGCATCAAAAGCCTTGACTTTGCTAGATTAAAAAAAATATTTTTGGTATCATGTTTTCATATTTAAAAGATATTTTTGTACATTTATCGGAATCGTTCCTAGGTAAAGTTTTTCTATAGTTTTTTAACCATATCGCTGTTGAAGTAAATGCACGATTGTAGATGGAGATAGAGGTCAGCCATTCTTATATATAATTATGTTAACAATTATTATGATTAGTCCATATTTCTTATGAATTTTTGTATTTTTAATAAACACTTGACATTATAACAGTTATTGGTAATAATATATATTAATTATTTTCTAGTTGGATTAGTTGTAAATGCAAGTCGTTGCTAGATAGACAAAAATATGTTAAAGTAAAAAATGTGAGTTAGGTACTTTTTTCATACATTACTTATGTTGATAGGTACGGTTTGTTTCTCTACATGTATGGATATTTAATAGTAATGATATAGTTAATAAAGTTGACGTTTATTATAAGCAAGTTTCTAATTATTTTTTGCCCATTCTAATTAGATTGAAATATTTACAAAAATATTTTTTCTTAGCAGGAAGATAACTTTTAAAATTTGATACAGTATGAAACCTTCTTAAAGTTGATACTAAATTTGTGCCACTCTGTACCATGTCTTCTAAGAAAAAAGGTCACTGAACTCAGACTGTACTCGAGTGTCATATGGGGCCATACCGGAGCCCGATGCTATTCCACGGGAGTTGCAACCGGGGAGGTCGATGGTTGGCCGCCTTCGCTGTAAAGCGTTGCCATGGCAACCAGCGACAAACACTGTCAAACTTTCAATGTCATCAGTGAAACTGATTATCGTGTGCAATCATTACAAAGTGAGTGCGAGCGTTGCGTGAATAGTTCATCTGAGTATGTGCGAGGGATGTATGACGAAACTGTGCCGGTGTTGAACGCTAGAGAGATCGAAAGCCCATCTAACTCTGACGAGGAGGAGGTGGTGAGGGCGGCCATGGCGAAGTTCAACCCTCCCGTGCGGCACACCGCGAGACACGACTTCGATTCAGATAGCGATAGTGGGTCGGAGAGGAAGTTCTTGGGCAACGTATCTGGTGAAGAAGAGGTGAAGTGATTTGTTTGTTTTATAAACTTGCTTTTTCAGCGACATTGCGCGCGTAAATTAGATTCATTGTTACTCGCGTATGAAGTAACTTCCTGTAGGTGAAAGATCTTTTAAAATCGGTCTAGTAGATCCGCAGCTTGTTCAATGCAAACAATTAAATCAAAACAATTCCGCTATAAATAGTAGCCTGTAGCACAGCCAATTTATTATCTGATGCTATTATGTCTGTACCTTATTATACTACCGACACACTTCCAATTGTGTCCAGATTTTACATTACCGAAGTCGCGGGGCGGTAGATATAGTAAGGTATTCATAGTTAATTCCATGAGTCTGGTCTAGGTATACCAGCTAGGAATCTAACTCGAGCCAGAATATAAATCAGAAAAGTTATATAAATGTAATATAATTAGTAAGATATTCATTCAGCTATTATTTATCTATTGCCAGGATTTGGTCTGATGTAGGTCAAGCGACTGAACTGGATAGATATTTCGATCTCCGCAATTGCACGTGGCAATGACTCGACACTTGATCTATTTTAGTAATGTTTTCCGATAATTTGGCCAAAAAACAAACGGTAACATTGGAGTATGTATATGTTTCGTTCCACTGCTTGTTCCTTGTTTACTTCTCAAGACTGAAAAACAAAATTATGACACTAAATAATTTTAAGACTAGATATTTTCATATAAAAAAGAAACTTATAGATACGCCTGTTACAGAACTTTAACAACGTTTGAAATTAGAATCATTAATGTTTCCATTACGATAAACAATTTAAAAAATCTGTAAATTTTATTTAGTACCTAAACTTCGTATCCAAGTTTGACTTGTACTTGGTCAGCTAACAAATCTTTCGAATTAAAAAACAAATATAAACGTACCTATAATTGTTATAGTAAAAATTTTACTTTCTGCTTTCCAGTCTCCTGACAGAAATAAGTCTTTACCCGAAAAGATATTGCACGACAAGTTTGAAATACAGAAGCAAGCTTCCAAAGAGACCATTGCAAGATCGAAACCGACTGCTAAAGATACTGACTCTTCAAATTCAGGTAAGTATATTCATCATTTTATTAGTACTAAATTAAAAATAGGTTCTAAAATGCTTAGGTGCCATCTATTTATTACGCAAGGTGATTTATGGGTGAGGAGGTCTTAACAGTTCTTACGCAAGATCACAAAATAATATAAATAAATAAATAAATAATACGGAATAATAATCTATCTATACTATAATAAAAACGTAACCGATTGATGTCTGTACATTGAAGATATATGAAAAAAACTGTTATGAGGGACATTTATAAGAGTCTGTTTGTCTGTTTATCTGTTTGTCGGTTTGTCTGTTTGTCTTTGCGTTTGTGCACAATAATCTCAGAAACGGCTAAACCGATTTAAATGCAGTTTTCACTATTATATTGCGACATTCTTCCGTTAACATTTAGTGTAAGATTTATTTCAATCGGTTCACAAATACAAAAGTTATGTCAATTTGAAGTGACGTGGTCGTCAAAATTGCTATGAAACATTTACTGTTTTATTAAATTTTCTTCTTTGATATATTGATCACCATCATTAACTCTTTCACAGCCAAACTGCAGGGCCTCAGGCATTTGTTTAATAATTTTTGGTCACCCATCCCGTGAACAATTCTTGTGAAAATTGCTTAGCAATAGCGTTCGTGCGCAGCGGCGCATATACGTAGAGCCACCGAGCTACGATTAATATTGTCTATAAAATGATAATTTGTATGATGAGAAATAAAAAAGAAAGATTCCAAAATTTTGACTCTTCGAAGTAAGTTGACCTCATTTATATATGGCCAATCGTATTAAATAGGGTTCAGCTTATAATGGACATGTGGTATACGATCACGCGAGTAGGAGAACATGCGGAAAGAGCCTTCCGATGATGCAATTAGGCCTCGAGTAGTTTACAGGGATCGCATATTTTTATCAGATTAGGTTCACGTCGTCGTCGGGGCCAGCGGAGGTGATTGGCTGCCACTCCCGCATTGCACGGTTTCGTCTGTCTGGGAGAGGCACTCGATTTACCCGATTCTCTCCAATTTTCCATCTGCAAGGGGACCAATGGTCCAATACTTGAGTGTCCTGGTGACTCGGCCATAGCTTGCCGGTTTTCATTTCCCATGAGAAGGGGTAGAGTACGGGTTTTAGTGGGTAGGCCTCTGGGGACCCACCGGGCAGCTCACTGTCGTGTTCACGGATGAGAATCCTACTCACCCCTGTTGCTTGCCATCTGGCACCTAAACGAGACAATGTCAGAAGTTTTTCCACGACGTTAAAAAACTTAGAATCACGTCAACTGAAGTTAAGGACGTAAAGACAACTTGAGTTATATATATTTTTTTTCTCTTATTGCTATTTTTTATGTTAATACTCTTTTTTTTTTAACATACAAATTGCTGTAGATACTTACTTCAAACTTGGTATTTTCAGTCTTCGCTGGAAACAATGCTTTATTCATAGGTCACAACACTCATATAATTTTACGCAAGTCGGGTAGGTCGGTTCAGAGTAGCTCGGTGGCGTAGTGAATAAGCGCCATGGCCCGCGATTGTAGTTGTTAAGCAACTTTCGCAAAGGTCGGGCACAGGATGGATGACCAAAAAATATTATCTCAAGCAACTCCAAGCTTCGGAAAGCACGTAAAGCGATTGGTCCCGGTTCTATTTGCAGTCGTTAATATCCTCCAATCCACATGGAGGGTCGTGACCCATCCTCTTTAACCATCCATAAGGAAGGCCTGAGCTCCTGCAGTTGGTGACGTAAAAGGGTTGATGATGATGATGACGAGGGCCGTTCAAATCTGACAGAATCTCAGTTAAGCACCTCACGGAAGTATGTTAGTAGACGATTTCCTTCGAGTGTGGAAAGTCGAAATTAAAATATGTATATATTTTTTTTATATAGACCGACTTTTATAGACAAAGAAAGAGATCAGAAAGAAAGCGCTCGGTCTCGGGAGACACCTGAAAAACGCGAAGCGTATTTAACTGCCCATCGCGAGGCTCATGCACTATAAAGTTGAATCTGAAGCATTTACATACATGCAGTATGGTATGAGTATGAAACTTCTTTTGATAGGGAAATGCGCTTGGTCTCTTAAAGAGCTCGCAGTTTCCACAATAGAGATCGAGAAAGTAGATTCGATTATCGCCAACCCGTGTTAACTTCATACTCCACAGGCGTACCGCAGATAAGTTTTCACAGGGTATAATGAACTAGCTATTTTCCCACAACTTTGCCGCAAAATTATAGCCTATGACATCTGCGTCTGATGTAGCTTCCCGTAGGTCGGAATCGCTCTGCAACTATCGGTCCAGTAGTATTGGAGCAAATTCGATGCAAACAAACAAACAACCAAATCTTTCCTCTTTATAATATTAATATAGCTTAGGCATAAGGGGTCCGATGGCGTAGTGGGTTAGCGCATTCGGTTTAAATTACAGTTAAATAAGTAAGTAAATACTGCACAACAAGGACATACATGAATACTCATACATACATAATACTTATATTATACATAAATAAGTACAAACGACAAACTAATCGCTAGCCGGCAATTTCTTCCAGGCAAACTAGCTTTACATGAAAAATAGAACAATAAATAACCGATTGTGCATACAACTAGACAAATAATAATAATTTAAAAAGATCGCAACAAAAGAAGGACCGTTTAAAGGTACGAATAAAATGCTCAGACACAAGCAATAACCAGAGCGCGAGAAACGAGAAAAAAATAGAAAAATAACATTCGTAAGGACCGTTTACAGGATGGGTGACCAAAACATTATTATCTTGAGTACTGTGCATAACACTGGCATAATGCACGTTAAGGCGTTAGTCCTGGCTGCATCAGCAACGTTAACACCCACCGATACGCATTAAGCTCGCGTAGTGGGTTATGGCCCATTGATCTTATTCGATTCGTCTGCATTCATAGGAAAAAAAGAATTCTACCAAAACACTTCCCACGCAGACGAAGTCGCGGGCACAGCTAGTATAAAAATAAAAGCGGAAAATAAAAAAAGTCCTTTAGATTATTACGTAATATTAGTTATCAAACATGCGGGGGGATCTTCCTTTTTTATGTACAGAGTTTAGCACAAAACTGCCTTAATGCACTTAATATCCTTGGTTAACTTATTTAGGTAGGTGAATCCATCTTTTGATGTCTTCTCTCGTCCAAATAGAATCCGATAGCGGTGACGTGGAAGGAGACAATACGGATATTTTGTCGGGTAGCGGTCGCAAGCGTGGCGGTGGTGTGGTCATCCCCGCGGAGGGGGCGTACGACCCCAAGCAGTTCCAAGACCTGAAGGTACCTCCGGACATGGAGAACATATTCCAGTACATCATGAAGTGAGTGAATGTATTCTACTCAAATTTTCTCTTATAAGTATCCGTCTCGAAGGATCATATACCTACAGGCATCATTATTATTCTTCTTGCTTATGGATTTGAAATACAACACAAGTGATTTCTTTAATTAAAGTACAGGGTTTATTTTAATACAAAATGCTAAACTGTAATATAAGAATAGTTATGCGTTATTACGACACGACTGTCTGTAACAATAATATATTTTTTCCAATCACTTTCATTTTCTTGCAGGGAGTTTAATGACATGTTTGATAGCTAAATGTATCGAGTGACGGCGAGTTTTACTCTCTAACTGTTCGTTACGTATGATTGGCGATGGATACTTGATAGTTATGTAGTCTAGATGAGATGCGATATCATTGTTTTTATATTGCGGTTGACCGCATTGAACATCCGTTAAAGCTAACTGATAGTCAATATTTTTTTTTGTTCTTTCATCTTAAGTTTATAAGACATCATAATAGTAGATTCTTGGTGACTCGTCACACGAAAACATATTAATGTATTTCATGTCGATTGGCGTATTTCAGATAGATAAATATAGCCTGAATAATAGGTATCTTATTAAAACGTTTTCTTAGGAAAATAACAATTCGATATAGACACAGGTACACAAAATTATTCGCAAAAACTTCAAATGTTTATTGAGTCTAACAGCCATTGAATTAAATTGTTATTCGTTTAAAGCGACATTACTCATACAAATTTGATATTAATTAGTTTAAAAGCGTCATTAAACGTCCATTAAGGTTTGACGTCGACTTTAAGCTCTATTGAATGTCAAATTTGTATGAGTAATGTCGCTTTAAATTAATTTTAATTTTAATAGACGTTTGTGCAACTGGCGGTTGACTGACTGTAAGGGTCTTTATATGTCTGACGGAAGACGCGTCGCGTGTCATCGGTCGTGATACCTCAGATCATTATGATATGACATTCAAATATGGCACAATAGACGGTAATCCGCGCGCTCTAACAGTGATATGCTCTACGTATATTCCGTCAGATATGTTTTGCTTTCGCATGCGATTGAGTAGTTTTCTTTTTAATATTGTCCAATGGTTCCGGCCCTCAGTCGGTGGCACAGGATACTGGGCGGGATCTTCGCACGGCCCGACCTTGCTCTGAATACACTAGGACTTTGATTGCCGCTATATAATAGACAGCTGTTGGGCTGCAAATTGAAAGTACCTACATGGTTACCATTAAAACGTTTTCTTACTGTTTCTATTTATGTTGGTGGCAACGTCGCCATGCAATGTGGTGCAATATTGAATGTTTTTTTTTTCTGGTTTTAACTTAGATCTTTATTTTAGACCCTGTCATTTATCTGAAATCCATAGCAAAATCGATATTTGTATGAAAATAGTCTGACATTTTTCAGCTTTTTTTGTTTTACCTAGTTAAAAACTAAAATAAACGAAAATTATTGTTAAATATACATTACACAATAAATATTATAATATAATTATAGGTAATCCTTTTCTAAGATTTAGAGATAGTCGATAGAGCAAGTGGGTAGGCGTACGCCGTACATACGTATTAGACATTACACATATCACTTAGATCCGGAAATCTGAACCATTGATGCACGTTGTACAATTTGAACTGGAACAATTTGATCGGAAATCAAATTCAAAACCTTTAAGAAATAATTCTTCTAATGCACACCAGATACACCCCTCAGAAGATCGACATAGAGTTCAAGTTGCAACCGTTCGTGCCGGAGTACATGCCGGCGGTGGGCGACATAGACGCGTTCATCAAGGTGGCCACGCCCGCGTGCAACGTGCGCGGCCAACCGCTGCCGGAACCTGTACTAGAGCACATCGACAACCTGGGTATTGTGTTGATGCCGATGGTGATATGTGAACGAACTAGCTGTGGTGGACACCTCAGTGAATTTGAATTCGGGTTTGGATGTTACAGAATCGAAGGACAGCAGGCTTTTAGTACTCTTGATTTGGTACACTAGCGCCAATTAGATCAATATTGCGTGGCTATTGAATAACCTAATCGACACTGAATAATTATCGAATGTGTGTACAAGAGTACGGTCTAAGATTTGATGAAAATTTAGATCGTCATTGGATTGATTGAAATTGACATTGAGATTGCGTTCAAGAGTAAGCCTGCAGAAATTTACTCTTTACTATATTAGTATAGATAAATTCCAAACTAAGAATCCAAAGCCTTTGGGCTTTGTAATTTAGGAATTAAATAAGGAAAGTCCAACCAAAATTCAGACTCAAGACAATAAAGCAAATTCCATTTTCTAAATTGGCTCCGCCGGGAATCGAACTCGAGCTTTCGGCGATGGTACACACACCTTAGTCGATGGACTCCTTAAAACCGGCGTGCGAGCCTCTCGACAACGGAGGTCGCCAAATGAATGCTGATGATAATAGGTTGTTTCTCGGAAACTTGAGCTTCCGGTTTGATAGTTTTAATTTTTTTTTATCTATATAGAATCTTCTGAATGAAAAATGCTTAAAAATTCCATTTTGTTCCTGGCACTCGGAGATGAAATTAAAACGAACCCATTGTTTTTCGCAATTCGGGGGACTGCTCTAACCACTGAGCTACACCACAAGACCTAACAGGGCTGACGAATTTTTCAAACACTATACAGAGGGTATTTTCATCAATGTTCAGGCAATACGCCGGGATTGCGAGAACTCATGGGTTCGAGTCCCATATCAGAGTGCCAACATTGTGAATGCAAAATTAAGCAAATAAAATATATAGATTCTGTTATCGTAGTCTTAGTAGATTCTGGCTGCCGATTTAAAAAAAATATCAGTCAAAATTCATTATTTTTGAAGAATAACAATGACGGATGTATCAAACAGGTAGTTCAAGTACCCAAGAACCATATAGGTGTCGATGATCGTTCATTGTTGTTGGGCAGGCCTGTTGGTGCTGGACGAGCCCTCGTCGGAGCAGAGCGACAGCGCGCTGCTGCACCTGCAGCTGCGGGCGCTGTCCAAGACTCACGCCGCCAGGTCCACACTAGTCAGTACATACTGCATTAAATATTCCACACTATTCAGAAGTGGTTCCCAACCTTTCAGCAATGTATTTATTTTACTCTATAGTTGAACATAAAAGAACGTACTATTTTCTTCATATTAACGGAGACGCCAAATTGTACTCAGCGAATATACACGAAATATTAGTTTAAAAATACTGTAAGTGTTCAAAAGTGGTTTTCCTCTTAGATTCTCAAGAGCACAACAACCGTTTGATAAAATTGCATCTTTCCTTGGACCACCCACTTGGTTTATTATTCGGATTCGGAAACCTATATCTCCGCTCCACGGACCACATAGGATAATCCAGTGATCACCGATTAAGAATGTTATACACGGTTATTTGTGGAACACCAACAACCTCGCAAGACTAAACACCCATCTACTTTCCTACCAAATAAATATTAGCCGTTCGAATGTTAATAAATCTAAGCTCAACACCAATATGTAGATACTTTACACGGAGCAACACTTCTTCCTTCAAAAATGGACGCATAAATGTAACGATAATATCTATAATAAAACTTTAAGTAATTTCATTTAAAGTGAAAATTGGTAGATTTTCTGTCTAGTGCTACAAGGTTGCCGTTGTTTAATTATTAACCCCATATACATATATGTGCTGCTGAGTGTTATTAACATCTGCACATTTTGTTTTTAACTAATATAATCTGTGTAATATGTTGTTCAGCTCACCAAGAAGGTGGAAAATGCGGAGAAGAATTCCAAAGCGATCGAACGATGGATAAAGGACGTCAGTGAACTACATCTATCTAAACCTCCACCCACGGTCATGTATACCAGGTATATATCTGCTTTTATAATCGACATTTAGTCAAGATTAATAAAAGTTCCGTCGGTTCGGCCACATGTAAATAATGCTGGATAACACAACTGATAAACAACGAACGTGGAAGAATATAGAAGTCGAGTACACCTTTCAGGATTGATTGCCTGCAAAGGGGACGATGACTGGGTAAAAATAAGAAATTCTATTTAGTCCGTTAGCCATATAATAGAAAATATTACGTACGTATATTTTTTAACAAGAAATGGATTCAATTTAAACAAGAAATGGCTTAGATAATAGGCTTTATAGTGACGTTCTCTATGTATTTTTTTTTGTAGAAAACTTATAAAAGCGTGACATTTCAACTGAATGTATCGCCGTAATTTAATATAATTAAAAATATGTTTTTAATATTCTTTAATAATCTACCTGATAAATAAACAAAAATTAGTCGTCATCTCGTCATCCTTATTGAAAGGTGATGTTGAGCCATAAAAATGGGTTCGAATATATGAAAAGCGTGATGATGAGCAATGAGAAGGCGAAATGTGTTTAAGGACCGAGTTTACGCGCTCGGTCCCCGGAAAATAAAGAGATAATACCGATAGAATTATTTGTACACAAAATACTTGTAAAAATAATTCTATCGGTGTAACTTGCATAATATTATAAATAAAAAAAATACAAATGCGATGAAACCATTTAAAAGTTAATTAAACGGATAGTGCCCGTAAAAATATAAGAAATCAATATAAAAAGTCAAATATAATAATTATAAATTTCGTTATATTTATAGCAAGATGCCGGACATAGACAATCTTATGGAGGAGTGGCCAGAGACAATGGAGGAGACTTTGAACGAGGTCGGTTTCCCGGCGGCGGGCCTGGACTGCTCGCTGTCACAATACGTGGAGTTAGTCTGTGGAGTGTTCGACGTGCCGATAGTAGGAGATGGATTAGCACCGAGAATTCAGGCGCTTCATCTGCTATTCAGCTTGTATTCAGCCGTGAAGAACTCTCAACTGTACGCGGAGAGACAGAAAGAGAAAGAGGATGTGTCGTGAAGATGTAAAAATTATGTTGTATACTTTAATTGTATATGTGTCATATAAATTTTATTATATGTTGAATTGGGTTTTTCTTTGTGTATTCGTGAATATATTTGAAAAACTGTCAACATATATGTATGCCCCAAGAAATATCAGTGTCATTGAAACCAAATGTCATTCAAATATGCTAGTTCGGTTAGTAAATTTCTATTTACTATAATCATAAGCTATTTATAAGAATGGTGATTATGTTATAAAGTTGGGGTTAGAAAATAGAATAATTCTCTAAATAATAGTATGGAGAAAATAAATAAAGAAACATAAATGCATAAGTAAAACAAGACAATATTTTGTGTTAAAACTTCTTTTATTAATTCACACGTTAAGTCTTCTAGCCCACATAAATGGCACTTAATCTGAATGATATAAGGTGTAATTTTGAATACTTTGGTATCTTTTAAATAAACGGTCTTGGTTAGTTCTAAAATAATACAACAATATGCTTTGGCAATTCTTACATTTATTTTTCATTCATTACAACGTTCTAGACAAAAATATACAATCTCTATGCCAGTAACGGCGTTACACTAGCTAATGTTAGCCTCTTCTGACAACTTGAATATAAACTAGGTGTTTACATAAAACCAGTCGACCAACCGACCAGTCCATTAAATAGACCCCTTTAAATCGAAACTCATTGTATAGTTTTTAAAATAAATAAAATAAAGTTTCAAGGAAATTACATAAATATTGTTTAAAACAGTTATAAAACACAATTCGTCATCTATTCTACTCTATAGTAATATTGCAAAGAAGAAAGATTTCATTGTTTGTTTGAATTGAATAGGCTTTGAAACTCCTGGATCGATTTTAAAATATTTATTATAAATAATCAAAAAAATTCTTTCAACTACGGGAATACAGCTAGTATTTTAAACTAGGAGAATTATCACCTTAATTTTCTAGAACAGTATTATGTCAGAAACTGGTGACAAACTTTATGGTACAAGTCCCGTAAATTGCTAATGCGCTGGAACCTTGTCTAAGTAACACTCGCGTGACGTCATATGAACATACTATAGATAGCATAAAAGGCAAGTGATAAATTATTTTTTAATTATTGGAATATTTATCAATTATCTCCAAAATATTGTCATAATCATTTAATAACTTTTAGTTTTGTTAATTTGTTTTCAGAAAAGAATCTATTTATATGGAAAATAATAAAAAATAAATGTTACTTTTATATCAACGGTTTTTTTTAAACATAACCAAAAGTAATAATGGGATAAGAGCATTACATATACTAATTATAAGTGAAATTTTGATTACTTATTGTGAAAATCATAATAGCAGTTGCTATTTTAGTCAACAAAAAAGGTAACAATAACAATCGAAACTGATAAATACAACAAAAATGATTTATGATCTCAACACAAGCCAACTCATAAGCGTGCTCGTTGACCAGTCTTTATTTGTTAACGGTACTGATTTTTGAACGCAATTACGTCATCAAAATGGCGGCCAGCCGCATTAGCAATTTGCGGGGCTTATACCTAGTTGTATGCATTAGATCAAAGACAATTTAAAATTTACTAAATTAAAAAAAAACTCACTAAGATGACGACTTAAAAATGTGTTTATTAAAATAGAATTATCGAGGTGTTCGAGATTTTTTTATACTATGATGAAAGTTTTTTATGTGACTAGAGGAAAGTATATGGCAATAATGTTAAGGGGTTTATTGGAGATCTACACAAGAGGAGGCGAGGTGTGTCACTTAGTACATTAAATTACACATAATTTTGGACGGTAACAAAATAAAGTTATTGCTGAATTAAGAACAATCATTTTTCAATATAAAGCTCGATGTCGAGTCAAATAAATTTATCGGGAATTAAGTTATGCTAAAATATCATATAGCAAGATTTATAATGCATCGTTTAATATTGCAAAATATCAATTTACCATAAACGTTATGTGTTATTAAAGAATGTATTTGTTACAGTTTAAATCAGTTTTTAGATAGAACGAGTTCTTCCTAGTTAGAACTAGTTATTTCTAAATACATTTGTTAAAACTAGAAGTGTCTAGCCCAAACTAAAATTCACCATTGATATATTTGATTTTTACATACAATTAGTTGTCACTTCGTGCTTTAGTTAAAATCAGCACTAGAGAAACGATTAAGATTTCGAAATTTGGTGCTAAAAAACTTTGGTCCTTTAAACTGTAACACATTCATACACAGAGTCAGGTCAGAAAACTAGAACATTTACTAAATGCAAAGGTAATACAGAATACTGTTGAACCAATATTTAACTAACATCCAGTTCCCAAACACAATTAAAATTGTCATTAGTATGAAATGACATTACATATACAAATTTATCTATACGGACAATGATATAAAAGTATTATATGAGCGTTTAAAGTAAATGATATACGTACAGTAGTGTACGATAATGTGGCTGACTGATGTACTTGTACAGAAGGTTAAATTACGCAGCGCGGTTAATGTCGGCCAATCAGAATGATTCAAGTATCACATCATATGACAATCCACCGATATCTACGCGCCTGGCCCCCGCTGATACGAGTGAGACGGACACCGGATGCATTGTATTTTACACCTTATGGTTATTGGAAAAAGAGTCATTATATATTTTAATCCCACGTTCGATCATCGTCGAATTGGTGGGTCTGCGCAAACGCATAGAACAATAGAGTCCCGTTGGTCGTTTTTTGCTAGACCGAGGAGTAGACTAGGACCAATAATTCATAACTAAGACACTTCTACAATGGATACTTGGACTCATTTTAACTCTGCAGTAACCGTCTGTACTCCACATGCGATTAATGTAAATGAGCCATTATTGGCGCCGTAAAGCTATAGCGATAAAAGTGGTGTAACAGTTGCGTTACCATGTTAATTTTTTAAGCGTTTCTGACGATGCGTAAAAGCGCTACTAATCTTCTTTGAAATATTATTTTATAATTTATAGTACAGTCAGGGGGTTATAAGGTCAGTGTTTCGTAGTCGAATATCAATATCAGTATAGTTAAACCGAAGGGATTAAAAATAAGTGAAGTAGCGGTACGTCATTTTAGTCGTTTTGACAATTGACCATTTCCAAGTTCCGTATAAATTAATAACTACTTTTAAAAAAGCAATACACGTACAGTTTGATATTTATTGAATGTACACTAAATGAATCAATCATAAAGACATTATAAATAATCCCCATATATCAAACTGTGTAAATATTACAAGTTTGTGAACATGAAATGAAAAATATTTTAAATAATATAAAAAAAGGTTATTATTATGACGTGGCAGTGAATATATTAATATGAACGAATCTGATTAACTTTTTGCGGTGCTAATTCATTAAGAGTTATTATAAATACAAGAACTTTTAAAATTTTATTATTATTTTTATCGATATAATGAATTGAAATTTCATTTAACCATTGTAATGGGTCAAAACGGCCATCATAACATTTCGCTACTAATATCAAGTTGAGCTATCAAATTTTAAACGATTATTTTAAAATTTTCAATCACTTATTTCACTCACAATCAATATTGGGTTAAATCAAATGACTTCTAGATTCATTACAGTTTCAATGTTGACGCCATTTTGATTCAATCCGATGTCAAAGGAATTCGATGTAAGTGTAATAATGTGGTAGACCCACTGACATGACAGACAGACAGACAATGTGACTTTAAATGACTCGTTCATGTAAGTTAGATGTTGATTTTAATTTTAGTTTACATCATGGCGATGTGTAAAAATTTTGCATAATATATTATCAATTTAATTAAAAACACGTTAAGGTTTAAAATAGACTGGGCTATTGTAGGAACCCGAAGTCAACAGTGACATTTTATAATTATATCTACTAAGGATTATAACTATAATATGTTTATATTGTAACACATTATAGTTATAAATATCGATGCAAAGCGAAATTGGCTTAACTTATCTAGATTCACTTTTATTTGTTTACAAAATTACTTTAAATTTTACCTTCTTTGTTATTGGTATATATTTGTTTACCTAAAAGACATCTGACGATATGTAAGCGAATAGTTTTATTGACTCCAACAAAGAGAAATATTTATATAGTAGGTAATAGTAAAATTGACTTATTGTATATAATTACAATTATTTATCTAACTAAAACATTTGAAACAGCAAAGCGATTTAATGAGAGTGATGTCAAGCAATTATGAGATCTAAATACATTTAAAATACTAGTTTGGAAGACTACACGGTTTAAAATTTTATATTTATTAAAATGTACAGTATACATTCAGTGGACCAAAAAAAAAAATCTATACCATTAATTTCTATAGTGCATTGTGATATATCGTATCAACATTAGGTTTTATTAAATGTTTCACTAACATTGCACTTTACCCAAAATATAGTTTAATATAAATCTATAAAGAACGGTCCACAATAATAAAATAAAACACAACTAAACGTCATACAACACAACTAATTACATATATACACATTTTGTAGCAAATTACAAAGCATACCCAACTATCACAGTTCCATATTTGCACCCACACTTCACTAAATACTAATTCGATCACACAAACTTTTACATTTGAAAGAGTCGTAACTTATAAACGTATATGGTGTCTTTTTCAACAATAAAATTACATGTAAAATCACAAAATAAACCTTAAAAGTGTCGACATACACGTCATATTACAATGAAATAAATTTTCAATTTTCAGGTTGGATTAATGGCATATTGTCAATAGGCGTTATGTCTACGAGAAACACTTTACGAGTTACCATCGCCAGTTCCAGCGTTGTTAATTTTTCTGAAAATAAATGAAAAAGTTTTCTTTTAACATCTGCTTAAGGTAATACGGTTATGGAACATAAGATATGTTTTATAAGTGGCATCAGATTAGTCCGCGAGGAAGAGAGCTAGCAAAATTAAATGAAATACGGATACTAACGACCTTGAAATATAGATTTTAATGCGTTGCGTTAAGGTTTAATCGCAATTATACTCGCGATTGTCGAGACATGTCACGTTGCTATGTACGTACATCGAACATGTCGCGTACGCATCAACCAATAGCAAACGAAGACGGCTCGTGCACAAACGTTGCGATTGGTTAAGATTGTTTGGCGACTTTTGTTTATAACTCTAATCGGCCACCAATGACAATGGTGGTATAGCTGACTGAAACTGATAGTGGAGCAAGTGCCTTTCATAGGCCAGTGATATTAGAACTGGATGTAACAATAGTTATTGAAACAGGTTGTATCATCAGCTAGTGGTAGTCGAACATGTAACAATACCCGACATCTTATAGTGGTAAACTGGTCGTAACAATAACTAACATAGGCTAGTGATAGTGAAATCGGTTGTAACAATACCTATCATCAGCTAGTGGTAGTGGAATAGGTTGTAGAGGCGGCGATTGAAGAGCGGCTGCTGCTTGAGCTCCGACAGAGGTTCGTCGTCGTTGCGGATGCAGAAGTAGCTTGTTATGGCACTGCGACAAATCGGGCACTTGTCTAGTTTCGCTGTAATGTATGAAAAAATAAAATACATACGCATAAATAAAATTTTGTCTTAAATAAAAATAACGTTAATCCGTATACACCCCAATTTTATGGATGTACGTTAATTATGTTACACATTTCATATTCTTTCCTTGAGGTTATTAAACATTCTGCACCTCAGCTCGTATTACGTGAGCGTAGAGGTCAACACGAGACGAAGTCATTGACAAGAACCTGTCGGTCGTATCGTAGACAGACAAACCTACTAGGAATTCATAATCAGTTCAGCGAGCCATGCACAGAATAATCAATAACATTGTAAGTATTTGATATATAACTCGTGTGACGGTCATACAATATTTTGATGCAGGTCAGTCAGCGTGCAGTGTCCTCCGTGGACATTCTGAGAAATGCTGCACTAAAGGATCATGTCCAATTATGACCTAAAATTACCTAATGCGTCTAGTGATGGATGACATATCTCGAAATGTAGCTTATTTTTTACTTATTTCATATCAGGAAATGAAACCTCAAAATAAAGTCAAGATAAAAATTGTGAGGCTGATAATTATCTTTAAATAGTGCTATGATAGCTACCCGAATGCGATTCGGACCCAATGACGATTTGCTACGTTTTGTTTCATCTACTACGGAAAAATATGTTTTGAGTCTCAGGTTTAAAAAGTGCACATTTACGAATCAAACTATAGAAAGATTTGATTTTAATGCATTAATTTTTAAAGAAGCTTCATAATTATCCCGAGTTTTGACAGCTTTTATGTGTTGCTACATAAATAACCTCAAAATATGAAAATTACGAACCTCCCTGGCCTTCAAATAAAAAGATTAATTTTAATTATCACTAATGGTGGGTAGACGCAACCCTTAAAAATAACATGCGACAGTCTTCGATCAATAATATAACTAGATGACCAGCCAGAGTCACAAAAATGGCCGAAGAAATAATTTCTCACTTCAAAGTGAGATCTTATTTTGATTAAAGCTGCAAAAATAACTTTCGGAATAAAAATGTATCTGTCGGAATATCACTTTTTTGGTAAGTTAATGTCATTTCAATGTCTATAATTAATAATCGAAGTATTTTCCATAATAAACAAGAGTTTTGTTTCTGAGGCAACATGGTAAACGTTTGACCAAATAATCGAAGTTTTAAGAAAGCACATACATGGAGTAGTGCACTATTACAATTTCTTTTACCAGAATTTTGAACACTAATTAAAAATCATCTCGGTGTAGTGATTCGTGTTCTTGTGCTTTCCAACAAAGATTGTATCGATGTGGGTGTCTTATATGTATATTGAGTATATATTTCAACAAAACTATTTAAAACAAAAAATGCCTACTCTGAAAGTGATGAATAAAACATAGAACTTGTACTTGTAAAAAATTTAATGTTAAGTTTTTACTAGAGATGAATATACCATTGACTTCGGATCCAATAATTGGTCGAGTAAAATCTCAACCCAAATCACACACTGCAAAACCTATAGTAACAGTTAGCTCTTTCTATAAACATTAAAATTATAAGGAGCAATCACTTTCTTATTGGAGTTTGTTTCGCCAGTTCTTCTGAGACAAGACTCCCAAATTTTGAACTGGTGGTAATTTATGGTAGTCAAACAGCCAGTTGCACAAACGTTCATTAAAATTTTCATTAGTTTAAAGCGACATTACCCATACAAATTTGACATTCATTAGAGCTTTAAGGCGTCCTTAAACCTTAATGGACGTTTGTGCAACTGACTGAAGGGCACCTAGACAAAAGATAAATTATATAATTCAAATATTTTATAATAGTTTTTTAATTAATACAAACGTTACCAAATGATGTTGCCAAAAGTATTGTTTGCAGGTACCTATGTATGTTCATAATATTAAAAAGTTATAATGTTTAATTCTCAATTTTGAATTATAATGTATGCAAAGATAATATATAGGTTTTATAATTGTATTGTTGTTTACACTAAAAACCTCCCACCTCCCAAAATAGGAGATCGAACAACTTTCTAAGAACTGTTTTAAATTAGTCAGTATGTGTGCTTATTCCAACAAAAAATGTAAATTTATTGTACCCAAAACAATGTTTAAAATTTAAATGACTCAATTAACCGCGTAAAAGACGACTCTTGACCTTATTGTGGGGTAGACAAAATGATAAAAAAAAAATGAATTATAGTATTCAGTATTTAAAGTCAAACTCAAATAAATTATGACTAACTACCTTAAAATAAGGTAAATCCTAAAAATCATTTTGCACTTTGAATTTTTCCCGCGCTTTTCCTAGATAATTTTACCATCAATTTACCCACACGGACACAGACTAAAAATAATAGATAAATTATATTTTTATTGATTTATTTAAAAATATAAATAATTATTTTTAGCAAATAATCTTAAGAGTATAAACTTTTTAACCACACATAATTTTTTATCTAACTTCTGTCCGAATCCTTAACCAACGTATATATTAAAATAAAATTGACAACGCGACTCAATACTTACCCCGTTCCAGAGCTCAGATGTCGCCTAGCTAGAGTATCATCACAGAATATAGTCTGTGGCTGTCGCAGTGTATGGTGCCGTATTTGAGTATTGTTTTAGTATGCAAGACGAATCGAAGGTGACAATCTTCGATCAACAGTGACATCGGACATAATTCTTTAGTGCATTTTCAACCCGATGTCAAGGAAATCGATATAATATAGATACGCGGTAGACCTGTAGCTATCTCAAGTAGTATACTTTTTATTCATGTAAAACCGGTCAAAAACACGTGTCTCACGTTTAGTGCAACGACACTTCATTTATTATCATGATATTTTAGATTTTTTATTTTGGAATATACAATTTATGGTAACTCGGTGGCCTTGAAATAACTATATTCTTTTTATAAACGTAGCAAACTTTTTGTTTACTTTTTAATTAAAAGTGCTTAGTCATTCGTCATCGATAATAATTATCACGTGTATCGAAAGAAGGTTTTATATTGACCATTAAGCTTGTTTTTTATTTTTTATTCTTTTATTTAAAGGCGTCGTACAGGTAGAGCAGGGGAGCCAGGTCTTCCTCAGTAAAAAAAAGAGATAGCGGCAGCCTAACTGTCTATCCGATTCTGATCGTTTGTTTCTAGGACTATGTAAATTGTTTCTGAGATATTTACAGGTTTTATATTGACAGGTAAGACACCGCGATCTTCCTTCTCTGTAAAATAGAGTGACGTTTCTCGTTTACAAGCAGCCGTATGTCGTTGGGTCCTATATCTGAGAGCCAAACAGCCAGTTGCAGAAACGTCCATTAATTTAAAGTGAAATTACCCATACAATTTTGACATTCATTAGAGCTTAAAGGAGTCATTAAACCTTAAAGGAGTCATTAAACCTTAATTAAAGTTTGTGCAACTCACCGAAAGAGTGGCTATTTAGACTTTTTGGTGATAATTGCTCGCTTTTAGTCATAATAAATTACATGTATAAAAATAAAGTTTATCTGCTTTTATGTGCAGTATAAAGGAATGTAGCACAATTTTCAACGTTTAAGGGCTTTAATAACGCGATTTCATACAACAATCAAACATGTTTCGAAACTGGGGAGCGATTCTATAAAAAATTCGAACCAGAATTCGAATTCATTTATTGTATAAATTTTATCGATTCATGTGGTATAAAAATACAAAACAAAATTGATTTATTCTCAGATATTCTATCACTGTGTCATTTCGATACTCACTTCACATATGCCATGAAACGCTAATACCAATTCAAGGTTGAGGGGTTGCCACTTTGAAGTGAATTCAGATTTTACAGCAAGGCTCCAGTGAAACACGTCTGACGAGTATAGCAGACACGACAAATATCATGAGCTTCAGATTAATACATTTGAAAATTTTCCACTTTGAAACTTAAAGAGCCACCTTGAAAAGAAACGATTTTGCATTTCAGTCCTTATATCCCTCCATCGGGTCTTCCAATTTATACTGGACCTTAAGATAGCAGTGACTGTGTGCGCGTAGAAGCAGTTTTAAAACTGTAATTTTTAGCTTATCATGTTGTATAAGTAGGGCCTTATTCTCAAGTGCAAACCATTCTGGACGCGGTGTGAATCGATAATGAGGATGAATCATGAGGACAGATGATAAACAAATTATAGACAGATGGTTTTTTTTCCAATTCGGAATCATCAATGTCATTTTTAATGACACGTATTAAGGATAAAAAGGGTTTAAAGTGGATTCAGTTTTAAAACAGAAATGTTTTTGTGGTCGGTAAAAATGCAAATTATGGTTTTATCCAGATTCCAAATTATGACGAAACAATATTTGCTTTTTAAGGATAGTTAGTTCTCTTGCGCTTCCATGAGTTCACGAGTATAGCTAATACGATTCCTATACGATGTGATGGAAAAAGCCTGGCTCGTGAGATTTCAGAAAGACAGTTCAGAGCTACTTTGCCTTTTTAGGGTTCCGTGTCCATATGGTAAAAACGGGATTCCATTACTAAGACTTCGTCCATCCGTCTGTCACCAGGTTGTATCTCGTGAACCGTGACAGTCGACCGGTTGAAATTTTCACATATGTTGCAAATTACGGGATAAAATAAATATTCAAGGGTGGCTCCCATACATCGAACATATTTTTGCTTTTATAACAGGTAATTAGTATGGTAGTTTTCATGAGCAAGTCCGACTCGCACTCTGCCGGTTTTATAACGTGCTATAAAGACATAAAAACTTCAACAAAAAAAAACCCTGGTTGGCTGTATCATTGATACAGCCATATTTTATGCGTGGATACGTCTATGTATGAATGGATATATGAGTAATTGATAAAAAAATAAATAAACAAATTGAAGACACTAAACACTAAATAAATAAATATTCGTTGCGTTCATTTGTTGAATGAAAAAAGTATTCACTAGCGCCAACAGATGGCGTTAGTGCATATACTCCTGCTGACAGAATGCCCCTCCCCCTGCAGAGCAAGCATAGTTCACTTATACGCCAATAGATGGCGTTAGTGCATATACTCCTGCTCACAGAATGACCCCCCTGTAGAACGAAAACATAGACGTATCCACGTCAAAAGGTTTTAAAGTCGTGTAATGTAAACTGTATGCACTCACGGAAGCACCGCGCGCAAAGGCACGCGTGCCGGCAGGGCAGCAGCGCGCGCGACAGCGGCTGCGCGGTGCACACGCAGCACAGCGCCTCGTGCGCCGCGTGCGCTGCGTGCGTCGCGTGCGCCGCGTGCGCACCCTCCGCGTAACCGTCCCCACCCTCACCGCACGCGGCGCTCACGTATAGTTGCTATAACCCCACACAGACACATATCGGGTTACTCATTGTACACTCTTTCTTCGACGATTCGACGACGAAATAAAAATCAATCATAAAAATATATTAAACATAATAAAATGGTCTCTGAATACACAGATAAAGCTACGTGCGGAATTGTCTAACCTTTGTGCAGTATAAAGTTACCATAGCTTGTTTTTCAGTGCATATGCTGTAACTGAACCAACAAAGAAACCGAAAACGTATATGTTACATATATTTTACTTCATTTAATATGAAAACTATATATCTATGTATATTTTATATTATAATACCTTCAAACAGGAGAGGTGGCCGTTCGCCTGCTTCAAGTATTGCGAAATTATGCCACTCGGCAGAGGGCACTGCTCGTCTCGAATATGTACAACCGTCACTAGCGCCACCTGCCCATATACATATTTTGAAAAGGACTTCAATGATTATACGGTGCAGATCTGTATCTGCAGTACAATTACATTATAAAACATTTTCCAGCTAGAAAACTACTAGCAGATACGTATTTTACAGTAAACATACACCCGTTAACGTTATGCTGAAGATTTTCGAAATCATGAAGTATGTCAACGTCAGTGCGCTTTCAATTGCATCGCGCTATTAAATTTGCTTTTTAACTTTCCGGTCCCACCTACATAATCCTACTTATTAACATTTAGGAACTGTGTAAAAGTGGGTGGTCCATTGGCAAGATAGAAACTGTATTGACCAATATCTTCATAACGTTACCAGCTACCAGTTACCAGCGGTGGCGTAGTGGATAAGCGCTGCGGCCCGCGATCGTTGTTGTTAAGCAACTTTCGCAAGGGTAGGTCACGGGATGGGTGACCAAAAAATTACTATCTCGAGCTACTCCGTGCTTCGGAAGGCACGTTAAGCCGTTGGTCCCGGCTGCATTTGCAGTCGTTAATACCCTCCAATCCGCATTGGGCCAGCGTGGAGGGTCATGGCCCATCCTCCTTAACCATCCATAAGGAAGGCCTGAGCCCCTGCAGTGGGGACGTAAAAGGGCTGATGATGATGTTACCAGCTTTAGAAGGAAATTTTTGCCGTGATCAAACCGGCGCATTACATAGTATTACCCTTCCTTTTATACCACAACAATGCAATATAGAAGGAAAAACCAATATAAATTGCGAGTTTAAACTGCAACTACGATAGAATAATAATTTATAAGCATAATTTATACCACTTTAGCGTATGTGAATTTTGTCATATGATCTTTTACAATTCTATTAGCATGTTTAGTATCTGACCTGCGATTCTGTAAAAAGCCAGACTCGAATTCGAGTTCACTAACAGGTACGAATTTACGTCATTTAGTATAGAAATTATAAAGATTCCATTTTTTTTTTGTATAAAGATGAAAAAAATTGATTGAATATACGTCTCAGATATATTCCTAAGTCATTACAAACCTCACTTCACTTATGCCACGAAACGTTATTACCAATCCAAGGTTGAGCGGATGCCGCTTTTTGAAGTGAAATCTGACATCAGTGAATTCTAATTCGAGTTTGGATTTTTGCAGAATCGCAGGGCTGTACTGGTTCAACAGACGAGTACACAAAGAGTTTTTAATGCTTTACAAGATAAATTATGTTTGTCCCTTCTGAAAAGATCCCCGTTGCTGAATTTGCACGTGCAACATTATAGTGTACATATTGCAATGACGCTCGGTGGCGTATACATATTGCAATGACGCTCGGTGGCGTATACATATTGCAATGACGCTCGGTGGCGAGTAGCTCGGTGGCATAGTGGATTAGCGCCGCGGCCCGTGATCGTAGTCGTTAAGCAACTTTCGCAAGGGTCAGTCAACGGGATGGGTGACCAACAAAAAAAAATTATTATCTCGAGCTACTCCGTGCTTCGGAAGGCACGTTAAGCCGTTGGTCCCGGCTGCATTTGCAGTCGTTAATATCCTCCAATCCGCATTGGGCCAGCGTGGAGGGTCATGGCCCATCCTCCTTAACCATCCATGAGGAAGCTCTGAGCCCCTGCAGTGGGGACGTAAAAGGGCTGATGATGATTGCAATGACAGAAATCACGTGCAATACATACACTACTACTTTCATTAATCTATATTGTAGTCCAGATGGGTTAATCATAAAGGTTTTATCAAAAGGCGGAGGAAATTTGGTGTAACTGAAAATAACCTTACAACTTAAAATGTCACGCCAGATGCATTGTGAATTAATATGGTGTTAGATTAAAACTTTACTTATTTTCACATATAAGGTAGACAAAATAAGTATTATTTTTATAACTTATATCATAATTCATGATACGTTCACTACTCTCATATAAGTTATTTATGGTTTATTAGTAATTAGGATTAAAACTAAAACTCTACTTTGAGCTGCAGAGATGCAATTGAAACCCTTCTCGTCGCTATATATATAAGTGGTAATATTGTTAAATGTCAGGACTTCGTGGCGTGGATTAGTAAAGTATACTGAATAACTTTTACTATGGGAACAACACTTAATTCACGAAAATCATTGACGGTATGAAAAAGCTGATTATTTTTTCGCGAATTCGGTGTTGCTCCCATTGTAAATGTTGTTCAGTATACTCAACTAATCCACTCCATGAAGTCCTGGCATATAATAATATTACACCTTATCTAGAGACCTTGATAAATATTCGCAACAAAATTATATTTGCAATAAATAGGTAAGTAACAATGTCCGAGAATACATTGTATTACATACTGCAATGATTACGAACTACATTACTATCGTAATGCATTAAGAGGGCGTGTGTGCATACACCAAATATGACTATATATCAGTTGATTATATACTAAGAAATAAGGTCCTAATAATATGTAATTCAAAATGATAAAACTATATCGTACTTCTGAGGGTTTTGTCACAGTAGAATTTATAAAATTTTCTATATAAAAAATCTAAGTCTTATTCTATTTCTTCTCCTAATGATACTTTTTTCATAGAGAATAAATAAATATGTGCGTCATTTTGTAGCGGAGGGCTACATTCATACAGGTTGCGAGTAATTATTTAAAATAGTTTTCAGTGCAATTCACCATCATCAAACTATCTTATTAGCGGGTGCAAAGGGATAAATAGGGGCAGTCTTAAGTATAATAACGTTACGGTAGTCGCGAGGGACCGCATGAACGGATCATAAAAACTTTATACCCACGACACACTTTTATAGCGGTGAATCGATAATGTTTCTGACCAGTTTGAGAAAATAAATTATGTAAAATTTATAGCCACTGCTTTCGCGACTTTTTCCATTTAAATTATAGTTTATGTCAACCGCGTATGATGTCGGATTATAGAGTACGTCACTCGTGTATGACGATCGGTTCAGTAAGTGAAAAAAACATTTTTAAAATCGGTGTCTATTCGATATTGTATCAACAAGCGAATCTTTCCTCTTATCATCATCATCATCATCACCAGCCCTTTTACGTCCCCACTGCAGGGGCTCAGGCCTTTCTTATGGATGGTTAAGGAGGATGGGCCATGACCTTCCACGCTGGCCCAATGCGGATTGGAGGGTATTAACGACTGCAAATGCAGCCGCGACCAACGGCTTAACGTGCCTTCCGAATTACGGAGTAGCTCGAGATAATAATTTTTTAGTCACCCATCCCGTGACCGACCCTTGCGAAAGTTGCTTTCCTCTTATATATTAGTATAAATAAACTTTGCTGAAATTTATCTTATAACAAACTTCTTATTAAAATATCTGAGAGTGTAGACATATTTTTTTTGTTCCCTTAGTAAATTCTTAAAAACGGCACTTTATGTATCCTATTATTAAAATTATAAATGTTCCTTTTTTTGTCCGTCAATCACGCCAAAACTACTGAACGGATTTTGATGACATTTAGTAAACAGATAGACATTAAACATTGCCTTAGGTACCACGCGGGCGAAAGCTAGTTATACCATAAATAGAAATCGGAAAAATTCTGATTAAAACTGTATTTCTTAACTTCTGTATTGGTTCATACATTACCTGTAATAATAGGTGAAGTTTTGTATATAATAACATAGTTTCTTTGTTTGTAAGTAGTGTCGGTCAAGTTTATGCTTTTTCCATCCAAGCGGGGATAGTGTTCAAAATTTGGTTTACAACTGACATCTAGGCGGTTGGCAAAAATCTATTGACACTAGTCTGTGGACTTCACTCACCGTGTCATCGGGCCGGAGATCACCAGTGTCCCGTTCGTCCCGCGCCAGTATCACCACGAGCGGGTAACAAGCCCTCGGCGGCGGCCCCAGCTGGAGGGGCTCGTTCACTGACAACCTCATCGGTTTCTCATCGTGAGGGTTACTTCTGTAAACAGGTGGAGCTTATATTAGTCCTATCATTATTGCTATCAAATACTGAATTAAATTAATTAAAATCGTTTTTTCGTTGCAATCATTTTTGAAGCTAAAGCAATCAAGTCAATTCACCGACTCGGGTTAGCCTTGACTTAATATTGAGCTTTTTTCCTTCCTGGTATAAACGGATAGTCGACAAGGAGGAAACTTAATTAATAATAGCAGCGTTCTTATTAGACGTTGGCTTGGGGTGAAACGTACAATGTCTCTGTTACTAACTGAAATAGTCGATAAGTGGGCGACAGGTCAGGTCGAATTCATTAATCAAGGTAATTGAACAATATTATTATTTAGTTTCAAATAAGTACCAGCCAGAGCAAGCAACCTAGTTAAGATAATTTTTTGCAGACTTTGGCATTAGAATGATATAAATACCTAATGAGGAAGGAGACCTTAGTGACGCTGAAATTTCTTGAACACACATCAATACATAGTATAAAAAAGTCGCTTTCTCTGTCCCTATTTTAAAGATTTAAATATACATAGAGGGATACCTCTATGTATATTTAAATCTTTAAAATTACGCAACGGATTTTGATAGGGTGATTCAAAAGGAAGGCTTTTATGTATAATACAAAACCACGCGGGCGACTGGCCAGCCACTGGCGGAAAGTTAGTTTTTTATAAGGCATCAACAGATCATTACAGTAAGTTAGCGTATTGAATATTTAAAAGGTTAATTTATATGTTCACGCGAGAACTATTCTATGTATTTAACTGAATACTATAGTCTAGTTGTATGCATAAACTGCCATTCATAGTTGTTTTTCTATCTAATGAAAGGTTATTTAGAAAAAAATCCTTGGCTAGCGATAAGCCCAGTAGTTGTGTAAAATATTTTTGTAAGTCCACGTAATTTTCTTGTTATACAATAATAAGTATTTATTATTAGTCTTTGCTTTAGACTAATTTACGTTTTAATGCCTCCTAAAAATATTCCCCAAGGATCATGTTTCCAGATTAAACGTTTACGAAGTTCGTTACGGGCAGAAGTTACGCGTTACATGATTACGGTCAATGAATACCGCAATTCAAATATTATTTACGCAACAATAAAATACATGAGAAATAATAATTAGTGATTTTTTTAAATTGTTTTGCTGGTCTGTAGGATCACGCCGACCTACTTAATATACTGGTCACATATACTATGAGAACCCTTGTTAAGTTTTGTTAACCCTTTAATCGCCATATCAGTAATAATATTACTTGTTTTGAGAGTATTACCTAACTAATATTATTATCTGCATTACATACTCATGTTAAAGAAACTACAATATGCGATATAGGAATTTAAAAAAAAAAATGAAATTAAAATTAAACAAATATTTAAGGGCAGCTCCCATGCAATAAACGTGATTTTTTTACTTAATTTTGCGCGATATTGATAACGGCCTACAGAACCCTTCGTTCGTGATTCCGACTCGCACTTGTCCGGTTTTTTGTATATTATATTGCTCAGTGCGGTGCTGACCCCAACGTTGATTTATGGCAGCGAGAGTTAGGTATGGCAGAAAGAACATGTAAGTAGATTGAAAGCAGTCGAGAAGCGTTTGTTATGTAGAATTTGCGGAGTAACGCTCGCACACCGCATTCGGAATGAAGACATAAGAATGAGAGTTGACTTGAAAGATAGCGAAAATGAACAGAAACATGCTCCGTTGGTTGGGACATGTAGGAAGAATGCCCTATGAAAGAATGACAAAACTGATATACAACGCGAAAGTAGAAGGATGCAGAAGCCGAGGAAGACCACGACACACCTTTCACGATCAAATCAATCGCGTGCTGTTAGATGATGATGTCAGAAGCCATAAAAACCGGCATGGATGTATGAAAAGAGCAATGAAAGTGGATGTGGCAACCAAACTACAGGCAGGCCAAACTTGCACTATGCCGCGTGAACGCTCGCCTCTCCAAAGCCCTTCTACAGCTAAGTAAACCATATTTGCGCCTGGTAACGGGTGCTATTACTGGTCATGGCAACTTTAATATGCACCTTTTCAACTAGGTGTCACGGACAGCCCTTTGTGCAGAGGATGCATGAAGGCGGAAGAAACAGCCATTCACGTCCTGCTGGAATTCAACGGAGCAAAGCACCTCTGCTCGCTGGGCAACCTCTAGGGGGCCATCGCAGATGTGAAGCAGCTGGGAGCGTTTCTGGCAGAGCTGGGCTGGCTGGAGTAGTATCCGGCCATACACCCTCCACACGCAAAATAGGCGCAATTTGGTCGTCGAGTTGCAGAGACGCCCGTTGAAGGAAGAAGAAGAAGAAGTTGATGTGGCAAAAGATGTACGTAAGGACCGTACATTGTGGCGTTCGGTCCTCTCTGCCTACCACGCCAGAGATACGGCGTGAATATATAGATAGATAGAGCTCGTCCAATGAAATATTTTATTGTTCTCAATTTAAGATCCGAGATCGCTTGTAATTACGCAAAATTGAACCACTACTAATGTAACAGTCCAACCACAGAGCACAGAGCTTCCCTATGGATGAATACAAATAGGGATATACGCCTTACTGCAATTGCAGCAAATAAACTTTTGGCCCCGTCCTATGATTTGCCTTTGCGAAAGTTGTTTAATTTTCACATCACAGACGAAAAAATTAACCACTGCGCTATACGAGCTCCTAAAGCAAATTTTCCTGGAATCAGTGGGGGTGATTAAAACCGCTGAGAGGAAGAAAGAAGGGCCCACCCCTTCTTTCTGGGAGAATTTGTACTTTTGGGTCTGGACCTCGAGGCTTGTTATCACACAGAATATATCGTAAGTTGCCAGACAGCAGGGACAGTGCGTAACGCATTTTCCCTACGATAAAAATCGTAAAACGACCACTTTCATATCCCAACAAAAAATATAACTACTCCGTTGCGACGTGAAATAAAGACAAACAAACTAGCTAGGATAAAAAAGAGCGGTCTAGAAGCATCCACGATAATGATAATTTCGATGAGTAGCCCAAAAAATAAATATGAAAATTGTAAACAATTCGGTCGTGCCATTCCATTTTGACTACTACGTCGCGTTATTATGGATCAAATTAGTATCGGAGACGTGTGTGTGTGTGTGGTTAGCTCACCAGTTTGGGCGACAACGTTCTGGATATTTCTTTGGCTTTGTCATATAGTATTATTAAAAACAAGGGTGTGTTGCGTTGGAATAATGCAAGACGTGGTCGTGCCGAAGAAAGTGTGCGATTTTGGTAGTTAATTTCAACAATAAGCGATGATTTCACGGCTTTGTCTCGCTAAGGGATCTATTGAATATCCAAAAGAATCAAAAGAGGAATGAGAGATATTTATAAAAAATAAAATTGAAGCACTTTGATTTGAATCAATGAAGATAACCCGCACATAGTGGACTAGTGCTGTAACATGTGTTATTCTAAATTAATGAAGCATATCCTGTTAAGTTTCAGACGAGTATAATAAACTAATTACGAAATTTCTAGTTTACCTTACAAGTTACGTAGTACGATAGACTCTAACAATGACATACATTAGAAATATTATGTCGTGTGCTTTGATTTGATACCTGGTTGTGTGCTCATAATGTAGAGTATAGTAGTTTATCAAAGGTTATATTATTTCGCAATTGAGCAAAAGAGAAGTTAAATAAATCGTTTGAGACTTTAAAATTCTTTGCTTTGATTACTTTATTTAATTTCATGTTATTTCTTGAATGTATTTTTTAATATGTTCTACACTGTTCAAGGGTCGCCTAGATCATAACGGAGATCCCCGAAAATAAGCTGAGTGACCCCAGACCCCAACGTCATGAACATTAAAACATTCGATGCAGTCGCAGAATTTATTTATTTATTTTATTTAAACTTCTTTGCACAAATAAAACGTACAAATGGCGGACTTAATGCCAGTAGGCATTCTCTACCAGTCAACCGGAAAGTTATGGAATAGATACATTAATAAGTTGGTGCTACAAAAAAAAATAATAAAGTCAATATAGACACATATACAATTTAAAAAAAAAACAAAATATTGGAATATACATAACAAACATATTACATACGAGGGTCAAACTGAAAGTTCTTAGAAAATCAAAAACTGATTACATTAGCCAGTTATTAGTTTTATTATATCTTTTCAAAATATTGTCCATTCACGTCAATACACCGCTGCATGCGATGGAACCACTGGGAAAAGCACTTTGCCCACTCGTCCTTAGGGGTCTCTTCAATGGCATCGCGATACGCAGCCACCGCTTCTTCAGCATTCATAAACCGCTTTCCTTTAAGTTTTTCTTTAATTTTTGGAAATAAATAAAAATCACAAGGCGCGAGGTCGGGGCTATACGGCGGGTGACCCAGTAATTCAACGTTTGATGTCGCCAAATAGTCGATCGTTCGCTTGGCGGTGTGCGACGAGGCGTTGTCGTGGTGAAGGAGGATCCTACTGCGAGGTCGTTTCTCTCGAACTTTTTCCAAGACAAGTGGCAAACAATTGGTAGTGTACCATTCTGCAGAAACTGTTTTTTGATCCTCTAACACAATTGTTGCAAAATGACCTATCCTTCCAAAGAACGAGGCCACCATTTTTTTTCCCGCACTTCGATCTCTCTTCACTTTAGTTGGCAACTCCTCGAAAGGAAACACCCACTGAGCAGATTGTCTTTTGGTTTTAGGATCATAACAGTAAATCCAGCTTTCGTCACCTGTTAGTATGTCGAACACAGCATTTGAGTCACCTCCGTTAAATCTTTCAATCATTTTACGACACCAATCCACACGATGGAGTTTTTGAGCCTCAGTCAAATTATGAGGTATCCACCGGGCGCAAAGCTTCCTGACCGCTAAATGTTCGTGGAGGATTTTGTGCACTTGACTCATACCGATGCCTAAGCTTGTCCGAATCTGTTGATAGGTCACTCTTTTGTCAGTCTCTATCATACGCCGCACAACACAGATGTTATCTTCAGTCGTCGCCGTAGAAGGCCGTCCCTCACGTAAATCATCAGTGAGATTAGTGCGACCACGTTTAAACTCATTAAACCAGTTGTAAACAGTCGCACGAGATGGGGCTTCATCGTGAAAGGCCAATCGTAGTCTATCATAACTTTCTTGTTGACTTAAATGACATCGAAAGTCATAAAAATCATTGCACGAAAATTTTCTCGTGTTAAATTCATGATGACGTGACACAGACAATTTTCAATTTGCCGCCAAATCGTAAAACAAATGACAAATGAATGAAATATATACTCAGTAATATTGGCAAAGAGTTATATTTTCAAATTTTAGAATTATTTTTTTATTATATTGTTTATAAGTGGCCAGTTCTAAGAACTTTCAGTTTGACCCTCGTATCATAAATAATAAAAAGATTTAATACGAACATACAAAAATATAAAAATATCAAGTTAATTCGAATCAGTTGGAGAATTCAGAAGTTTCTCACGTAACAATCGTTTGAAAGTTAATTTATTTTATTAGGGGCAGCTTGAATATGTTCCTTTACTTGATCACTTTCCCTCTTTTGGAATTTTTAAATATTAGGACTATAAATAATTTATCAAGTCTTCCTGATTCCCCTTTATTGTTATCAAAACAAAGAAACCTATTTTATAACTAACTAACTACATTACGTATTCAGCAATATTTTCCAAAAAAAAAAGCATTGCACACACCAATGCACGTTTGTGCAACTGGTTGTTATAGTTACAACCTTCTTCACAAAATGGTCAGGTTTATGCAACTATAAACACGATTAAAACAGATAAAGGTCAATATTTTTGCATTGAGAGTGCCGAGACAAATGACAAAGTGGGGCAAATCGGCGTCACAGTACATTTATATAAATACTGCGCTATCGTCATCCGACTTAAAGTTATTAAGCGAGCGTATAGTGGCTGTCGTGTAAACGATGTAAGTCATAACTTGAGCGGAAAGTGCAAACATTCGCTACAACAAAGAGAACATAACATGCTCACGTGTATGTACGTGAACAACAGTAACAATGAAAGCGTGTTATCAGGTCACCGTGGTACAACGCGAGCGGCGTGGAGACATTGACATTTATCACAAACTGGTTTCAAATGTAAACAAGACGTTTCGGTACAGATAAAGGGGCGTGATCATGGCCAATGAGATTTGATTTCATCGCGGCCTACAAGTTCTCGTCTCTTTTGAATGCACGTTATTTAGCGAGGATTCTACTCTGTTTGAAAAAGTACTCGTATATGTTTTATTAATTTAGATAAAATACAAAAAACATATAGATCACGCACATATATTAGGGATTATTATAAAGGGGACTCTTTGGTACATCAAATAATGCAAGTTCTAACGATAGTGTACAATCACTACATAGTATAAAACAAAGTCGCTTTCTCTGTCTCTGTATATGCTTAAATCTTTAAAATTACGCAACGAATTTTGATGCGTTTTTTTTTCATAGATAGGGTGATTCAAAAGGAAGGATTTTATGTATAATACAAGACCACACGGGCGAAGCCGCCGGCGGAAATCTAATTATATATAAATAACACTCGCGATTCATAAAAGTTTTTAAAGTGCAAAGAGTTAATTGTCATTTGAAAAAACATAAACATAATTAAAATAAGTTGACAGTCTAAATTAAATAAAAATGTGAACTTACAAAAGAAAGCTATAAACGAAGGTTTAACATTAATGTTACTGCAATGAACACGTGATAACAGTAAAATATGAGCTTTGTAGTTCTAATAAAACCCGTATTTGAATGTTATTTAGGTAAAACGGTTACCTACTTGACTACTTTTGGTTAAATCTTAGTTTATATGAATTCTGAAGTTAAAGTTCTTAAATCGTCCGTTTTTCAATATTTGGTTAATTCGATACAAACAACGGTGACTTTGATTGCTGTGTAACCTCTTATTTATAAATTATTTAATGAAATTTAATCATCTCTTTGATCAAATATACTAGAGAGAAGTTTGACTGTGTGTTGTGGCATTTTTGTTTCATCATCACGCATCCACGCGCGCACTAACTACTTCATAAGGGCACTGTGAAGGTAAAGTTTTTATGAATGAAGTTATGTTATGAATTATTAATAGCAGTAAATTAGTATCATTTGTGTGAACGCACCGTGCAGTACATGTAAACACATAAGCTGTATTAATGTAGATTTTATTGATCATAATGGAAACGGTTTTTGATGAAACCTCTGTACACGACACGCTTCCTTTGTCTATACTACGAATAGGATTTCTTCCATAGTACATCCAAGAAGTTTGAAATGTTTTAAGTTTTGTATACTTCATGACCTACTTTCCAAAAGAAGATCCACTATACGAGAGCAAAATAAAAAATAAAAAAAGAATCCACTCTTGATTGCAAGTATTACACAGTCCTGCACTACCGTAACGAAATGGCATTTCTTAAAGCTATCTTTTGTTTTAGGACAACTTCATTAGTAAGCGCCGGTCGTTATTTATCGACTGTAATCGTCTTGTTACATAGGCATTTCATTTCACGTTTCAGTGGCACAACTTAGCCAGCATGTAGATTTAGAGTACAAATCAAATACAATACTGTCCTGTTTTTGTATTGATATATTGCACAGCGTTCCCTTATATATGCATATTGAACTAAGACCTCCAGTACGAACCGCACTCTATAGTTTTCTGCTAAGAAGTTATTGTTGTAATGGTCTTATTGTACCTACTTGTCGAGGCGTTTTTATAATTATAAAAATTCATATACATACATCAATCTTATATTCTGGAACGCGCTCTCTACCTTATAAAATCTCCTCAAATTATTAGTTCTTCAACATCTATTATATTCATCAATCTCATCTGATTAATTTATTATTTAATTAGATATGTATACTTATATAAATATGTATTTATTTATGTTTATACATATTCATTTAATTATGATGTTTATGTATACGAATATTATGTTTTATATGTATCAATATTCAGTTGATCTTTACGCACCGCCTCATATATTATCTATATACAACTCTCCGGTTGACTGGTAGAGAATGCCTAAAAGGCATTCAAGTTGTACTGGGTACAAAAAGATTAAATAAATAATAACTTACATAAAATGTACAACAGATTTTGATAAACGTAATCAACAGCATTACATAAAGAACTTAGAGTTTTATAACCACGCAGTGCTGGAATTCAGTCAGCATCATAGCCCAAAGTTCTAATTTTTAATCAGGTGTTAATAAACTACAGTACTATTATGAGAACTGTTGTATGTCAAGATTATAAAGACAATATTGTTTCTATAACTAAGGGCATTATTGTGTATTGCGACACAATGGCCTATCTCATGATAATTAGAAGTGTTGAGCAATGTTAGCAATGTTATGGAAATTTTCTCAATGCAACAATAGACTTGTTAGATAAACAAATAGTTTTAAATCGAGTAATTAATATGAGACGTCTATCGCCGATTCCATCAGTACTCATTATGAGTAAATGTATCATGAGAAATGTACACGCAGGAGCTGACTCAGACCTCAAAAAGGTCGTGGGTTACAGCTACTTGAAAATAGGTCAAGTGCGAGTAAGAGAGAGAAAGAAAGAGAGAGAGAGAGAGAGAGAGAGAGAGAAGGAGGGAGAGAGAGAGAGAGAAGGAGAGAGAGAGAAGGAGAGAGAGAGAAGGAGAGAGAGAGAGAGAGAGAGAAGGAGAGAGAGAGAGAGGGGGGTGTTCCAAAATCCGTGAAATCCGTCAAAATAATGATGCGATGATGCGTATGAAAAAGACAATGATTAGGCACAATGTTGAATTCTGGAAAACCTGAAGAAACAAAGACAATTTCCTTAATTATTCAAAATAACTTCAGTTTTGGCTAGATGTGATCTCGTTACACAGTTTCAATGAAAGATACTGTTATTCAGACAAAATCATAACACTCCGAATATAACAAAAAAACTGTGACAGACATCGTACAGTTCTTGAAGAAATCCCTAGACCAGATCGGTATAAAAGTAGCTTAAGAATCCGGAATTAGTCAGAAGGCACTGATCCACCTCAAATGTTTAGAAAATTCGTTGAAATACACAAAACAATTAATTAGTTAGCAGTTACGCTAATTGGTGTAACTCATAATTTAAAAGGTTTTTTTTAACGGATTCTCTATAAATATAATTTGCATTCTATGTTGTACGTCTTACAACTAAAGTTCAAGGTTGATTATGATACGATAACTCATTCCGATACGTTGAATATATTATATTAAAATATGCATATCAGTTCCTCAGGAGGCCCGTCTCTTTGCAATGGCTACGTTAATCCTGAGCTATAGGCATGCGTTAATGTAGTTTTTAAATCTAAAACGTCACTTTATTAATAACTAGTGGACGCCCGCGACTTCGTCCGCGTGGAAGTCGGTATCCCGTGGGAGTGAGAAGTTTTCCCAGTAAAAAGTACCCTATGTGTTATTCTGATGTATAACCTATATTGCTGTAAAGTTTTATCCAAATCCGTCCAGTAGTTTTTTCGTGAAAGAGTAACAAACATCCATACATCCATACTTACAAACTTTCGCCTTTATAATATTAATAGGATAGGATGTTTCAATATTTAGATAAAATAAGCCCGTGATGACCCATGTTTTTGTTTCCAAAAGAAGCGTAGATTTTTTTACACAAATTTTGATAGGAGTAGCGTTACACCGGCAATTATTTGCTTTACACTAATAAAGATGATGACTTATGTTTGTCTGACCGTCTGGTATATTATTCAAAAATATTTATTAAACAGGTTATTTTTGCATTATCAATAAATTAATGTAGCATGACGTCACACCTTTGTGCATTTTCTACGTATTACGTAGCAGGCCTCCACTCCTCAAATTTAATGCCTATCATCTATTTCTTATTATCTACTTAAATTGCAACAAAATATACGTATCTAATATTTTTCTATTACCAGACTGACGGACTAAATAATTAAATAAATAAATAAATTTTCTTTTTGTTTACTCAGGCATCATCCCCGTTGCTTGTTCTAAAAATGATACAATATTAATATAATACAATAATAACACTAATTCCAAACAATATTGCAATAGGAAATATTCTTAATAAAAAATACTTAAAAAAATCACTTTGCCCCTGGTGTGGATTGCGAAAGGTCGCGGGTTGGAATCCCATCTCAGAGTACCAGGGACAAAGTGTATATAGTGTACAAAGTGTGTATAGCATTTTGAAAGCAAAATTGATCAAATATATTAACTTTAATAGTAAATTATTTTTAATACAAAATGCTTAAAAAATTCACTTGTTCCCTGGCACCCTGAGATGGGAATCGAACCCACGATGTTTGGGTGGATGCCTGAACATTAATGAGAATACGCTCTGTAGTAGCGAAAAGTAACAAGTGCTTGAAAGATTCGTCAGTCCTGTTAGGTCCTGGGTAGCTCAGTGGTTGGAGCAGGCGCCCGGATTGCGAAAGGTTGTGGGTTCGATTCCCATCTCAGGGTGCTAAGGACCAAGTGGATTTTTTAAGCATTTTGTATTAAGAATAATTTTCAGTATGGCATTGTGTATGCAAATTTAATAAAAAATTTAATAGTAAATATAGAAACAATCAAACTCACAGAGTGAAATCCAAATGTTTGGAGGAGAATATCTCTGTTAGAGTGCCCCACAGAGTGGTGTGGAGCTCCCGGACCGGTGCACCCCACCAGCTCGCTTGCCAGTATCGCACCGTTGACGACACCACGCAAGATACTCCTACAACAAACATGTCACATATAATATTCAGCCATTACAACAGCAACATTTCATTGTTAGTGGTGTGTTATAATATGCATTCATTCTGGAATAACAAGAAATCCTGTCTAACAATTCCTAATAACCTTCAAGTACAATATGATGGTTGCTTAGTTTTTTATATCGCTCACCGCTGAACTAAAGCATTGACTCTGACGCTGACGTCCTTTCGTTAACTTGTACGTTGGTATACATATCCTACAACCTATTAGTATTATAAATGTGAAAGGATGTTTTTCCGTTAAGCACGCCGAAACTACTGAACGGATTTTGTTGAAATTTGCACTTTACACTCAACATTTCCCTAGGGACCACGCGGGCGAAACCGCTGACGAAAGCTAGTATCATATAAGACTTGATAGAGATGATACAGCAGCTCGATTTCGTCTTTTGTAATTTCGGAAAGGTAAGCCAATTCTGCAAATTTAAAGGTTTCGATTCCCACTCGAATTCTTATATATTAAGAACAGTTTTAGATCTAGACGTTTCGTTAGAGCGTTTCGCCTAACGTATAAAATTGATTTATAGCCATCTTATAAGAAACTGAATTTTATTTTAAAAGCATCTTTTTTTCTCTCTTCACAAATACATAATGTCGAATGTTTTTCCATCAATTTGAATTTGGTTATTATTACCATGCGCTTTATTAAGGTTGTATCAGGCCCAATTCCATTACATAGACAAAATTACACGCGATAACTAATCGTTAACTGTTTATACAAATAAAACACAAATAATATTTTTTTCATTGAAGAAGCATAATCTAATATGTTTCGTCAAATTTTCACTGTCACTGAAGTTAGATTACATTTGGTACTCGGAGAACATGTGGTCAATAGGGATGACGACTAATTTTTGTTTGTTTGTCCGTCAGGTAGAGTGTTAAAAATATTAAACACGTATTTATTTTTTTTTGGTAATCATAAAATTACGGCGTTACATTGAGTTGAAATTTCGCATGACGTCACGTTAGGTACGTTTTCTACTCAACTGTGACGTAGCGAGCCCCCACTCCTCAACTTTAATGTCTGTTATCTAAGCTATTCGTTGTTAAATTGAAGTAAAAAAAAATTCGTATCTAATATTTTTCTATTATCTGACTGACGGACTAAATAGAATTGCATTTTTTTACCCAGTCATCATCCCTATTAGCGTTGCGAGTCTCCGTTGCCGGCTGTCGTTATAGTGTAATCAGATACTACTACAATAAAAAATTGTATTAATAATTGCACAGCGCCATCTATTTCTAAATGGATGACATAAAATAATTTGACTTGCACGCGAAAATTATCGTACTTGATATCTTACATTCAAACGACAAAAACAAATCGAAACTCTCACGATAAGCGATCACGTCGCAGATAAAGTATTATTGTTTTGTTTATATCCTTCATGTGTATCAGTTTTGTTGTTGAATGAAAAAGCATAACATAACCTCTTTCATCAAATTTCACTGTCAATGTATTTAGGCCACGTTTGATATCCTTCATGTGTATGTAAATACAATAGAACGCTGCATTATATTGGAATTATTAGAGATCATTTGCAAGAATCTAAACAAAACATGATGCTCAATACGATTCGGCGTTCAATCTATTTACCTACCTAATTTCAGGCCTTGTTCCCAGCTGATAATGCCATCACAATATTGTTTACAAAGTGTACGCCCAGGCTCCGATCTCATGTCTTCAGACATAATCATACCGTCTGCACGTGTTCAGGGATGTTCCAGCATAATTATTGCTAATAATCTTAAGACTAATGAACTTGAACGTTGTTGCATAATAATAAAATATTTAGATATAATATTATTTGATCATTTACTTGTACATAACAATAAGAGTTCGTGAGCTTCGAACTGAGTGACATCATGTCAAACGTTATAAAACTCTTGCTTATTTTTGTCGTGAGCTCTTCGTTTAGGGTTAGTAATTATGTTATGATATAATTCATTTATTCTTTGGAACAAAAAACACGGTGGACTACTAATTTTATTACACTTGGCAAGCCATAGGTCGGAGATGACAGAGTGTTGCAATATTCTTTGTACTCCCTACATTATTTATTTTCTTTTAATTAAATGACGTTGGACTCACTCAAAAAGCACGTAAGTATATGTTCTGGGCATTAGAAATTAATTTAATTACGATAAACTTAATTAAAGGCTACTGCGACTAACCGGAGTTATTTGGGGCTCCCCCCTGCGGACCCGCCCCAGAATAAGGCTAGTCAAAGAGCAGGGGTATACCCACTAAAATCTAGCGATGTCCCTCGCGTAGAAGGCGATGTACGGGATTGGCCCGGAGGCTATACACGCAATCCTGCATTAATCTACTATACTATGCAATCTTTGTACCATTAATAAAAATTAAGTTTCGATCAATCAGAAAGCAAATTCAAGCCGTTGGATTGTTAGACTATAACATGTTTAAATGCCCCGACTATTAATAGAACCCCAATGGATTTCCATGTGAATGGAGTTGTTGATGAGAACTAGTAATGTGCCTGAATTATGTTTATTATTATGAATTCATAGATATTATTATTACTATGTGTAAGTAGGAAGTAGCAATAAAAAGGAAGTCAGAACGTTTCCTTTATCCAATAATGATAATTAATGCAAACATGACTTTTTGAAACAGGTACAACATTGTTGACCATGAAACATCGAATTCGTTATCAAAGCGGCGAATAATAATATTATTGCAGTTAGCTACAGTAAGATAATATCGGTTTAAACAATACAGGAAGGAAACTCATCGAACGGTTTTAGAACAGCTTCCGTTTTTTTATACAAGACTAGATACTGTTTCAGTTCACTACGTCAGAAACAAATGTAACAGATATCCGCTTTATAGTTTAAATGTTCTTGCCTTCAAAAGAGTCAGACCCACAGAAATATATCTAGTTAGAAGGAAAAAGTGTACGTACTTCGCGTGCCGAAACGACGTCTAGACAGCTTCATTGCTCGCCGCGAGGCTCAGTCCACTTTCGATCGCAATCGGTGTTGGACGAAATTTAAAATGATGCGTTGTTCGATAATTACCTGCTCAAACACTACCAATATGGTTGGATCTTATAGTCGAGGTATTTCCTTCCATCGGTAAGTAACTATTTGCCTTGATATATCTATTTTGAATTAAAAATCATTAGTTTTGTTGCTCCGTATTATTTTTATCAAAACGGTCATGTGTCCAGTAATAGCTTTCCATTGCGGCTTTAATTTGACAGTCCAAATTTGCTGTGCTTGTAAAACCATCGATGTATAATTCAAGGTCAATTTGTTGGAGGACAAATTATAATTTTTTTCTGTCAAAAATGGATAATAGTGCTGTACAATTCGATTTTTTTACCCGATTAAAAATATATCGTTTTTGAAAGCAGAAGAAAGGATAATTAATTTTATATTGAATTATACTGTAATTTTTGTTTTAGTTTTCCGTATGATCCTAATATTAAAAATAAATGGATTGAAGCAACAAGACTCTAAGGCAAATAGTAGGTATACTTACTGGACATGGAAACTTTAACAAACACCTATATAACATGGGTTATTCTGACAGTCCTCTGAGCAGGGCGTGCATGGAGACTGAGGAGATTGTCTCCTCAGTCTCCATTCCAGTATCACATAACCGCTTGTGCACTCATGTGATACTGGAATGCAGGAGCCTATTAAGACAAAAGGACTACATATCTATGAAGCCCAAGGATACTAGTGGAAGCATGCGGCAGAGTTCGAGATCTTACGGGCTTCCTGGAGGCACTGAGTATCGAGTTGCAGAAAAGCCCGCCGTGAAACATAACATTACAACACAGGACGTAAAAATGTGTAGCGTGTCGGGAGGGGGTAGCGGCTACTACAAAGTGTTTGCCCACAGAAAAATGCCGATTTCTATTCTATCGCATAAAATCTTTTTTGCGCCGATTCACTAAATTACATTCGTGAGTTCGTGACATATACATAATATTTAAGCAAAATGGTAGTCTGTCTATAAAGTCATGAAAAAAATTGAGGGCGCTGCGATCGTGCACGTAGCAACCCTGTGTAGTGAGACAATTGATTTTGATAGTAGGATTTTTTTTTTACTTTTATTACCCCAGAAAAGGTAAAGAAAGGCGTATAATTCGTAGACAATGAGTTTATTCTACATTGAAGATTACAATATTGTAATCGTAATTTTTGATAAATCTTTTTTTTTTATAATTGCTAAGTTGTTTTCTCGTTTTACTGCAATGTGTGCTTGTGTTCGATTAAAGCCTGTTACTTTGACACTCCTTGTAAGAAAACCCAATATATTTCAAAATTTAACGCAGAACATCTAGGCTACAATTAAAATCCAGATCAGTTTTGGCAATCCACTGATGTTTTCTTCATGTAGGTACCTCTTTTTTTCACAGAGTAAAAGAACTGAATCTTTTGTCAAAGTGCACAAATGTTGCAGTTAACAATTTATTTCTTAGGACGACTATCTATGTTTCCCAGGGGTTTCAAATATGCCACCATTTTTATAACCTTCATCTACAATACGTATCACTATATTCTCTGATTTTCCTGAAAGTAAGTTTTAAAAATGTAATATCTATATGTATTTGGCAAAAAGAATGGAATCGCCACAATGATCAAATTAATGCTATAATTTTAGTAATATAAAGCACAAACTTTTTATTGGCGTACGTAGGTAAAAATCGTACATTCCTAACAGGTATATTTTTTATTCAGATTAAAATCAATGATAAATTTGATTATCCAAAAGTATTGAAAGTTTGGGCCGCACTACAATATGGCCTTCTAACAATTTCAATCTAACCTATAAATGCATAATGTAATCAATACTTCTTTTAGACTTAAATTCATATATTTAGTAAATTTGAAACTTCTGGTAACCAAAACTCAATCAGTAGCACGATTACATACCAGCCATAACTGCCGTTCGGGCTTTAACATCCTACAAATATGATAA